AATTAAAATTAAAATATTTGCATGTTTCGAGGAAACGTTATATTTTATATAGACATAATGGTAAATTGAAATGATAAAAGTCTAGATTTCCCGTTATTGTAACAAGTTAAGTTATATTTATAATAAACAAACCTTTATCCGCTAAAACAGGTTGGTCTATTTTTTTTTATATTTCAGAAAATATCTTTTGAAGACAAAAATTAAAAAAGTTATTTCTAAATTTAGAAATTATATTTTCATATCGAGGAAAATAAATAAGTATTTTAAAATCTTGTTTTTATTTATCTTATAAAAAAAAACGATAACTAAAATTAAAACAAGATAATTTATTCAAAGTGGTTTAGTAATGAAATACAGAAGCTGGTATTAGCTTTGTAGGCCTTTTTCGTTTCATCGCTTCAATTGCATTTTAATTAAAGTCTATCGTCACTTCATGCAGTAGCAAACAAGAGGGTGATGTAGGACATCCACCTATATATAAGAACAAAAGTGAGAGTATTTTAATTTACCAAAAAAGTTTTAATTAATTTATTTGAATAAAAATGGAAAAAATTATAAATAAATTTTTAACATTATTGCTAAATAATGTTTATATAAGATTTTTGAAAAAAAAAATAATTTTCATAATTAGTAGTATTGTAAATAATGTTTAGAAGTTAACATTTAGATTTCTAATAGATATAACTGCAATAAATAATGTTTGATATACGCAATGTTATATAAAACTTTTATATTAGAGTAAAAGATATTGAATTACATGGAAAAAGCGAATAATTTTACACAATGTAATTTATTTAATCACGATTTTAATCGGAGCACACGCCTAGAAAATTAGAAAAAATTTTTTTTGAATCAATAGGAGTTGAATTTAACAATAATACATCCCGAGGTGATGAGAAGTTGAAAAATGAATGGAGAGCATATAAAATAGAAGTGAATATACGTGTCTGGATCACGAGTGCATACAACCGGTCTTTCCATCGTGCGAGTGCACTCTATTTCGCAAGGGTGTATACCTGTAACCAGACACACGATTCACTTCCGACTTAGACAGTCGCGATAAAAGGAGACCATACTTTCGCGATTAATAAGATAGATAGTAGAAAGTGAAGTAATTCACCTTTGTAAAAGTCAAGTCTCTGACGGAAAGTTGTATAAATGGTATTCAGTATATACTCTACTAACATGGGAACCTTTTGAGACGCGTTCGCGTGCGACTAAAGAACTGTTATGTCATTTCGATATCCACGGTCAGTGCGCACTTGAAATTGATCCAAACAATTACGCACCCCTCATTTATTATTTTCCACTTCTGAATTAGTCAAAATTTTTACTAATTTCCATTGGGGACTCACTTTTAAATTATAAATTTTCCTAATCCGCTCTCTAAATCTGAATTAGTAAAAATGTTTACTAATTTAAATTAGTGACTCACTTTTAATTAGTCAAATTTTACTAATTGTTAGTTAAAGTTACTATTATTTAGAAAAATTTTACTAATTCAGATTTAGAGAGCGATAATAAATTTTTAAAAAATAATTAGTTGACATTAAACTAATTAATACTGAAAAAAAATTTATTAAAATTTACCTAATTCATTTAAAAAAATTTTTTTTTAATTTTTTTATATTCAAAATAATAATTGGAAAATTTAAATGATAATAAAAATTTTAGCAAAAGAATTTCGAGCAATTTGCACCAGTTGGAAAATATTTGAATTATATATGTAAATATTAACTAACATTTAATTTTCATAAGTTTAAACTAGTCCGGTATTATTTTCAACGCAAGTTCTGTTTAACTTTCCATTGAGACAAATATTGTCCAACTGAAATATTTACTTTTTCGTCTGAAAAGCTAAATAATATTCTATGTTATTATTTACCAAAAAAAAAATTTTTAATCATAAATATCATTTTTTATTTTTATAGTTCTTTTTCTACCTTTCATTTATTTTTTTTAAAGTAAAAATAACATTGCAAATTTAATAATTCAAGACAAGTAGCTTTGAATAGATATTTCTAATTATGATAATTATAGTTAACAAGAGTTTAACTGGAGGTGAAAAAACAATTTCTAAGAAATGTTGAAAAACTCGCAAATAATTATGGCTATACAAAGTGTTTTACATCATTTAAATGACCACCTTGTGTACAAACAATGTCCGACTCTTACACATCGTTAGGTAATTGAATAGTGCCGGTTATATAGACCTCACAGAGTTTAGAATCTTATGTTTAGTAACGGTTCTTGGGTATGGAACAAATTAGTAGTCCATAACAAACTATTATAATACCATGTGAATTGAAAGAAAAGTGATTTGAGAGTAACTTCAGGAAGGAGAGAGAGAAAAAAAATAAAACGATGGGAAACTGCGAAAATGAATATAACCGCGGAAACAGTATTTATGATCACCGCGATCAAGTATAATATACTTAGATAAAATGAAATTTCTTGTATTTAACCTGAAATTGCAAATTATTACCTTATAAAATTATTATATTAATCGATTTAGGGCAAGTCTTTCGCAATTTCTAAAATGAAATTTTCTTTTTTTAATTTTGTAGGTATTTATATTAATGTTCTGAAAATTGTCATGTTTTTAGATGAGAGAACTTTCGAGAATTATTTTCCATCTTAATGGCTAATTAGCGACAGGAACAATTTTTTTTTTTTTTTTTTTTTTTTTTTTTTATAAAGAAGTTACATTTTTCGTTATACTTAATGACTTGTGGGGTCAATTAGTATTTTCAACAATCATTGTTCGTGGATCTCGAGCGTAACGTTAATTGAAATAGTAGTATGTATACATGAATCTCTAGCTTTCACGGTCAATTAAAACAACTTTATTTTCTACGCAATAATGTTTTAAATGCCAGTTTCACTTGTCATATTTACAATAATGTGACCTTAAAAGAAAGAGTAATTTTAAATAAAAATAAAACTTTATATTTAAAATTTAGTTAATTTTTTTAAAGTTTTTTTTTTATTGATAATGTCGAATCTTTCTTTTTTTGAAAAGTGTTCTCAATTTCATGGCTTTTAACTCTTCATATCGTGTGTGCATGTTCCACCTAAAACCACATGATGTCCTTATATATATTTTCCCGTCACTATCTTTGCAACATTGTAGCTAAATGGGTTGCATTTCTCAACGCGTGTCTTTAAAGCAAGAACATATTTTGAAAAATCAAATCAGTACCGTAAAATATAACGTCGAATGCAATCATTTTTACTTGACTTGGATAAATGTTACGACTTTGACAAATAAATGCTGTGTCCTGGTTAAGAATTTCAATTTGCTGAATTTGATTTATAATAATTTTTCAATAATAAAAACTGCCGACACAATAAAATAAATGCTGAGACATGTCTCATACCTTATTACTGCCTGTAATAAGGTATTTTTATTGGCAATTGACATGATTTTTTTTTATAATTTGTTCAACAAAAGTAAATTTGAAAATATTGAAAAACGTTTATTTTACAGTTATAGAAAATATGATTCAGAGAAATGTTTAATTAAAAAAATATTTGATTGGCAAGAAAATTTTTAGGTGAGAAACATCTAAAGGGATCTTTCAAAAGATTATTCAGTTCAGATAACATTGTTTTCTCTGCGTTGAAAACATCATCCTCATTATCCTATGCTCGTTGCTCCATGAACAAGAATATTAACATACATTATAATATGTTTGTTATTTCACATTTGACGTGTGTGTGCTCTCTATACAATGCAATTTCTTGACATGCATTATAACATCTATTTTCGTGCATCATTTTCATCTTTACAAAGTATTTCTTTATCTATATATTATATAATTCATATAATAATAATTGAATACAAAATATAGAAATTGTTCTTTAAATATCTCAATAGTCTTCATTAATTCTTGATGACAATTTTGATATTCTTAATTTATACACACGCCTTATCTATTTATAAGAAATCGCACTAATTGAATTAATTTAATTAAATCACGTTTTTTTCACGAATATTTAAATGAGAACAAGAATTTTATCTAAGAAGTTGATAACAATAAATACACAATTTTCCAAAAAAGTTTTGAGAAATAATTTCGGATAAGAATATAATTGATTTAAAAAAAAAAAATGTCATTCGTGTTTAGTTGTATTACTCTCTGCGTTAGTAAGTTTGGTTGTAAGGGAAAGGGGGGTAAGAACAATGTCATAAATTACAAGATACTGCTTTTATAACTTTGGTCTCGAGTCGTTCGACATAAATATTATCCGTGTGGATACGAACGTGCTTTGAAAAGCAGATCACATATATAGCGTGTGTGCACCAAGTATGAACCTGTCTTATATTTCCCATGTCTTGTGCGTGTATAAGGGCCGACATTGCACCATCTTATAGCCATCACAAAAATACATCGACAGACGAGGTATCAATAAGACTTTATCGACCATCCTACCTTGGAGATTGAATCTACTATATACACACACAGTTTAATACTCATCCATAACAGATAGTTTTAAAATCCCTTTTTTTTATCCTCTCGATTAATCACAAGTAGTGGTTGACCACCAAAGAAAAATTATGTTTCCAATAACAGAGAATTTCTTTAATCAAAACATGTTTTCATTATAGTTCTCTTTAAAAAAATACTCAATTTCAGAGGATTTTTATTTTTATGTACACTAAAAAATATTTATTTCATTTAAATAATCGACTATTATTATATAAATATTTGTCTGACTAAAATGGACTTTTTCTACTGTTTGAAAATTAAATTTTACTCATATTTTTATTTGTTTTATTTCTTCTATCCTATTTTTTATTATATTTTTTTAAACTAAAAAATTTCACAAGTTTTATGTAACAATTGAAAAGATTGAAGTACCTACTCATTATTTATTCGCGCACGAGTTGAAATCAAAGAGTTTTTCATTTACACGTATGACATGGGTATTGTATTTATTTTGATATTGTTTTGAATGGTTGTGAATTTCTAAAGATTTATTTTTCATTGTTTCAGGCGCGGACGAGGGTCTGGTGCATTTTACTATGCGTGACATTTTTACTAAGGGATGTCACTTCAAAAGCTGGTAAGTTATTTTATATAAATGATCTGATAATTAAAAAGTCATTAATTATCCTCAAAATTAATGAACTCTTCATTGCCACCAAAAAAAAATTGCAAAAAATATCCGCGGGTAATTAATTATTATCTAATTATTCAATATTCATTATTCAATTATTATAATTAGTTATTTTTATTTATTTGTTTATTATAATTTATTTATTAATTATTGGAGTTATTTTAAATTTTTGATTTTAGAAAATTTATTTATTTTTTTAAATGTAAAATTGATGGGGAAATTTATAGCGCATGAAATGGATGTTTTAGCCTTGAGATTAGATTCCAGAAATGAAAAGTACCGTAAGAGTAACGAAGTGCAACAATGTTGTCTGTAATTCCCGGCTGATTTTCTGTCGTCACTTACTCCTTCTTGCAGGCACGCCTGACCATTTCTCTCTTGATAGTATATAGTTCCTTCTGTAAAGGTCGAGTCGATCGCTTATGGTCGTAGGTCGAGCAATAAGAGTACAAAGCTTCTCGAAAGTCTCTTACTACTCTCAAACGGTGCCACGTGACATTTGCGTTCTCCATTACCTACTTACAAAACAGGGCCGCATTTGCATTATACTTTCCTTTCCAAATTTATTAAACTTTATATTATTTCTATTTTCTCATGAATGAACGAAAAAATCATTTTTTTTTTCAATGGAAAAATTCAAATTTTACAGATCAATATTTTTTACAGGAAGTATTTTTCATTGGAAAACATAGTTTTTCTTTAATGTAAAAATATGCGTTTATTATATATGTTACGTGACACGAAGTTTAAAGAAAGTTAAAACTATATTTATAACCAGGAAAAATAAATTTTAAAAGGTGAAAATTATTTTCAATGGATAATTATATATTTAATTTTTTCTTTACCTGACATAACTTATTACAACTATTTATTGGTTTTTCTTTACTCTCTGCTTTAAATTCGTATATAAATACATAAAATTTATACATATTATCATGTAAAAAGAGCGACAACCGAAAATTACCAATCTCAAGGATAAATAAATATTTTATATGAGTCGTATAAGAAAGACATAAAATTCATTCTTTTTTTGATTTTATAGCGTGAGATAAGGCAAAATTTCAAATTTTAAGTGTACTAAGAATATGAATTTTTACTTTAATATTTATTATATAAAGAGAGGTATTCGATTTATAAACGAAGAATAAGACATGAATTTTACTTCTTTTATGCTCTAAAAAAATTATTTATAAATAAGGGTCAATCCATTATATTTCGAATGAAGTGGTCGCTGACTAATTTTTAAAAATTATAATACTTTGCAGGAATGATTTTGAAGTTATCAAGATCACGAAATGAAAAGAATTTTAATAAAATTTTAATTATTTATTGCAAAATATGAATTTAAAGTATATGAGGTGCTGAAAACTGTCAATTTTTTAGCCATTAGAAAATATGCAAAAATACGTAGAATTTACCATAAAAATAAAAATTTTTTTTTGTAATTTACTAAGAATGAATAAATTTATCATTATCAATTGATGTAATTATTTAAATATGTGAAATAATATATAAAATATGATTTTCAAGTTCGCCTGTCAAATAACCTAAATTTGCAAATTTCATCTATTAAATGTGAGAAAGAGAAGTCATTAAATTGAAAAAAACCTTACCAAATATAAAGTACCTGTGACTAACTTTTAGTTTTTCTTAGCACTTTTTTCCTTTTTTCTTCATAAATGTGAAATAAAAAGCAATAAAAATTGGCACTTTGCTTATTTTCACTATTTTCAAATGTAAATAACTTTCTTGGAGAAAACTGAAAAATTACAAAACTTGGGCAATATCTAATTGATCACTAAATACACACACTGGAAAAAAATTCCCTTTGGTCCCGAAGATACTTTTTGAGATAATTAAGTTTAAATTTTTCACAATTTTTATCAGGTTAATACATGTAGTTTTTTAAGGACGAAGTTAGGTTTTATTGGTTAAATATTTTGAACTAACTTCAATTTTATAAAAATCACATGCATTAACCTCATAAAAATTGTGAAAAATTTAAACTTAATTATCTCAAAAAGTATCTTCGGGACCAAAGGGAATTTTTTTCCAGTGTGTGTATTTAGTGATCAATTAGATATTGCCCAAGTTTTGTAATTTTTCAGTTTTCTCCAAGAAAGTTATTTACATTTGAAAATAGTGAAAATAAGCAAAGTGCCAATTTTTATTGCTTTTTATTTCACATTTATGAAGAAAAAAGGAAAAAAGTGCTAAGAAAAACTAAAAGTTAGTCACAGGTACTTTATATTTGGTAAGGTTTTTTTCAATTTAATGACTTCTCTTTCTCACATTTAATAGATGAAATTTGCAAATTTAGGTTATTTGACAGGCGAACTTGAAAATCATATTTTATATATTATTTCACATATTTAAATAATTACATCAATTGATAATGATAAATTTATTCATTCTTAGTAAATTACAAAAAAAAATTTTTATTTTTATGGTAAATTCTACGTATTTTTGCATATTTTCTAATGGCTAAAAAATTGACAGTTTTCAGCACCTCATATACTTTAAATTCATATTTTGCAATAAATAATTAAAATTTTATTAAAATTCTTTTCATTTCGTGATCTTGATAACTTCAAAATCATTCCTGCAAAGTATTATAATTTTTAAAAATTAGTCAGCGACCACTTCAGTCGAAATATAATGGATTGACCCATAAAAAAATTTCATTTTTTCAAATTTGGTTCGAAAAATCATGAATTAATATTATTTCATATTATCAATTAAATTTTTTTGAATACTAAAACAATAATTAAGATTTTATTTATAAAATTATTATTTAAAATTGAATCTAATACATAGAGAAATATGATTTTGCTATACCACGAGAGAAGTATGATTTTAAAATAAGTCTTCACTTAAGTTATTGCTCAGGACAGGTTCTTTAACATACTCGTCGTACAGAGATTTGTGCACTTTGGTGAAAGTAAGAGATGTGTATATTTTATGAACATCTTTACTGCTTTGAGAGATAAATCCCCATATGAACAATGCATCTCTTCAGATATATTTACAATTGCTTGAGAAAATTGTGTCAATGTTATAAAATAAATAAACTTTCTTATACCGCAGACAATTACATTATTGCATGTATGACAGTTAAAATATGAATTGTCCTATTTATTTGATTCTTATTCTAATCGTGGGAATTTGTCGAAAATGATAAATCCATATGTTTTTATCATTTGCAAAATTTTAATCAATGATTTTTTGTTTCAGGACTATGCGAAGTGGAAACAGGACAATCAAATATTATTCTCGACATCGAAGAAAGTAAAGGAAGTTGTAAGTTGCAAAATTTTTTTTATCATCTTTCGAAGAGAATCATTAATTTATTTTTTTAATTTATTATTTAATTTTACTATATATACCTTTGATGTAGAAGAATTTTTCAAGTTTATATAAAGGACACATGAGAAAAATGAGAAAAATCACATCAGTGAACAACAAATAAAGACAAAGAAAAGAAAAAAAAAATTCAAGAAGGACTTTCTTTAGCAATAAAAACATCACGAATCACAACAAACAGAAAACATGGGAAACGTCAAAGAGAAAAAACTACTACCAGTAATTGCTGTCTGAAAAAAAGGACGAACTTTTAAAGGATGCCACAGCAATACTGGAGAGAAATTGTTGATTAACAACAAATAGAGAGTTTACTAAAAATGTTGACTAAATAATCTTTACTTTTTTAAAGGAAAAAGAAGAAATTACATATGAATTAATAATCCTTTTTTTTTTAAAGACTAAAACAACAGTTTGTCAATAAGAAATTGAAAGTTTTTGTTCTCTTTGCTCTATAAGAAAAAAGCTCGGGGCACATTACATTATAATACATGTTATGCAAATAATATTTATGTCTATATCAAGCATCAAAAAGCATATAGCAAAAAATAGAATGCACGATAATATAGAAGAGAAAAAAATATTTGGCTTTTGACAAAATATTTGCTTATTTTTTCTTAAAAATTTCCACATTTTTAATAGTTATATAAATAGTGAAGTCAATATATAATGAATACGGAAGGGTAATTTGTAAAATTACCTTGATTATTCATTTCACAAATAATTACACTCTATTATTATTAATAAAACGTAATTACAGTAGACTATAAAGAAATGCTTACGCAATATTTTAAAAATAATTACTTTTAACTATTTTTCAAATCTATAAATTCACCAGGGACTGAAAGTCTAAATTTAAAAAATTGATTCCTGTCTTATATATATATATATATATATAAAACTTGTCAAAAGCTATAAATTTCTCATTTTGAAATTTAACTTTGATGTGTTCGGAATTGGGAAAAAACATTTTTTTTCCCCATTTTCTGCGGTTAATTCAATACACTCTAGAGCTGATGCTTTATGTTGCTTTTTTGTGGATATTGGATTTTATCAATGCCAAACTATATATATATAACAGGGTTCAAGGAAAAATCAAATTTAGTTTACTTTTTCATCTTTTCAATTGATGTTTTTATCCTTATCAATTGAATTGAACTTTCTTTTTTCCCCTTTCAATTTCTGTTTCTAATTAAAAGAATTTGAATAATGTGTTATATTTTAGAAACTGTTTATATGGTAATTTAACGTTATATATAAGATTTTGTTGAGAACTATTTTCATTGTGAAACCACAACAATTAGCTAATGCAAAGTGATCGTTATTCTCAAATTAGCATCACGTAACGATTCTCTCTGTTTACTTGAAAGCATTTGGTTACATAATGCAATTGGGAGTCTTCTGAGATTGATTGACTTAAACTGAAATTTGCTTTACAGCCATCGATCAAGCGACCGCGCCAGAGGAGCTTCCTGTGTCTGGTGATCCACTGACTGAAATCGTCTTGGAACTTATTTTCACAGGACGAAAGCCACTTTTTATTCTCAAGGGCAAAAAGCTTCAGCTCCTCGAGCCACTTGACAGGGACGCCGAAAATTTGTCACACATTGTTTTTCAAGTAAGAATAAAGAAAAATAATTTTAAAAAGTAATTAAAAAAAGACAATTTTTAAATTATGTAAAAAAAATTGATAAAAACTAATTTTTTAAGATTAATAATTAATAATATTGAAAAGATTTAAATAATCAGCTAAATTAGAGAATTAGATTTAATTTGATGAAAACGTTTCTTTTTTTTACAGTTGACCTGTACAGTAAAATCGACGAATAAGAAAAGAACGATTCCCATCATTGTTAGACTTTCAGATATTAATGACAATGCCCCTCAATTTGTCAACACACCATATGAAACGACAGTACCGGAGGTGAGTGCACAGATAATTTTTAAATTTCAATTCCACCTTTGTTTCGACTGCGAGACGAACTTTCCTTTCTCGTTCAAAAGAATTTAAATTTCCTTCAAAGCTATTTGAAATAATTCAATGAGAATATTAATTTTTTTTCAAATTTAATTATTTTTTAATTATATAATTATTAATTATATTTAATTAATTTAATCGAAAAAAGTTTTTGTGTTCATTTATAATTTTTTACAAATAATAACAATTTAGATATAATTTGTTATTATAAAGCGATTCATGATTTAAGTCTATAAAATTGTAGACCATATAAGAAACATATAAAAAGAAACAATTGTTCAATTATTTATGAGGTGATCCATTTTATAAATATATAGTTTTGCCATTGAGGCCGTTAATCCCGTTCTAGAAAAATGTTTACAAGTGTACTCTGCAATTATTCAATATAATAACTGTATTATTTCATAATTACAACTGCAATTATATATGCCGTAATTCCTTCAAATAATAATAATAATAACTTCATTATTTAAATTCTAATCAAACTATATAGAAAATTAAAGATTAATAATTTCTGATATAGTGAATTAATAAATATTTTAAAAAAATATAATGAATGTTTTCCTCTCTATCTATTTATATATATTTATTTATATGAGGAAGTGCAATATTTTTTCTCATCAATCATAATAAGGTAGTTAAGATTTCACGTCATAAGCAGAATGAAAATTTATATTCAAGGGAGAAACGTCTAAAATTGAATTTATATAAGCGCTATGAACATTATTTTTATCTTCAAATTTTATGGACAATTTTTATAAATAATTTTTGTAAACTAATTTTTTTATTATAATTTTTAGAAATGATTTTTCTAAATAAATTTTACAAATTAATTTTTTTATACAAATTTTATAAATAAATTTTACAAAGAAATTTTATAATTATAAATAATTTTTATAATTCATTCTTAGAAATAATTTTAATAAACAATTGTGGGAAATAATTTGGATAATTTTTTTTGCAGCTGACACCGGTGGGTTCGACAATTTTCAAAAAAGTACACGCGGTAGACGCGGATGCTGGAGTGAATTCTCTTATAGAGTATTCCATTGCACCTGGGGATGGCACCGGGATTGGAAATAGCGATGGAGTTGGACGAGATAGGGTTACAACTGCTGACGGATATGGTTACTTCAGCATTAATCTACCCCATCAAGGCCAAGTCACTGTAAATCGTACTTTAGACTACGAGAGAACTCAACGCTATCTAGTCACCATTCTCGCCTCAGTAAGTTCTTTGAAAAAAAAAAAAAGTTTCTTTAAACCCTTCTCACAATAACCGAACCGCTATTTCCGGCGTCTCTGCGGAAAAAAAAGTGCCTGACATTATACCGTTAATCCACACAAATTACATTTTCTTACCTTTACATTTTTAGCTAAGCTTTAATAAAGAAAAAAAACCACTTTTTTTATTTTTCCTCAATTTTCAACTTTGGAGACTAATTATAGGTAATTATTTATGACACTTCTTTCTTTTCAGAAAAAAAGTTTCTTATACGGAAACAAGTTTTTTTCGATGTGAAAAAATATTAATTTTTTATTTCTTTTTTTATAATTTTTTTAATTATCAAAACGGAAATCGTTAATAATAAAAAATAATAAAAATCTAATTCTATTTGAAAGAGTAAAAAAGGACGTTAATTAAATTTTTGAAAAAATTTGACTTTCATTGTTGTTCTCTTTCAACTTGAAGATCAGAGAAGAGAACCTACGCAAAAGCAATGTAATTTACAACTTATGGAAATCAAAAGGCCTAGGTTTTTATCCGAGGCTAAAAATGCAGCAGCAGCAACACAGCCTTTTATGCCGCGTGCAGCTAGTTGAATTTAATGGTGGCTTTAAGTATTTCTGCCATTTAACGCTTGTGTAGTTATTAACGCTTGGAGAAAAATCAAGAGCAAAAGGGGAAAGGTGAATATAAGAGGGAAGGTGTCTTTAAAATAGTCTTTTTTTTAAATTTATAATACATGGGGACACACCTTGTGTCACCATTGTTTATTATGTGCTAATGTCAGTAGATCTCATACTATTCGAGATACACTATTAAGAGCTTTAAAGATCATTAGAGGCCTCCTTTCTTAGAATCTAACAACACAGAGAACAAGTCGTCCATCAGTTCCAAGAATCTTGGCTATTGATTTTTAATTGCATCTTGTTGCGATCGTAATTGATTCATCAGGTGTGTAGATTCCTCTACTGATAGAATCAAAAACCATGATTTATACAATTGTATCATACATATATATATATTTATATATATGTAATCCTTTCTCTTCAAAAACTACTCTCAACTATATGAACTGAATTTTAAGTGCAAATGTCCTTCGAGAGGAAATAATGTTATTTGTATGTGGAATGAATTGACAATAAAGTTCTTTGGCTGGATTTTTAGAATCAATTTTAAAGACAATGAATTATTCATTATTGAGTAACTTCTATTGGAAACAACCATTCAATTATATAGTTTTGTTGTACTTGAATAAGTTTCGGATAGAATACCTAAAGAGATATTTTGATCTTCATTTTGAAAATTACCGAAAAATTTTTCCAATATTGAAAATTTATTTTCGAAAATAAAAATAATTTTAATTCTCTCTCGAGTTGAACTTTTTTTTTTGAAAAAAAAAGCTCTGTGAGTTAATCGAGAAACGAGAAAATACGAAAGATTTCATCTGGATTTCTTTTCATAAAGAATTGTATTGTGCCCGTCTTTATCATCTGCGGAGTAAAAATATATCTATCATCTCTCTTTGGTTATCTGAGAACATGATGTAGAAATATAATATAATATAAATAAAGTCACTTCGCCATTTTTGCATTATGCAGGATTCTAAAGGAACTTTTTAATCTGGTGAAAGTGTAACTGCTTGTAGACGTTACTATATTTATATATAGCTCCTTAATGCTCCTTGCCCCTTCTGGAATGCAGGTTGTTACGCCCTGGGAATATTTTTTTCTTAAAAAAAAAGAAAAACAAGACTACTTTCCTCTTCCCTTAGGAAATAATTTTTTTTACCAAATCAGAAAATAAAATTCACAGATTTTCAATATTTATTATAAAAATCATATAATTTTATAAATATTTTATCTACAATTTTTAAATTTTATTGTCTTTTATATCAAATTACAAATTATCGATCTTATGTAATTTACATTTTTATTTTACAATATTCTAATAATAGAAAGCTATTCAGGAATTCAAAATTTAGATCCTAGATTTAAGGAACACTTGGTGAAAGTGATTTTTTCATATGGAAAAAATTTTCTATTTTTTAAATTGGAAAAAACAATTGATCACAATTGTTCTATTTTACAGCGATAAGTGCAAAAAAATTGATCAAAATTTATAATATTTATAAAAGTGAAAATCAGTTTCTCTTTTCTGGTAAAGTAAAAATTTGATTTCTATAGAATTAATTAACATATAAACTGAAAATATTCAAAGAGTTTTCTCCTATGAATCATTCTCGAGCGGTTAATTTTTTTTTTCCTAACAGAAGACCAGGATTACATTCTTCCTTCCTGTTTCTTTTATCCGGATATGGTATGGGTATCAAGTCTTCTCCTTTGGGGCAAGTGGGAAATAATATAAAATTACGAAAGAGCAAAAAGAGGATTTTAAAGTTATATGCGAGAAAGTCAATTCGATATGTATATATATACAGATATATAAGGCAGAACATGTATATATATAGTACGGTCAATGTATTTGATATCAGGCATATATAAGACGACCGGGTTACCTAATAATTTAAAACCGCCAATTGGCTTGAAATTACATTACATTACCATTGCGAATGGACAGATGATTCAGCTATAGTAATAAGATATCGGAACTTCTTGAAGCAGCGAGCACCATTACAAAAATACGCTTCTTTTTTACGTTCCCTTTTATACTCGATTTTCTTGTTGCATTCAAAAAAAAAAAAAATACCAATGTTACGAGTGAAATCATCGGATATAAAAGCCCTTTTTCAACGAATCGAATTATTTCGATATTCCTTTTTTCATTTGGTCCTTTTACACCAATAGAGATCTATTCACCTGTGCTTCTTACATCGAAAGGAATAAAAATAAATCTAAACTTATATTTAAATAAAATGAATAAATGATAGAAAAATATTTTATTTACAGATTTTTTTTATAAAAATATAAATTTACTAAATATTTCAAATAAAAATTTATCCGTTTTTTGTTATTAATTTTGCTTTCTGAAAATCTTTATTATTTATTATATGCGTTATCTTTCACAATAGTTAATTTTATATTTACGTACTGTCAAGTGTCTAATATAACAAATCGTTTAGTTTTATGGAGTTGAAAAATTTGAAATCAGTGATATAAAATTTTTACACTTCATGAATGTTTTTAGTTGACAATAAAACTTTGCGGAAAATATACGTGAGACAAGTTCTAAGACTATTTATCACAGAAAAAGCATATATATATATATAAATATACGAGAGAGTAAATATGCGCAATGCAGCGAAAGATTCCAAGCGGTACTGAATTTACATAAAATTGAGTGTAAACATGAAAACCTGAAAATATGGTCACACTATGCGTAGAGTGGGTGTAACATGCAAATTGAATAGGAAATCAAGCTCAAAAAACTAACGGGATTCATCTGTTAAGCAATCTTGAAATGAAATATAAATAATTTTCAAGTAGCTGTTATTTTGATCCACGAGAATTTCATTTTTTTTTTTTTTAATAAATTTATTTATTTTTGTAATTTTTTGGAAGGAAAATATTTTATTGATAACGTGTATTGAAATAGTTATCGAATATTAATAAATATTTTTATTTTTTACTTTATTTAAGGATCGAGCAAGAAATGTTTCTGAAAGATTCACTTCTACGACAACATTGGTCGTTAACATTAAAGACGACGACGATCAAGATCCATCTTTCATTTATAAAGGCTGTATGCTTCACAATGCTGCCTGCATCAATCCTGAATATTCTGCATCTGTAAGTTTGAAAAAAAAAATATTTCCATTTTACCAGATATTTTTTTCTCTAAATTTAAATTTAGAATTCGTTACAATAAATTTTAATTTCACTTTTCATTTTATTATTTTTTTTTTAATAATAATAAATAGATACATTGATTTTAATCAGAAAAAATTGTGGAAATTAGTGATTAGAGTTGATTATTTGAAAACAGTCATTAGGAGGAATTATCGTCATTTCCGAAAGATGTAAAGTGGAAATGATGATTTGCTATATATTTAATTGTAATAAACTTTATCAATTACCGGGGAGGTGAATATAAGAAATCGATCTTGAAAGATCATTATATCGATTGTCGATATTTCTTAAAGACTTGTATTAGAGTAAGAGCACAAATGCCTTTTTTTGTTCTTCTTTTTTTTTTGCTGGTATTAGTTGAACTGATCAATGATCGTCTTTAATCAGGTGTCTAGCGGAGTGCTGTCTGGAATACTCAACATATCCCCAGAGAAGATTCAGGCGGTCGACATGGACAGCATAAATGCACCTGTTTATTATTCCTTCCTTAGTGGCAGTCCACCAAATTACAGAGATTTCTTTGAGATCAATCGTTCGACAGGCGCTGTTAGACAGATCAAGGCTGTTGATACGTCCGCAACAAAAAAGTTTGACATTATCATCAAGGTGCGTTAGATTCAATAAAAATAACACGAAATTTTTTAAATAAAAAAAAATTTTTGGAAAAATAATTAAAATTGTAATTTAATAGAATTTTTGCTAAAAAATTTCGATGTGAATGGAAATAAATTGAATTCAATGAATTAATTTTGGATTTTTTCTTCTTTTTTTTCACAGGCAGTGGAGGCATCAGAGGCAGAACGTTCCGCAACGGCAAAGTTAACAATTACCGTGAAGCCAGTGGATAGCAATCCACCAACAATAACAACATCGGCAATCGAAGGTTTTGTTGATGAGAATGCACCAATCGGTACGAGAGTTGTCGATGAGGAAGGAAATCCTATTCGACTGACAGTCACAGATGCGGATCTGGTGAGTAATTCAACTCGTTTCTTTTTCCTCTTCTAAAGAAGTCGTCGTGAGATTTGCTTGAATGTTAGTTGAATGAGGAAAAGAACTCAATTCTACATACGTCATGATTATTTATTATCAATCCATGAATTTCAATTCTTGTATTTTTTTCAAAAAATTAAAATTTTACAAATAATTTTTCTTTTTCTTTGAGCAAAATTTTACATTGTAAACAAAGTTTTTTTTCAAAAAGAAATTTTTCAATTTTTATTTTAAAGAAATATTTTTTAGAGAATTGATTTTGTTTTTCACCTTTCAGAGTCCTGAGGATCCGAAACCTTCGTATGTTTTTGAATTAACAACGAATTTTTTTACAATCGACCAATTTGGAATTCTCGTTGTTAATGAAGAAAATCTCGATCGAGATCCACCAAGCCCAGGACGTTTCCGCTTTCAAGTTGTTGCCCGTGAAAAATCCGGAATCGCTGCATCCTCTCCACTGTCGTTCACTGTCACATTGAACGATGTTAATGACAATGCGCCTCAACTTCCGATGATTCCTTCTATAACTGTTCAGGCAGGCGAGACAACCAGAGAAATCGTTAAGGTGTGAAAAACAACCAACTTCTTTTATGATTTTCAGTCTTTTGTCAGTGATTATTTTCTTGCTGGCAAAAATGCAATTTTTTTTTTTTACTAAACATTTTTTATCTTTATTATTAAAGATTAATTATCAAAAAATTTAAATATTATCAAAGAAATATTTTTTTAATTCCGATTTGATTTGGATGAAAAATATGAAAATTTCCACAATATTTTGAAATTATTTCCTCTCGTATCTTTATGATATTGAGGGCGCGTAATTTTGGAATTTAATGTTTTAGGTAACAGCCACCGATAACGATGAGGGTGAAAATGCAGAGATAACGTATAGCATTTATCATGTGTCGAATAATGGGCTGCAGAAATTTAAAATTGATTCGAAAACTGGCATTATTGAGTCTATCAGGAAACTAAATGCCGGCGAACAATACAGTATAACGGTCCAAGCGACTGATAATGGTGGAAAGCATTCGCAGGTGATTGTTGAAGTTAATGTTTTACCCGGACCCAATACCAGGAGTCCCGTTTTCCGACAACCGGTGTATGAAGTACAAGTTAGCGAAGGCGCCTCCATCAATTCAACAGTTTCAAGTATCGTTGTAAGTATAATTATCATCATATTTTCGCGCTATCAGAGTAGATAATATTTTCAAGTTTGTTGGTTTTCTCTTTCGTTTATTATTTCACCATTATTCCAATTGCCTAAAATGAACATCTAATTATGCTCTAAGATAACTATTCAAGTAAAATTCATAAGGTAGAATGCAAATGAAAAATAAATATTGTTTCCCTTATATATTCAAGAAGATTTATTAAGTATAGAATAGAATTTGTTTTCATATGATAATATAGTTTTACTAAATCCTTGTGCCAGTTATTTGCAGATATTAAATAAAATTTATTTTTCGAGAAAAGGGAAATAAAAATAAAATATTTCAAAATTCAAGTTTGAATCGGGAAAAATAGATCAATATAAAAGAAAAAAAAATGTTTTGAATAATTATATAATTTTTAGTCATTATGTAAATTAGTAAACAATAGTAATAAAATATAGAACTTCAATTGCCTTTGATTGCCTTCCTTACATCGTTTAAATGGCCACAACAAACCAATAAATTGTTGAATTATGGAGCAGGGACTATTTTCCTATCTGCATATCCTTAACATATATAGGGTCGATGTGTAAGGTGACAGAAATGCAAATTATAAAATGCTCTCGTATTTATTATTCGAGATTGAATGTAACTTGATGCTTCGTTATATATAGTATTAAAAAAATATAAAGCAGATTGGTAACAAGGGATGTAACAAGTGCTTTATTTTTGTTTCTTTTTTCAGGCAGTGGATCCGGAAAACGATCCAGTTTCATACTCTATCGTCTCCGGTAATGACCTCAGGCAATTCGCTATTGGTGATAAATCGGGTGTTATCACCGTTATAAGGAAGTTGGACAGGGAAGACCTGACTCGATATCAGCTAGTAAGTGTTCTGCCAAAGGGAATGTTTCGTAAACTCTTTTTTTTCGTTTGACTTATGCTGGACGACAATAATTCTATCATGACGTTCATTCCTTTATAACGGGTGTTTTCTCTTAAATATTGTTTCATCGAACAAATCAATTGAAAGTATTTTGATGTTCCATTTATTTAATTTCTTTCATTTTTATTTTCATTTTATATTTTTTATTTCATTTCATTTTAAATTTTTTAAATATTTTTTCGTTTTGGTAAATATTTTATCGATTTTCAATTTTTCGCTAAATTTTTATCTAAAGTTTTATAATTTATTGAACTTCTTCTTTTGTATAGTTGATTAAAGCAGAGGATTCTGGAGGATTATCGAGTACGGCTACTGTTAATATCAGAGTTACGGATATTAACGATGAAAATCCAAAGTTTGAAGGACTTCCTTATGAGTTTATAGTTAAAGAAGGAGAAACTCGAAAATTGATAGGTCGAGTTCATGCTGAAGATGCTGATGAAGGCATCAATGCTGTTGTTACTTATTTTGCACCGGATGATGTTCCTTTCACTGTTGATCCTGAAACAGGAGATGTTTTGACTAAAGTTGCTTTGGATTATGAACAAAATCACGTTAGTTTGTTATTTATATATTTTTTTTTTTATCTTTTTTCATTTTTATTAAAACAAATTTTTTTTGTAATAATAAAATTTCTTGTTTGTCTAGGAATACAAATTTGTGGTGACTGCAAGAGATGGAGCACCGGATCATCGATTAGCAACAGCTACAGTTACTGTAAAAGTTCAAGACGTAGAGGATGAGGTACCAATTTTTCATCAAAGCAGTTACGAAGCTCGAGTTAAAGAAAATGTTCCTGATTATACTGTCGTACAAGTCATAGTAAGTTAAATTACTTTTAATTATATAATATAATTTTTATTTCAAAAATTTAATTGGATTTCTTTTACATTTGCTTTGAAAATGTAAAACTTTCTTTTAGTACTGAAAATTGCAAATATTCTTTTTTGTATATAATTATATTTTAATAAATTTTTGAAGGCCGACGATCCTGATACAACCAAACGTATCACTTATGAATTGAGACAAGGAGACACGGAGATTTTTGAAATTGATGAAAAAACTGGAATTATAAAAACAATTCGAGGTTTAGATTACGAAAAGGAAAAGCAGCATATTCTTATAGTAGGCACTTTAGAAAATACGGGTGATTTACCCGGATCAACTACTCGAGTTATTGTTAACGTTGAGGTAAAAATAAAACTTCAATTCTCACTAGAAAAAAATTTTTAAATTCTGTTCTATTATTCACTTTTTTTATCGAATCAATGTTTTTGAGAAAATATTGTCATTCGCTAATTAAAGTAAACTTGAGAAAACAATCGTTAACTCATATATATGTTTGTCAATGATCCACATCATCGTGTGTGACTCTATATTGTTCCCCAGAGAATTTATTCCATGTTGTTTTCCAGGATGTCAATGATATACCACCAGTCTTCACTTCAGTGCCTCGACCCGTCACGCTCGATGATGATATTCCCATAGGAACAACTGTAATAAATCTAATTGCCGCTGATTCTGACGGTACATCCCCAGGAAATCAGGTAAATATTTATCTTGATTTAATTTTTTTTTTTTTTTTACTTAAAATCAACTATTTATGAAATTTTTAAAGGTACGCTACGAAATAACTGGAAGGGGTATTGCAAGCAAATATTTTATTATCGATCCTGATACCGGAGTTATTAGAGTACGAGACGATCTGCGCAAGGAAACTGACACTGAATATCAGGTTGATTTTTAATCAATTGCATTTTTTAATTTACTTTCTTTCATTGCCTTGAAATATTCTCAAGTTTCTAGAAATATATAATTTCTATATTTGAAAAAAATTTGTTAAGAAGAAAATTAAATTCTTTTTTGTATCTTTAGGTGGACGTTCGAGCTTTTGATTTAGGTGATCCTCAACTATCGTCAGTGACATCGGTGCAAATTTTCATTCGCCACGTGGCGACAGTGGCCCCTGAAATTGGACTTGGCTTTGCGGAGGATTCCTATAATGTAGACATCTCTGAGGATGCTGTTGACAATTCTCTGATCAAGACACTTACTGTCATTAATTCACATGCTCATGACACAACTCCATTGAAATGTGAAATCTATAGTGGAAACGATGATGGGCTCTTCGAAGCCAACGTCACTGAAGAGAGAAATTGTGCTCTCAGATTGAGAAAAGGAGCACTTGACTACGAAACCACAGAATCCTATCAAATCAAAATTAGATTAATTTCACTCTCCGGTTTACTTAGATCCGATCGTAATACAACAATGGTAAAAGTCCAAGTACTCGATGTAAATGACAATAGTCCGGAGTTTCAATTTCCCGATATGAATATAACATCGGGTCGATATTTCGCAGCAATTTCTTCGACAGCAAAATTCTCGACAGCTGTCCTTCATGTGAAAGCTCATGATAAGGATAGTGGGAAATATGGGAAATTAGAGTATACAATTTTAGATGGACAGGGATCAAATTATTTTTCAATAGATTCATCATCTGGTAGTATTACAACAGCAGCAACGTTTGAAAATGTAAACGCTGATGATTTACCATTTAAATTTAATGTACAAGTTCGTGATAATCCAAATTCAACGAGTAATTTTAATATTGCCGAGGCTATTGTTATTGTCAATCTTATTGGTGAGGAGAATTTATTGGTAATGTCAATTGAGAAAGCTGCTCATGAAAATTTACACAAAGATGGACAAAAAATTGCCAAACTTATTGAAGAAAAAACGGGACTTTTGGTAGGTATCGATAGAATTGTTGTGAGAATGATGAAAACAGAAAATGGAACTATTGAAATTCCTGAAGATTCGGATGTTTGGTTCTATACGATTGACCCAGTAACGGAAACAATACTTGATAGAAACAGCACTCGACTTTATAGGTGAGTAATTGTTCATTTAGTTCATAAAACGAGGATTACATGAAATTTTCTCTATCACACAAAAAATTTTCAATTTTTATATTCATTTGGGAATGGAAATATTTTAAAATTCAATTTGAAATAAAGAAACAAAAATTTATACTTGTCTATTAGACTTAGGATTTATTTTTTAAATCCTTATGTAGAAACTACTTAAATGTGAAAGTCATCCGACGGGATTCGTGAAAAGTAAAATACAAAACGTATGTAGAGCAAGTAGCATTCATATTATATTTTTTGTAAAGATTTTTAAACATTCGCAAAATTCTTTTGGAAAATTATTTTTTTATTTTAAAAAAAGAAAATGAAAAAAAAATAATTTGATTCTAGTTAGAATTGTGATAATTTTCTATAATGCCATTAGAGAAGAAAATAAAAATAAAATAATAGAAGAAATGTGAAAAATTTTCTATTTAAAAAATATTATGAAATTTTTCAGCTATTGTTTGAAAAGTTCCCCTATGGAATTTTTGTTCAACTGGGACATGAGTTTTTTAGTGTCCATAAATAAATAATTGTTCGCGAAAAATGGAGATAATTAAATTACAGAAGGTTGTTATTATATTTTTAAGAATGTGTAAACCCGGGTAAAATAATTACGAATTATGCAAAGAAGGTGTAGGAGAGAGAGAGAGAGAGAGAGAGAGAGTGAGTTGTGCAAAATGCAATATTTTTAAGAGGAAGGGGAAACAAGACCCGCGTATATTCCAACAATCGCCCACGTTCCATTTTCCTATATTACCTGTGTACGTTTATAATCACAAATTGGTTTTCTATTTTACAGATCAGTATTGGAGAAACATGCAATGTCGAATATTACCTACGACGTATCGCCTTTGATTCGAGCAACGGCCACTGAAATTCATCCACCAGTCATGCCATCGGAACAAGTTCGCAAAACACAAACAGCAGTGGTTTTTAGTGGCGAGGTTTTTCCATATGCGCTTATCATCATTGCATGTATTATCTTCGTACTTGGCATCGCTGGAATAATTTACATTTGTGTATCTTGGTCGAGGTAAGAATTTTTTCTTTTTTTCTTTAAAGCCCTTTAAATTTTCATTTTTAAATCACCAATTAGCTTCTTTGAAAAGTTGTTTAATTTTTCTTTTTTTTTTAACACAACATTTTGAGAAATTAAATTATTCAATCTATATAGGAGAAGAAAATGAAAAAGATTTTGGTTTTATTTTACGATAAAGGCGAACTTTCCAACTCTAAAGTAGGTAGTCGGCTAAAGTATAAAACTTGAGAATAGTTCTGTTGTTTGAATGAGAACAACTACTGATAACAAAAGTGATATTGTGAACCAGTTACATTGGCGTTGTTTTACTTCTTTTTTTTATTTTATAGAAATAGTTAAATTTGATTTATTTTGTTAAATTGTTTTAAAATTAAATTTAAATAATAAACAAACTTAATTTTACTTTTCCATATAAATTTATTTATTTAAACTACCAAATTTTTTTTTTATTTATTTAATACAAAAAAAATTAATAGATATAAATAAATAATGTTTGTAGTTGTTATTGTTAGGTCCAGACTTATTACAATTATGGCTCTTTCATCGTGTGAATTCATTCTCATAATTAATTAAATTGACTTTAATTTAAGTTTCCGCAATTTTGTAATATCTACTTATTACGTAATATTTCATGACAAAGGCCACATTTATGGGAAAATGAGACACACACATAAAAGCCTGTGCTCTTTAATTTTATGAAAGTTTTCTTGTGTTCATTTTCCATTTCACTTTCGGTAAAAATATAAAATTTTATTTATATAGAATTTTCAAATAAGAATTCTAATTTTATAAAATAAAGAAGTATTTATGAAAAGTAAAAGAATGAGGTATAAAAAGAAAGGAGAAACGATATGGTAAAAAAATGAGAGTTATAAAGAGATATTAAAAAATAAAGTAATTTTATACTTTAGACAAGGAGAGAGATGTTGAAGATGTAAGAGTGTAATTAGTGGATTTTTCTTTAGTTCAACGAAACTTAATACTGGCAAAAAAGCACTTTCTTTTTTTTTTTTTTTTTTTTTTTTTAAAACACTGGAGACAAATTTAAAATTTCCCTGGCGCAAAATATAAATAGAAGAAAATTGTGTTTTATTCAATTTTATTTGATTTAAAAATAGGTACAAAGCGTACAAGGATCGTATGCAGCGCATGTACGTTGTTCCGAGATATGACCCAGTTTACGTAGAACCAAATCTGAAGGAATATGAAACACAAGTCCTTCAAATGAGCGTCCCTGTTGATGACAATGACAGTTACAACGATTTACAAATTGATTTTAGTAATAAAAATCATGCATTTAGTCTTGATAATGTGAGCTACATCACCAAAGATCCCGGCGAAAGTACAGGTATTCAATTGCAAACAATAAAAATAAAATAATTATCTAAATTATGTTTTAGATAAATATATATATGTAATTTTAATTGTGTAAATAAATAAATTAATTTAAAATTATCATTGTTATTTAAATTGAACAAATATAATTTCTCTATTTCATATAACTTTAGGTCAACAAAGTCCTGTTAGTTCGGAAGCTGCAACAACAGCACGTGCATCTAGCATAGTTGGCAATCATGCCGATTCAAATATGCAATCATTGCGTCTCTCAACATTAGGAAGAAAAAATGGAAATGAAATAAATACATTAAATAATCATCATACACCGGTTCTCAATCCACTTTATAATCAGGGCGGTGATATTTTAAGTCAAAGTCCTTCAAATGATAATGTGATTTTTTGCGAAAGAAAAGACTATTCCCATCTTGGATTCACTTATTTAGGCGATCAAAGCCCCGTAGAAACTACCACGGAACTTTGAAATAATTATCATAATAATAATTATCCTTATATCCAAAGCGATAAAACGTACTGAAAGAAATCAATTTTTTTTTTACAAAAATTACAATCAAAGAAGATTTTAGGTATTTTAATACTCTAAAATATATAATTTTTTTTTATAGAAAATTATTCGAAAATTTAACTTGAGAAAAAAAATTAATTAAATATTAAATGAACTGAACTTGAATTTAAATGTTCAAAGAACTGAATTTGAGTTTGTACAATTTCTAAACGTATCCAAAGCAACAGAATAGGTACACTACCCTGTTATAAATTATGAGAGAACGTCTGTTTTTTTAATGAATGAAAGAATTTTTAAAACATACAAAACAAAAAAGCTAAAACGTTCTCTATTTTTAGATAATAAAATAAAAGAATGAGATTTAAAGTAATATTTTTTTATATAATTTTTTTTTTATAAAATTATAGTAATATGAATAATAAATAGTTTAAATTTGTTAAAGTTTTGAGAAACTGAAAATAATTATTTTTAAAAATCTATTCAGAATTTTATCTACGAAGTGAAAGTAAAAAAATTTTTGGTTTTTATATTTTGTAGTTTGTTTGTTTTTTTCATTCATTTAACAAACAGGTTAAACAGGTTAACTACACAATAATTCACAATGTTTGATGTACAAAAAAGTATAATTTCTAAAATTTAGAGAATAAATTCGTACAAACTCATGGTTTATTCCAAGATGAATTATTGTAGATATATAATAATAAAAAAAAATCATATTTCTCACGCGTTATACCGAGAATAACTGTGGATTAGTGAGAAGTTATCGGTTTTTTGTCGATATATATATATAAATATATTTTATGACTTATCAGTGGAGAGAATCTCATTGTGAATTGTTTCTATTTATTACATATGTGAAACGAGGCAGTAAGCGCCATTCGATACTAAAAAGAATGCTTGAGAGATATTGTTTTATATATATATTGTAATGTATATGTGTGTGTTGAAAAATGAGAAAATGTTGTGTATTTGAATCATCTTCGTTAATTAATGTATTATAGATTATTTATATAATTTTGATTGCTCATTTTATAATTATATATGCCTATATATTTTCCCTGATGTGAATGTGTAATGGAATAATTGAGAAGCTGAGGATTCTAGAATCCAAATTTTTTAAATTAAAAAAAAATTAATTATTATATAATTAATTAATTGTGATTATCGACTTTTAGAATTCTGTTAATTCTTGCGCAAGTTGAATTTAAAAATCTTTCCCCTCTTTAAAAAAGAAAAAAAAAAAAAAAATTGTGGATAAAATTTTGTATTTTTAAAAATTTCCTTTGCAATTAATCACTAGGACTTTGGTTTAAATATCCGCCCGAAGGAAAATTGTCTTTTAAATCGATTTTAGAATTTAGGCAAACGATATCGAATGGTCCATTTAGCTAAAGGAGAATTTAGTGAAAATGAGAAGAAACTATTTTTTTTCAAGTTAATTAATTTGTAATTAAAATACTATCAACGAAATATATTTTAAGGGCTTTGTACTTATATATAATTGACATTGACAAAAGCTAATCTAATTTAACTATTCAAAGACTTGTTTCTTCTTTATTAATTTCTAATATGTAAATAAATCTCTTTATTATTTTGTCAATAGTTGTATCGTGAAATTTTTTTTGTAAACTGGATATTATTACTGCCAATAATCGAAAAATATTTTAGGTACAAATTTTTTTGGTGAATATTGTCATCACCTGAAATAAAGTTACTCTCATGGTTGATTAATTCTTAAGTGAATGATTTTTGTAAAAGCCATTGTATAAACTTGTTAATACATAATAATAAAAAATTTATTATATTACGTATATTACGTATATTATTATTATTATTATCCAATGTATTGTTTATTTTTCTATAAAATTAATTTTTTTATTATTTCTATTTTTCAGAATTTGAACAATTTTCATCAAACTTGAAAAAAAATTTTCCTCTGCAAATTAAGTAAGATAGGTCAAGAAGCTTTAAAGGGTTAAAGGCTCTTGGAAAGTTTGTCGACGAGAAATCCCTCAATCGAGCGATCTTGTGACTTCATTCAATCAGAAATTTAAAGGAGATAAATTACTCAGAAAAATAGTGCTCAAATATTTTTCTCGAAAAGAAAATAGAAAAAAATATACAATTTCTAGGGGAGGAATTAACAATTCGGTTATTAATTTTTTTCTCTCATTTTAAATATATATTTGCAATTAATTATACCTTCAAACATATTTGCCAATTAGTACATACATATGTAGGTAATATAAGAAATTCTTTTATGAATCTATCTCTGCTTATATTCATAAGGGAAATTTTTCACTTAAATTTAGTAAAAAAAACAACTAATTAATGAATATTTAAAGTTTCAGAAAAACTTTTATGAAGAAAAAAATAATTAAAAATTAATATAATAATTAATATAATTCAATTAAAAAAAATATATAATGAAAATTAAATAAAATTTGAAAAATGTGAAATTGATTTTTTTTTCAAAAAAAAAAAAAAAAAAAAAAAAACAACTATGCGCACTCATATCAAGGAATATGTTGGGAAAATTGAGTTGACAAAGGAATGAAGAAAAATATCGATAAAGCGAAATAATTTCATCAAACATCACACTGAATGACGTCAGAGAAATATGATTTTAAAATGATTCTTTGTTGGAAACGAAAGCATAATATATTTGTACAGGTACAAACATGAAGAAGATGAAACAAAAGAAGAATAATTAATTTGCGCAAAATGTCAAAGGATTCGGGGGATATACAAATTCTTTGGGGAATTTTGAATAAAGGAATAGTACTTTACTTTCAAAAATGAAAATAATACAAAGTTAACATACGGAGAGAAAAAAAAACAAATGTACTTAGAAAATTTATTTAATTATTATTATTATTTTATTTGATTTTTAATATACTGGGTCAAGTTGTTTTATTAATTTTTATTTGTCGATAAAGTCTTCTTTAAAAGTTGCGGATTAAATGTTGAAACTTTTAACAAATTTCCTATTGACTTGGATTATAAAATTTTTCTAAAAGATTTGTTATCTCCTGGAGGAAATAAAAATACAGTTTCCCTTTATATGAAAGCAATATAAAGGATAGTATATTTTAAAGTGAATGAATTTTAAAGAAATATGTATAATATAAAGGAAAAATACAATTTTTAATAACGTATATATAATAATAATATGTAAATTTGTTTGCATGAAAAGGAAGCCCTTGTGTAGTAAATTTTGAGCCCTGAATAAATTCAGAGGTTTTGCGTCGGCGCTTTTACTCTCGAGTTACGCAGTCGCTGCTGGATCAAAATTGTGACGTGTGCGCGGATCTGGATTCTGAGACGAGGTGGTGAAATTTTAGCCGAAAGGCTACATACAGACAGTCCGCGATCTGGGCGCGTTCACTCCCCAGTAGCATTTCTCGTCCCAAAGGGGGATGATGGTTTTTTAAACTTAAACAAAATTTTTATCTATATACAGTGAATACATTTTTTTTTCTACTTCCTGTGGAGTTTGAAATAAAGTGCGCGATAAATAATAATTTAATCTTTTCCGATTAATTTTTAAAAACTTTTTAAAAGAAGAGCAACTGGTCTTTGTTTTTCACATTTACATTTCAGTGTTATGTATATACTATGAAACCCTTTTTTGATATATACGTTATATATATAAAGGAAATCAACCACCTGTGAACTTTTCTCATCTGTTCCGTTTAGAAGATAGAATATATATATATATATATATATATAATCAATTACCTGTCATTCGAAGTATGAATAAGTTTCCAGTTTATAGTGAGAATGTTATTGAAATCTCATCTCATTTTTCAGTCACAGATAAGGTAAGTGGATTTATATATCCGATGGAATGGAGTATAAAGAGAAAAAAATAAGATTAATTAAATCTCGATATGAAAAATTGAAGAGATGAATGAAATGAAAATTGATTTATGGTAATTGGAATGAATCAAAGTGAAGAGGAAATTAGAATTTTATCGAAAATTGTTTTGCGTTTAAATTGCTATCACATATATATATAGAAAAAGTCAAGAGGCACTTGTTATTATAAGCATTTGTGAATAAGCTGGATTAATATTAAAATCTATACCACTTTCAAAGAAATATTTTACAAATGATATTTTATTTTGTTTATTAGCAAAAATTAATGTTTTTTTTATTCGAATCAAATATAAAAAAGCCATGTAAAAAAATATCTATAAATAAAAATAAATAAAATTCATTTGTTTTAAATTAAAAAATATATTTGTCTCAGGGCCATCAATTTGTTTCAAATAAAAATTTTGTCTCAAATAAGATTGAAACAAATATTTATTTAACTTTGAAACAAATATATTTTTTTTACTCTTATTAGGAACTGAAAGCGTATATAACAAAAGTAATTATAATTAATTAAATAAACTTTAATTGTTATATAAATAAACTTTTGACATTTTGTGAATTTAATATGAAACATGTTTATTTGACATTATATTTATTTTGTTACTGGGTTAAGTTTATACAGTCTAAAAGAGAATTAATATTGATAAAAGCTTTAATTAAAATATGTCAAATTAAATTATTTAAATGCTTATTATTTATGATTATTCGTAAAGTTTTTAAAACTTCATATTTTTTTTTTTATTTTTATTTTTTTTTTGCAGTAAAAACTCTATAAAGAAAAAGTCCTCTTGCGTTTACGTGTATAAAATTTTAAAGAGTATATCATACACATATAGTGTGATGAAAAAAAATTGCATGTAGTTGGAATGTTATGAAGAAGCCAACACAAAGTTTATGAAAGAAAAACTTTCATATATATAATGTGCAATTCTACTCTATTTTACATTCAATTTTCTTCATGTTTCTCAACACGGGAAAAAAAAATTTAAAGTAACCTGTTATTATGAAATAAAATACAATCTAGTAAATATTTGTTGTTTTTTATCGTTTCTTTGATGTTCGATATAAAAATTGAAAAATAGAGTATATTATTATTAAATATAATGCAGCTATAAACGTAATCCGTTAAGAATATTATAAATTATTTTCAGTTTAATGACAAATGAAAAGTTAAAAAATACTTGTTGGAATGAAGTACCTGAAAGTGACACTTTTTGTATTCAACCTTCTAATATGGGTAAATATTTAAAAGTTATGTTTATCATTTTGAAAAAAAAACTCGCAATTAAATAAAGTTAATTCGAAGAATATTTAATAAAATATTAAACAGTTAATTTGATAAATACTAAATAAAATATTAAATTAATTTGCAAAATACTAAATAAAGTAAAAATTATTTTGCAATAATTTAAAAAAGAAATTAAATTAGAAGACTTTATATGTAACTTAAAATTTGTTTCCAGTTGGCTGGGTGCTCATTAATGTTTCTGGGCACCTGGCTACTAATGGAGCCAAGCAAAGGACACCTTTTAAACCTCTTTCTCCCCAATTTAACTCCCCATGAGACTATTCACTTAATTGCGTACAGTTTACTCGGGCTTGGATTGACAGTACTCACAGTTGGCTTTTTTGGATGTCGAGCAGCACTCCATGAAAATCAATGTATTTTAGCAGTTGTAAGTTTACTCTATTAGATATCTATTTTTTCTAGAGATTTTTACAACTTTTATTTAAATTATTAGGTAAATATATTTTAAAAATTGATTTAAACATCAGTAGTTAAACTCAGTTATAATCAGACAAAAACAATGGATTTAGTAACTTTGTATCAGTAGTAAAAACCGGATTCAGTCAGACAGTTTAATTTTTTTCAATATGAAAAAAACACGGGAAAAAATTTATTTGATTCAAATAATTGGTTACTTTGCTATTATCAAATATTTTTTTGTATTAAATAATTAATTATTTGGTTTAAATAAATATTTGCTAATAAAGGGATTGATTATTTGAATCAAATTGATTTTTTTAGTGTACAAGTAGTAAAAACAGTTTAAGTCAGACGCGATATTTCTAAATTCTTGTTATCATAATATCAGTAGTAAAAATCGATTTTAGTCAGACTATCATTTTTAAATAAGTAGAAAAAATCAGTTTTAGTCAGACATAAATCTTGTTGATTTATCGCCGTATTTTTACAAGTAGTAGAAACAGTTTAGGTCAGACGCGATATTTCTAAACACTTGTCATCATAATATCAGTAATAAAAACCAATTGTAGTCAGACATAATACAAATGGTTGTTTTCTAACTTTTAGTATTCAGTTAGACGCAGCTTTTTTAATTTCTCTTTAATCTTAGTAGTAGTAATAGTCAGTTTTAGTCAGACCACTATTTTACCATTATATTTAGTAGTGAAAGACAGTTTTAGTAAGACATTTAAATCGTCTATAATTTGTATTTGTATCAAAATTGTATTATGGCTCATTATTATTCATGAAAATTTATCGTAATATCTAACTGAAATTAATTTTCAACAGTATATGAGTATGCAGATCGCTTTAATTATCACTGAACTGATAACAGCGGCGATTATGGGATTAATGACATTTAGAATTCTCTCTGGATTAGAAGAAAGACTTGCAAGTCGATTGGCTGATCATTATGGTCATGATCCAACGAGTGATATTCCCTTTAGTCACAGTCTTGATTTTGCACAGTATAAGGTACTTTTTTTAATTCCATTAAATTTAATTAAAATTTAAGTTAAATTAAATTTTTTAATTTTAATTTTCATTAATTATAATTGTAATTTACTTATTTTTAAATTATAATTTGTGGTGGTTGAAAATAAATGTAAAATAATAAAAGTTCTGTTCAATGTAAAATTGTAATAAAAATTATTAAATTATTAATTAAAATTAGTATTAATTAATTAAAACTAGTTTTAAAACAAAAATTAAATTACAATTATGAATACAATTTTTCTACAATGTATTTGTAACTTTCAGTTTAATTGTTGTGGTATTCACGGTGACAATGATTACAATGGCACTGCATGGTGGAGAGATGGTCAAATTTCAGGATCAAAGCGACAAGTTCCACTTACGTGTTGTGTTTTGAAAGATGATGAGGCAAGGATATTTTTTCTTATATTTTTAATTTTACAAACTTTAGGCCTTTTTTCAAAACAAAAATTTATTTAAAATCATTTTTTATTAAAAGTTAATAAATAATAATAATTGTTTTTATTTTAATACAATTTTTTTGTTGATCACGCTATTAATATATTTTCGATATTTTTAGGTGAAAAACACAGGAAGTCCAATGAGTGTAATATCGAGAGTGTTCTATCAAAATGTGAGTACTAAAAAAAAGTCAATATTTTTCATTTTGAAATAATTAAATTATCTTTGTATTCGTTATTGATAAAAATAATTTTTTTTTCAGAGTGAAACACCATGGCTTCATCCTCAACCAAAGGACATGGCTGCTTGTCAAGTGGAAGATGAAGAGGGTCACGATGGTTACAGACACAAACAAGTAGGTTTTAAAAAAAATATCCAAAATTTTCTCGATATTTATTGAAATTTTTGAAGAGTTTTTTTTTTTTTTTGTTTTTACATTTCTTCAAGTACTATAATTTTTTTCAGGGTTGTTTGGACAAAGTGAGCAATTGGCTGGAGTTTGAAAGTTTTACACTCGTTTTTTTGGGGATGTCCATGGCGGGAATTCAAGTAATTTTCACACAATTATCATAAATAAACTATTTAAAATTATTTAAAAGTTTTTTTTTAGAAAAACAATTTTATTTCTATATTAATTTTTTTTTTCTAATTCATTTAAATAAAATATAAATTTTCAGACATTTGGAATAATTACGTCAGCTTTCTTGTGTCGAACAATTAGAGACATGCGCACGGAATGAAGAGGATTATGTGTAGAAAATTATTATTATTATAAAAAAAAGGAATAAATGTCTAAAAACGTTGGTATATTTAAATAAAGCAACGTTTTATGATAATCAGTTAGGTTTTCAATGTATACTAATTTTTGTGAATAGAATTTTGCATTCGTACGCGTGTTTTATGTACATTTTTTTTTTATTTTAATTAGATATACATATACATTCTTTTTTAATTTCCTTAAATAAGTATACAATATTTCTTTTTTAAAAAGACGCTCACTATACACAAGTTTTTTCATAAAATAAAAGCGCATTTGAATCGAATTCTACTGCTCAAAGGCTCAAACGATTTTTAAAGAAATTACGGAAAGACCAAGGATATTTATAAAAAGAACTTTTTATAAATGAAAGCTATAAACTGCCGCTTTTTATTATGGCTAATCTCGAAATAAGACACTTTATTCTAAATATGAATAAGTAAAAAAGTCTTTAGAATCTTTTAATATATAAATAAAAAAAAATTAAATTCACTTTACAAAATAAGAAAATTTTACTTATTCAGATTTAGGGATGAAATTTTTTTATATAATTTCATAAAAAGCAATGAAATCTGTTTATAAAATTATAAAATCTGGAAATTTTTACCGAGTTTTTAATTCATTGAAAAATATACCTATTAGGAAAATTGATAAAGAATTTATAAAAAAAAAAGAATTTTGCGTGCGAATGCATAATTGTAAATATACAGATTTTTCGATATAATCAACGAAAAGTCGAATTAGCTATGTATATGGAAAAAAGTATATTTACACAAATGCGAGATTTAATCGAAAAATTTATTAATCGCAAAGCGAAGTTATTTTTAATACAAAAAAAAACACCAGACATCATCTCATATACATTCGGCTCATATATTTTGTATGTGCTTTCACTGGTTAACGCTGGTGAACGATTGTTGTTGTAAATGTTATACAGTATTTGCCATTGATGTATAATTGTCGTTATACGCGTACAAAAAAAAAGTCAAATGTGTAGCACTGGAATAAAACATTTTTTTCCATGTGTATAATTTATTTTACTTCCCTTGAATGTCATATATTTAAATTTTTTTTTTAAACTTTACAATGTTTTTTGTCAGATAACAAAATTTTTGAAATAGAAGAATATTAAGTTTTTTATTTTTAGTATTTAATAAAATTTTATAATTTTATATTTGTTTACAAAATAATGGAAGTTTTATAAACAATTTGTTGGTTAAAAATTAAATTTTCTTTAAGACAATAAATTAATCATAAAAATATACTTCACGGTCATTTAATTTTTGAACAGGTCTTGTATTTAATAACACCGGATTACCTTTAGAGGAGCGTATTTTTCGAAATTGTGCCACCTGTATATAACAATTTAAAATTATTTTTAAAAAGACAAAATCAAAAAATGGGAGTATTTACTTTTTATATACAGTGAAAAATAAAAAGAAACACAAATGTAATAAAAAAAATGTAACTTTAATGAAAAAGGATTATAATTCATTTTTTTTTTTACTTGAAATGAAGAGATAGCAATAGGTTCTGGTTGAATGATCCAAGTGACCATTTCAGTGCAGGGAGGTTGGGTAAGTGAACCATTGTAACTATAATAAGAACATTCAAAGGGTGGGTAAAGCCATTCCAATGGAAAAGGTGGTATAGAAACTTTTGTCCCAGCTTTTGAAATTCGCCAAAGATTTGTTACTATATGATCTAAGTAAGGATTGTCGTCATTTGTTATCTGAGAATTAAAAACAGAGATGAAAATGATAACAATAATACACCGAAAAAAAAATTAGTTGATTCAAATAAATTTTTTCCAGTACAATAAAATAATAACAATAAATAAAATTTGAATTTACAATTTTTTTTTTCAAATAAAATGAAAAAATTAAATAATTGTTATTAAGCAAATAATCGAAAAAAACAATTAAATATATACCTGTAAAAAATAGGAAATTATTGCAACAGCATCTTTAGTATGGAGCAAGGATCGATCCTGAGGGGAAGTATAACATTTTTTCACATGGACCATTTGAAGTTCCATTGGAAATTTTACATAATCTAAAGTGTGCTCACTTCCCTCATCATTCGATGGTCCCCAATGAAAAATCATCGAATGAAAATTGTACGTATCATTTAAAGGACCTTTCGTTACATTTGGTAACGCTCCGCCTGACCAAACACCGGTTACATTCACTGAAAATTTTAATATTCTTATTTTTACTTTGTTTACTAAAGTAAATAAATTCTTTATTCTCTTTATAAAATAAAAAAGTTAACTAAAATCCAAATATTGTCTCAATTTAATTTTTAATTATCTATGATGAAGATACTATTCTATATATAAATAATAGATGATAACAGTATCAACTGAGATAATTGAAAAAACGACAATATCTAATATTTATTACAAATTAAAAAAAAAATGAATTTTTAAAATAATGTCTACTATTTATTGGAGTGAATCGTATAATGAATTAATAATATAGAAATCAGAATTGTTTCAATTGAAATGAAAGTACTCTTATTGACGATATATGGTATACACGTTCACACATATAGGAATTGGATTTCAATTTGAAGTGGATTGACGATTCTCAACAAAGGGAATCAATTTATATAAACTGTATTTTACCGGAATTTCCATCGTTTTCCAACAGCATAGATGTAGGCTGTGAACGATAGCCACTCCATTTTAAAGGTTCAGATGATTGTAAAACGGCAGCAAGACGTGTTACGATATTGATGGGAGATTGGTTACAGCCATTGCATTCAGGAAATAACAATTTCCATTTATGTGGTCCATTTTCGCTGTCATAGCCAAAAGAAAATGAGGTCGAATATCCGCAACTTTCAAATGAAAACATATCAGCACCGTCGACGATCTCTGATAATAGCAAAACTGTGAAGAAATTCACATATATGATTCCTTTTTGTTTTAATATTTTATTTATTTATATAAATATTGAATTAATTTTATATATTTTATATTCTTATAAATTTTTTATTTTCAATTTGTCTTTAAATTTTCATTTTTTTATTATTTCACTTTTTTAACATTTCATTTTCATTAAAATTGCAATAAAAAATAAAATTCACTAAAAGGGATAATAAAAAAAAATGCATATAAAATTTTTTTTGATAAAATTTCCTTTTTAATATTTTCATTTTTATTAATTAAAGTTCACTCACCAAAGAGAAGAAATATTCCTACTCCAACGAGAAATTCCGGTAAAGAAGGATTTATCATTTTGAATTTTTCAATGGGAAATAAAATATTTTGTGTCGTAGCAAATATTGAATGACAAATTTATCACCTGATAATTTATAATTTTGCATTTCATTAAAACAGTTTTTTTTGTATTATTATGAATCTATAACCTCAAGTTGTCAGACAAATAACATTCGAAAATCACGTGGAGAGTAATAATATATTTCTTCTAACCTTTTTTTATCAATTATATTTTTTGTTACAAAATTTTTATGTAATTTAATGAAAAAAATAATAAAAAAAAGTATAAATTATTAAATATGAGTCACACTTTAAAAAGTAGGTCATATAGAATGTGTCTTTAATTATTTTTTTATATGTAAACATTTTGTGATTGTATGAGAATTTTTGTGCTACTTTTATTTTTAATATTTCGATTTATAATAATTAGGTAATTCTGTAATTATTTCAACATCTTCATCTGGTTATCCTAAATGGAGACAATCGCCAATTGATTTAAATTGTGTCAATGTTTGGCAACGAAAATTTCCGCCCTTACTTTTAAGTGGACATTGGAAAAATGAAGGGACGGCAATTATCAAAAATACGGGAGAAACTGGTATTAAAAAAAAAATAATTTAGAATTAAATTTAAAATAAGAAATGAATTATTAAAATAAAAAAAAAATTATTAAAAATAAAAATTTTTAGTGCAAGTGGAACTACATGATAGAACAGTTCCAATGATTAGTGGAGGCCCATTGAATGATTATTATGAATTTTTGTATTTACAATTTCGTTGGGGTGAAAATAATTCTTATGGTGCAGAACATTCTATAGATAATACATGGTAATTACAAATTAACTAAATTAATTCAATTATATTACATACAAAATTTTTGAAATTTAGAATTTAATTCATATTATTCGAAATAACAAAGGGAATTTTTCTTATAAATATATTGTCTAATTTAATTAAATTTATTTAAAAAAAAAATTTTTTTTTTAAAGGTACTCGATGGAAGCTCAAGCTATTCACTGGAATCCTCGATATGAAACTTTAGAAAAGTGTTATGAAAATTCTGATGGAATAGCTATCATTTCATACCTTTTCCTGGTAAGCTTTGATGTATGGGACATATATTCTATATACCATATATAAAACTATTTCACTGCAGCCAAAGAGAATCGCGTATGGAAAACTTTGAAATGCTTTCCTTTTCTAAAGTAGGAAATTTATTTATTTATAAAATTGTTTAATATAGAGAATATCGTGAATTTTATAAAAATAACATTTTTTTTTAGAAATTAAATAATAGAAATAAAATTTTTAAATCATTTACAAATATTAAAAATTATTTTATATAATTTCATATAATTAATTTCTAAATTGTTTGTAAATTTGTAAAAACAGGAATAAAATTCTTGTGGGAATATATGCGGTGAAAATGGCTTGAGATATAGAATATACGTCCTAAATAAGTATAAATCTACTCAACCAATTTTGAATAAATTTTTCAGGTATCAGGTTGCGATGGAATAGCAGATAATCCAGAATTTAAAAATATTACTAACTCTTTATCGAGTATCAATAACGTTGGAAAATCTGTAAATATTTCACCAGGTTCGCAATATAAAAGTTTTTTTTTTTTTGCACAATTTCCGTAGAAAAAGCTTTCTAAATTTAATACAATTTAAGTTCCATTAATCACTAAAAAAACTTTTTCTTTATCGTTCAGATTCTTTGAAATGGATGACAAATTGCTTTTATCATCCAGGTTATTACACATACGAAGGATCATTAACAAGTTTTCCTTACAGCCAATGTGTCACTTGGATTGTAATTCCAAGACCTTGTAAAATTTCATCAAATCAGGTATAAGTTTTAATAAAATTTTACAAAAAAAAAGTGTAATAATTTTATTTTTTGTTTCTATTGAAATAGATGGAAAAGTTTAGAAGAATACGCGATAAAAATTATAAACCAATTTTAAATAATTATAGAACACAACAACCTATACGTGGTAGACAAATTTTTTATGCAAATGAAATTGCTTTCAGTTGATTTTATTAATTTTACAAACAAATTTTAATTACAAATGAAGAGAGAAAAGAATTTTTATACAAATTAAAATAAAATTTATCTGGGGTTTGTAAAATTCATTTGTTTTTTTGGCAAAATTTGTCAAAATTTATTTTTTTGGTGAAAAATATTATAATAGTTTATTTACTGGAAAATTAAATTAACAAATTGATGGCGTGTGAAGAGTGTCGTATTGGTAATCGAATTGTATATAATTGTTCAAAATTAACCTAATTAAATATAATTAGTAAGTACTGTAAATTTTCTAAAAATTTTAACTTCAAGGTTTTCACAAATCAGGCCAATCACCTATTGACATTGATGACAAATCAGTTGTTTCTACTAAATTTCCACAATTAATTTTGACAGGACACTGGTTAAATGATGGTTATGCTTGTATGGTTAATAATGGAGAAACAGGTTCGAATTTTGAAAAATGTATTAAAAATTGTTAATTAAAGAAAAATTTTTACAAATCAATACAGATATATTTAACAAATTGATGATAAATTTATACTTGACATACTTTAGCAACAAAATATTTTCTTAAATTAAAAATACATCAATATAGGTACTTAAAGTGAAAATATTCTTTAATTCAAAATATTTTATAAATAACTTTAAAAATAATTATATTTAATTAAAATAAATTTTAATTTAAAAAAATTAATATATTCCACAAGGCGCTAAAAATGTATTCTTAATTTTAGAACAAAATTTTTTATAGTGCAAATTTTCTTTTTATATTAAATTTATTAAATTATATTTATTAAATTATTCTACGATAAATATAGTTAAGATAACATTAACTGGCGATAGAATCCCCTCAACTATTAAGGGAGGACCTCTATTAGATGATGTTTATGAATTTGAAAATGTTCATTTTCATTGGGGGGAAAATAATTGTCGTGGTTCCGAACACACAATCAATGATACCTGGTAAAAATTTTCATAAATTTTCAATTGCAATTTTTTTAAATTTAAATATTTATAGATACGTAAAATATATCTATTGTAAAATTCTTATTATGTAGCAATTTTTTTTCGAAAAATACTTGATCGAACAATGAAATAAACATTTTTATTACAATTTTATCTTTTTTCTTCAGGTTTTCCATGGAAGCCCATGCAGTTCACTGGAACAGAAAATATATGACATTTGCTGAATGCTTGAATCACAAAGATGGAATTTGTGTTCTCGCATTCCTATTTCTGGTAAACATATCGTATTCTTTTCTCCCAAAGAAAGAATAACAATTTCAAAATTTACAATAAATTTGTTTTCATCCATTGTAAATATATTTTTAAAAATAAATTTATTTTTTAAAATATTTTATTTAAAACATTTCAATAAAACGATTTAGGCAACTGATAAAAATAGTTTCTGGAGTAATTTTCAATTAGAAGGAATCACAGATAATTTGAAATACATTCACGAACCCGAAATAATAACTGAAATTCCAGCTAGTAAGTTTTAAGACATATTTATAGATGAATAAAAATATTTAAAAAATCTTTTTTTTGTTTTCGTTTTCTGAATAGATTGTCTTTACTGGATAAAAAGTTGTTTGACTGCTCCCAGTTATTACACTTATCGAGGATCATTGACAACTTATCCTTATAACGAATGTGTTACATGGATCATAAGTCCAAAAACTATAATGATTTCTGCCTCACAGGTAAAATTAATTGAACGAGAAAAAAATGTTTAAATCTTTAACGATTTAAAATTTTATTTTATAAATTTTCTCTTATATTTTAGATCGACGAATTTCGTAAACTAAAAAATGATAAGAATGAAAAAATAAAGGATAATACAAGAAAAGTTCAAAATTTACGAGGAAGACGAGTTTTTCTTAGCTGTTAATAGATGATTTGGAGTAATTATTTTATTTTATTTTATTATTTTTATTATTTTTTTTATCATTTAAATTGCTAAGTAAAATATAAAAATCTCCATAAAAAAACCTATAATTATATTTAGAAATAAACATTTCTAAACAAAATTTTATTTTGAAATGATTATTTATAATTTTTTTCTAATAATTAATTTCAGAAATCAGTGAAACAATTATTTTTAAAAATTAGAATATTTTTAAATAAAAAAATACTTTCAAAGAATACTTTTTAAAAAAATACACTTTAAAAAGATAATAAAACTTGTCTAGCCTGCGGAAAAAAAACATTTATTTTAAATCTCTTCTCTCTCTTTCTAATAGCAACTTTTATCTAGTTTTCTGGTTCATTCAGTCTCACAAAGGAATCAATAATAGCACACGCTTTACTGATTGTCTCTTTCAGTATTTCATAAATCCTCAGATAAAATATTTCCTCATACAAAATAATATCACTAGATTTCAAAATAATCCATTTTTTTATTATTACTTTGTCCATCTCTTTATCATTCATAGAATGATTTGAACTTTCCCTCTGAAGTTTTTTCTTTGGCTTCATTTTCAACTGTGGTGTCAATTTTCCCGTGGAATTCCACGAGAGACTATTTGACCTAGATTGCGATGATACATTTTCAATTGCTAATTCAGAATCCATTTTACATTGAAAGCAAACATTCTTAATAATAGTTTCACTTTCGATTTCAAATTTATTGAAAAATGAGCACAATAAATTATAAATTTTCCCATATTTTTCATCTTTTGTTGAACTAAAAACAATAGGTTCTGAAGCTGCTTTGCAAACACTGACAAAATGTGATAATATTTTTTGACGAAATTCTGAATCTTCAATTTCGAGAATGATATTTCGTAAATCGATAATAGAGAGATTCCACTCGTGACTTGTTGAGTTTGAAAAAATTTTATTGTAAATCTCATGGAATTCTTTTATTAGAATTGAATTATAAAAATATGATGGATTTTTGGCGGTGAATATATCACATTCGAGAAAAAGATCTTCATAAGGAGGTTCTGCCGGTTGAAATATTAGTGAATCGTTTACTATTTCCTCGAGAATTTCTTTAATTGCCGAGTCTCTGATACGATTGTTGAGATAATTCTCAATTTCCTGAAAATAATTTTTTTTTTTTAATATGTCTTTTGTACAAGAAAATAAATAATTACTTCAACTTTGGTTTTGGAAATAATTTCCTCAGTACAACATCCCCAAAAACGAAAAGTAATATCTTCACGACACAAAATGGGATCAGTCACAAATTTCCAATTTTCAGTTTTTACTCCCGTATTTCCGGCTTTAAACCAAATGGAAAAGTTTAAAATTTGTCCAGGCAAAATAATACCACGATTTTTATTAAAAAAGAAAGGACTAACTTTTTTTCCCCCTTGTGGAAAGTTGATAGAATTATAAAAAATTGGTCTCCAGTTATAAGATATTTTTATATTTCCTTTGTTTTCGAAAAAAATTTGTTTCTCTAAAATTTCGTTAATCTTGGAACTGAATTTAATATCCCAATTATAGGTTCGATTATAATTTTCTTTTGATTCATCAAATCTTGGATTTAATCTTCTCACAATTTCCTCATTTTCAATTCTCAAAGCTGCAATCATTGCATCGTGATTAATAGACCATTCATTAGTTTCTCTCTCAGTTTCTTCGGCAGTTGTTATTGTTATTATAGGCACTTTTCTGATGATATTTTTCCCTGCTAAATGTTTTCCTTGAATAAATAATTTTTCCATTTTTGGTAAATTCAATTCATGTTTTATCGATTTTTTCAATTCATTTGATTTCGCTAAACCTTTTTCCTCTAAAATTAAATCTGGCGTTGCGACATAGACAAATTTATCAATTGATTTTAATTTTCTATTCGAAGGTACCTCGACACAGGGTAAATGAGGATTTCCATGATTGGAAAGAATTTCTGGTGTTATCCAAAAATTGAGATCAATATCGTTTTTTGTAAAATAATCTGGATTCGAGGCAATTTCCATTAATTCTCGAGTTTCAAGTCGAGATCTATAATTATCGCCAGAATTTAGAAGAAGTTTATTTTCATTTCGTTTTAAAATTTTTTTATAATTCTCCTGATCTTTTTTTCTTATATTTAACCATTTTTTCCAGTTAGTCAATTTTTTATCTTCAATTACAGATTCTGTGAATGTTGTCGGGTGTTTGTAATTTGTGGTAATTTTTGACTGTTTTCTTAAAGGTGATGATGGTTTTGGATTTCCTAATTTTCTCGCGTAATCCATATTTTTGAAAATTAAATTTCTGAATTCAATATACGACAAGGAATAAATTTTTTTTCTATTTATTAACCTCTTTTTTACATAATAATTTTATAACTAGGTTAGATGAGTGAAATTGGAAACACATTAATTTGTAATATTGTAATTGAAACATTTGAAAACCATTTATTTTGTTATTGAAAAAATTGTATGATTTAGGTTGCAAAAAAATGCTATAATAATTATATTTTAGTGAAATGACTGTCATTAATTGCAATTTTGTAGCGCAATTAATAATTATATTTCACTCATGAAGCTGTAACTGACAAGTACAGGCAGAACATAAGCTCTTAAGCTCATTTTTAACTTAATTAGTTTATAATGAAAAGAAATTTGTCAAAGGTTTTAAACTAATCTGACAAATACCTAACAATACTTTATCAAAATGTTTTGAAAATTTATTTGAACTTTTAAAAACCTTTTATATTTTAATTATTATAATCATAAATTTTTGTTTTATTTTTTTAATTATATTTTTTTATTATTCTAAGGGTCTTTATTATTTTCATGTAAATTATTATATATCAAAAAAAAAAAAATTTTTTATTTTCTTCGTCTTCTGCGCCTTTTGATTCTTTCTCTTTCGAGATTGCAGGCTGGATAAAGTGAAATACAGTCGGCATTACCTATACCAAGAACAGAGGCTTTTACAGAATTCAACATTGCCGACCACGGTGATTTATTCAGAATTCTACCAGAGACCCAACTCATTCCTAAACTGTTAAAAAAGATTTCCAATTGATCATTTTTACTGGTAGAAATTGTCCTTATCATTTATTCAAATTTTAATTAATGTTTTTCAATTTTTTAATTTTATTTGATCTCTTACCTCCAAACAGGTATCCAAATTCTTTGACCCCCTTCGGTATGTTTTGCATAACTATTGTCCTCGCAAAGAACTCTTCGAAGGCAATTTCCAAAATCATTTTGAGCAATCATTGCAGCTTCAATTGAACGCAATACACGATGTGATAATTCATTCAATTCCGAATTTCCCGAATAAGACAATGGTAATGAATTGAATGCACTTCTCTTTGCACGTGAATTGCTCAAAGGTAAATCGGCAAAAAGGCTCGATGCCGTTGTTGTTGTTGAGGTAACTGCATTCTTAAATATCAAATTTTTAATTAAAGGTTTAATAAAAATAATATTTATTATTATTAGTTTGAAACCAATAAGAAATTACCTAATTGAAAAAAAAAATTGAATTCGAATCGAATAATAAAATAATTGAAAAATATTTACCGCGATACTCATCAGCAGATGAATAATAAACAAACCAAATGCCAAAAATGCCAGAGCAGTGAGGGCAATTTCGAAAAAATCCTTTACTGAAAGTTCACCTCCTTTTTTACTGTGATGAACATGATGACTGTCTTCATGATGATTTGTGGGAAAATAATAATGTTCCTCGTGTACAGAGGGCGAGAAACCGTGACCCGATGGTCCATGGGATGATGGTCCATAACTTGGTGGAGCATAATGTACCGGAGGTGGACCATAATTTACATGATGAGCAGAAGAAGCTGGTATCAGTGGACCTTATATGAAAATTTAAAAATTTGTCTTAATATGGCAAAATTATTAAAAAAAAAACAGAGAAAAAAAGAAAAACATAGTAAAAAATATACCAGCGTAATGATTTTTGCTTTTTTCAGGAGGTACTGGCATTGGTACCCCATAACTAGTAACTTCTCCATCATAATCTTGAAAATCATCTTCAGGTCGAACTGAAGTTTTAACTTTCATTCTTCTTTGTGGAGAATAATGCTGATAAACATCGTTTAGTGTTGTTGTTCTAATTAATAAAAAAAACAATTATTATCCAATTAAAACACAAAAAATTGTTAAGGAAATATATTCCTACCTCTGAAGCCAATCTTTGTATTTTGAACTTCCTTCATCGGATAATAATTTATCATGAACTGTCACATTATTTTCATTAATAAAATCTGACATAATATTTTCTGGCGGTGGTTGTAGACGACGTTTTATACGTGTTGGTCCAACTTCATTAAATATTTCTTCAGCTATGTATCCATGGCAGAGATATTCGTTCATTCTTTGTCTATAAATTGTTTTAAATCAAAATTCTTTTTACTTAAAATTAATTTGAAAAATAATTTGAACAATTAAAAAAAAACGAAAGAAAAATTGAAATAAGAATTTAAAAAATTGACAATTGAAGAAACAATCAATTTTTCAGAAATTTGCATACCTGTGATAACCCATTTCTCCAAATGCTGTATTAAATGATCCATCCACAGTCAAATTGTCGAAAATTTTCTTCTTTTCATCAATATCATTAGGCTGTCCGAGTATAAAAGATCCGGGTAATAAATCGACTGATAAAATATCATTTTCATTCAGACAAAATTCACTTCCATCATCATAACACACTTGAGCTAATAAAACTGATATTAAAATACAAAAAATTTGACAAATAATAGCAAAAACGTTCATTTTATATTTCTGTTTCTTTTCATAAGAAAAAAAAATTGTACCAAACTTACTGAGAACTTGAAAAAGACTAAAGTGGCAAAAAAAATTACGACGGCGACAATGTGTAAATTACGAAAATGACGGAAATAATTATCTAACAGTAACAATGCTCACAAAGCGTTACTGCAGAGACTCGCGTACTTCAAGAATTTTACTGAAAAGATTATTTCAAAATTGTCAGGATGAATTTTTGTTGCGAAAAAAAATTATATTTCTATTTTATATTTACAAAAAATGTATGAGGGTGTTTTTTGATAGGAGCTACAGCATCCGAGATACAATGGACCAAAAATTTTCGAGAAAAACTCTCGAGATTAGGAGAATAGTTATATCCTTAGATAGTGCTCTACAAAAAATGTATGAGGAACTATTTGGATCCACAACATCCAATGGACCAAAATGAATAAATTTTTTCGAATTTTTAATTTTTCGAGATAAACTCTCAATATCAGAAGATTTATCCCCAGACAGTGCTCTATAAAAAATGTACGGAGCACTTTTTGATTGGACCTACAGCATCCGAGCTATAATGGACCAAAATGAATAAAAATTTTCGAAATATTAATTTTTCGAAATAAACTCTCAATATCAGAAGTTTTATCCCCAAATAATGCTCTATAAAAACTATATGGAATACTTTTTGATTGGACCAACAGCATCCAAGCTATACAATGGACCAAAAATTTCATTTTGTTTTCTTTTTAAATACATTAAATCAGGATAATTGTGAGAGTTTAATAAAAAAAAAATATTTACTGGAACTAAATATTAGTTTTTCATAGTGACAAAAAAATTGTAGTTTGAACTCTTTGTTTTCCGACGATTGCTAATCTCTTTATCTTCTTTAGTTTATGGAGGTATATGATTTACATGTAATTCAATATCTGTGATTAAATACGTTTATTAAAAACCACTTACGATGCTCTTATGAATGTTTTAGGAAAGAGCCTCTGTACCGCAGGGGATGCTGCTAAGATGTGGTAATGGGGGCTTTGTTCCCTTGGGAACTATCTCACCTGTTTAATATCTCAAGCTTATGGTGGTATGATAGAGAAAGAGAGATGAAAAAAAAGAAGAGAGACTATATTTGTATAGATGTAACTCATCATGCTCAACATAACAAAAATATATTGTTCATCCATTTTTCAAGCATCTTTCAATTTCTCAAACAATTTTTCCCCCATCAAAAGTTTATTCTTTTAAAAAATTATAAACTATTTACAAAAAAAAAAGATTGATACATTATTTATTGTTTTTTAAATAATTTAATTAAATTTTAAATATTTCTATAAAATATTTTTTATTAATAAAAATTATTATTTATAACAAATATTTTTATAAACTAAATAATTGATTAATTAGTACTTTAATTACTTATTTATATCTACTTTTTTTGGTTTTTTTCCGTTATTAATTAATTTATTTATTAAACAGGTGATTTATTTTTTTCGCAGTAAAATCGCATTTGAAGAGAAGAAATTGGTATTTATTGTTAGAAAATGAGAACTCATTAACGATCTGTTTGTATATGAGAAAAATTTTTATTGGTCGAGTAAAGAAAGCAGATGTTCATATGATATTTTATAAATACAAGGGGAAAAGAAGCTTATAATTTTCGTTAAACCAGAACATTCATGTGAAGATCCCCAACTATTTCAGGTGTTTGATTAATTGTTCCGATTGAATGTTAGAGCGTGATAAACCACACATAGGTAATCCCTCTTCACATAAATCTAATTGCCACCTTTTTTATCATTAAGCATCCAAATTGAAGAATTACACTTTTTCAAAATTATATATAAGGAAAATAAAATAAGAATTCATTTTTTAGATATATTCTCTGATTAAATTTCTATTTTTTTTTTTTTTGGACGGGTAAAATTTTTTATTTCAACCAAATAAAATTTATTTGAAATAAATAAATTATAAAATTATTTAAATAAATAATGAAAATAATTGAAAGAAATATATTATTATTTAAATAAATTATTTATTTATTTCGGAGATAAATATGCTTTTATCAGGGTGTGCTTTTAGTTATTTTAATAAATTAATTATTATTAAATTAATTAAATCGATTTTTACGAAGTATAAAAATTATTAGTATAAGAAATTGAATTTTTTTTTGTTGCAGTTTAAAGAGTGTATATTTTGTAAAGAAAATATTAGTCTGGTAAAATGAAAAAAAAACTTATGGTTTATCTTTGTGAATTCAGTCGTAAATATATATGAAAATTGTCTATTTGGGATCGATCTCTGAGGTGAGAAATATATATATATATGTAGTATATGAAGAGGATGGGACTCGTGCTGAGGTGTTTTGTGGTATTTTTCATGTCTTTCATAGAAGCTGGGAATGGAAGAGGCGTTTATCCATTGCCATAACTATTGGGGGTTGAAAGTACGATCCATCAGTTTTCTGACAACCCCAAGTTAAGGGCAGAGAAGAGGGCGGACGCTAACCAAAAAGCATGCGCTCTTCAACAACCAATGAAAATTTCTTTCTTGCGCTTCCTGTTTATAAAATTTATTGTCCAATGATTTACATTTTTTAAATATTTTTTTTACATGTATTTTATGTAATTTATATATAATGAAAATTTAATTTTTATTATTTTTTCACATTTAGTGTAAATAAAATCAATGCTTTTTTCTAATGTTTCATTGTAAAAAGTAGAATATGAAAAAAAATATATGCAACAATATTTATAAAATGCGAATCAACAAATTATTATATAAGTACATAAGGTAGTTTTTATAACAAAATTTTGATTTTTTGTTTATTGGTGGTTTTTTTTTGAAAAAATCGAAAAATTATTTATTTTATAAATTTTTTCCTTTTTTTTGTAGGAAAAAAAAGGTGTGAAAGGATATAAAGTTCCATTGTGATGTGTTCAGGAGGACGATCCTTTTAGCCAAAGTCGAGATAGTGGGGATGCTGTAGGGTGGACCTTTCGGGATCATAGACACGTGCCACCTGTCATCATTTAGAAGTACTTGCTTTTGCTCTCTTAAGAGGGGATTAAGTGAGGGCCAGTCGCTGATTCTGTACGAAACGAGAAGTGTTAAAATCCCAACCGGAAGAGCCTTTTAAAGGTCCTTAATATTGACCAATAGTTATTAAAATATTTTTTAAAGATTTAGTGAATCAAATTTTTTTAATCCTATAAAATGATTTCTCGATAAAATTTTTAATTTAATTATCCTACCTTTTTTTCTTGTGAAATTTAGAAAATATTCTAAATTATTTATTCGATCTGTGATCGAATAAAAAAAAAAGTTCCGTGAGTGAGTTAATGGTGTTGTGAAAAATGGAGACGTGGAAGGATCAAAGGAGAGGACACGAAATTGTCCTTAATTTTCAACAAGAATTAAATGAACAAAATGAAAGGACAAAAGAAATTGAGGACGATAATAGGGATTTACAATCGGAAATTTTGGAATATGCCTCCGATTCAAGTAATGAAAGTGAAAAAACATTTAAAAGTTCGGAAAGTAATTTCAAAAAAAAAATTTCCCCAGTTGTGCACAGTGCATTTTCAATAGACAGTATTTTAGGTAAACAAGACAATAAAAAAAGTGAAGTCTATTTAGGAAAAGAAAGTTTTCGAAAAATAGAAAATAATTTTGACGATAGAGAAGATCAGGATGAGAGTCGACAATTTTTTAATCCATTGACCATATCTTCACCACATTCTGGTAATTAGAAAATAGTTTTATTAATTTTTCAAATAAAACTTAGTTTAAATTTTTGGTTTTGAAATTATTTTTTAAGTTTTAAAATTATTTTGCAGCATTTTATGCAACAGGACCTTCATGTCCGGGAGAAATTTTGGCCGAAACTTCTGGATTTTCAGCATCGTCTTTAGCATCAGCATCGTTACTTTACGGTGGTTGGGTGGTACCATCGAAACCAGAACAAATGTTCGGATTACAAGGTAAATAAAAAAAATTTTAGATTTAATTCTTAATTTTTAAAAATTAGAATTTTTTTTCTGTTTTGCAGTACGAAAATAAATACAATTTTTTTTACATAATGTAAACGTAGAAAAAAAATCGAATGCACGCGAGAGCCAAAAAGCAATTTTTCCATTTTATTTAGGATATTAGAAACAACTTTTCTTTATATAGCACATTTGGAGGAGGGAAAAACTTATTTAATGCAGTTAATAACTTATCGCACGAATAGGACCATTTACGGGAGATATAAAGGTGGGATGAAAATTCCAGTCTGTTCTTCCAAGTTCTGAGGAATATTGGATATTATCAGAGGCGTCTGTGGTAACACCATTTAGACACGCAAACGTAGCATCAACATCCCCCTCGATTTCAGTCACACATACTTATTTCTGTACAATAATTGCCTCAAAAAAAAAAAAACTAATTAGTTTATTGCTCATCAATAGGTTTTTAGTGTTTTTAATTCAGTCCCATTATTTATTTTTAGAGGTATAAAAAAAAAAATTTCCATTATAGAAGAATTAATTTATTATTTAATTTCAATAATAGAAATATTTTATAATTTTTTATTAGATAAAAATCGAATAAGTAATTTTAATTTTTAATCGAATTTTTATTTCTAAATCTTTTTCATTGAGTGAAACCATTTCTTCAAGCTTTCATGTTATATTTTTCCCCCAACCCATGTATTTTTGCTCTTATATCCACATTGGTCTGTTAGAAGTCCATTTATCAGAGCGATATACCTCCATATAGAAGTGCTAAATGCCTTCGCTTACTCGTAAATCTCGCCCTTTTCGTCATTTCTTTTTCCGGTTTATATACCACGGAAAAATGTTATAATCTATCAAAAATAAAAGTTCCATTGTATTTACGGGATTTCATTCTCTATAAACTGAAACGTAGCAGAAAAAAACAAAATTTTGATTGAAATCAGATTTTTCTATAATTAAATTTAATTTTAAAAAAGGCAAAAAAATATTACGAATTCAAAAATGTATGAAAAATTCTGCAATTAATAAAAAAAAAAATTTTTGTGTAGTGTTTACACTTTCAGGGCATAATTTTGGAGGTGTAAAAGCACGTACTACACACGATTCTCCGTATAGTCGTAGCATGGACATTCGAAAGAGGCTCATAAAAAATGCTAACACTTTTGTCAAACATATGCGAGTTCTACTTGTTGATATGTCTTATAAGAAGTAACTGACTAATCATTCGTTAAATATACCAAAAGTGGGGGGTCACGTTACACGCTTCCTGAGAAAAGCATTGCAATTTTTTTTTCTTTTTTTTTTTTTTTGGAAGGAAGAGAACATTTCACAGACAAATAATTGTCTTTCACCCGTAGTAGACGCAGTTAATATGCAATAATTTTACAGAAAAAAAATATTTTACATTTTACCCGTAAGAGTCATCTTTAGCGTAGCTCGCACCTTACGTAAACTTTAAATAAAAACTGTCGCCAAGTGATCCAACAAACTTTGTAAAATTTCAAACTGACATGTCAGTCGCACTTTTGAAGAAAAAGAGAGAAAGAAATGGAAATTAATTGATTTTAAAACAGTATTGTTTTCTTTAATATTTAAACAACAAATTCGCGATATCAGATTTTTTTTTCTGATTTTAATTATTATTTTTATCTTAGCTTAATGATTATTATTTTCATTAAAAATAAAAATGCATAATAAAAATATACAGAATAGTCAAAAATCGCATAGTCAAAAAAAATGTAGGATTCGAATTATTATGATGAATTAAATATATTATATTACGAAGAATTTATGAGCATTAATAATATGAGTTATATGTGCATTGTGTATACTTCTTGACAAGAAGACTATAATCGTGTTCAAACATTTCTCGACGTAAACTGTTTAATTATTTCATTGACACATCAAGTTTTCGTTGTCAGGAAGGTGTCACACGTTTTATAAAAAAAAAAAAAAATAAATAAGCTAAAGTATTTTAGACATTTGTGGACATTTGGCTCGTTTTAGGCATATTTTTTTGTCTGTGCCGAGAAAGTCTGGTTAACTAGAATCTATTCACTGTTTGCAGAATAATTAAGGAAAATTAATGTTTGACGAATATTAGCTAAGCACTAAATCATTTTATTATACGTATTTTTGACATTTTCACAAAATACTGAATAAAGAAACTTTTTCTTCAATTTTAATTGAATATTTTGTTGAATTAATAATTTTTTAGAATTATATTTATTTAGAAAATTATAATTCATTGACACGAATTAAATTAATTATTATATTTTTCGAATAGATTTAAAAAAATTTTAATTTTTACCATTTTTAGCTCCAAAATCAAGTGGCAGAAGATCTAGAAAACCAGGAATTGATCGAAAACCACGTCAAGCTTACAGTGCAAAACAATTAGAAAGGCTTGAAGCAGAATTTAAAGTAAATGAATAATTTTTTTCTTCAAAAAAATTTATTTCTATATTTTTAATTTTTTTTTATTCAAAATTAATAATTTTCTTTTCAGGTTGATAAATATCTCAGTGTTAGTAAACGAATGGAACTCTCAAAATGTCTAAATTTGACTGAAGTACAAATTAAGACTTGGTTTCAAAATCGAAGAACAAAATGGAAAAAACAATTAACCTCGAGACTGAAAATTGCCCAGAGACAAGGGTTGTTTCCACCCCCTATTTTTCCACCAACTCAATATCCATTATTACCTTATTACGCTTCTCCTCTTATGTTTACATCTCAAAATACAGACGAAACACCTAAAATTTCCAATTAATAACAATCTCGATTCACAAATGCAAAAAAAATTTTTTTATTTAAAAATGTAAGTATTTTTTTATCATAATAATTATCGTTTTTAGTAATTTAACGAAATGTTTTAATTATAATTTGTCAATCATGTAAAAAATAAGACTAAAAGAAAACTGCATTTATTAAGCGATTTTATTTTGTATAGATGTAAATAAAGTCTTAATTTATTATAATAATTATTGTCACATTGAAAAATAATATTGGGATAGTTTTTTGAAAATGAAACAAAAGTTTTCAAACAAAATATTTCATTTCGAAAATATCAATATTATAAACATTATATATACATATTTGGTAGTTGCACTAGACATTAAAAAATAAGTACTCTTTTTCTTCAATTCCCTAAAAACTTATAATATATAACGATCTCACTATGATATAACAACAATTTTATCGCAGATAACAATAATTCGCTACAACTTTTTTATATAAAAAAAAACAATGTATTATATAATTACAAATAAATATGTAATTATTGTACTATTATTAAAAATTTTATATTAACCTAAAGAATAATAATTAATAAACTTTCTTAATGACAATCTTTTTATATGATTTGTAACACTTTTTGTTATTACCACTATTTTCTGGTCTCTAATTTAAAAAAATACCTATATGTACAATTTCAAATATTTGTAGGTATTATAATCCTTATAATTATTATTTATAATAATATTTATATTATTATTACTGTTATTATTATATTTTTATCATTATTATTATCATTATTTAAATGGCTCTAGAAAAACATATGCAACCACTTTTTATTACTGACTATAAGATGTACTCACGCACACAAAATTAAAAAATACAATTCTATTAATATAATTTTATACAGAGATAAAAATTAATGAAACTTTCAACTATATATACAAAGACCAAAGAACATATCTAAGGCAGTTCCGTCACAAACCTAAATTTATTAAAAAAAATACCATAAATATAAATAAGATTCTTGAAAATCGCTTTTATACGCAATTTTACTAAAAAAAAAAAAAAAAAAATGCTTATAAATATCGTGTCAAAACTGACATATTGAATCTTACTATACCACTTTTTTCTTTTTTTGGTATCCATTCATAAGGCAAGAATATCACCTATAGATCTTAGACTACTTTAATTTTTTTCTAAATTCTAAATCTCATTTTCTTGCATCATATATCGCAAAAATAAGACTGTCAAAATAATAATAGACATTTGTATCGAGTTATTATTTTTTTTTTTTACCTAAGATCTACTTTCAGCAAAAATCGAATGAGTCGATTATAAAATACTTGCGAAATTATTTTAAGATCATTATAATATTTTTGATTACTTAAATTTAAAAAATTGGTAATCTCTTTGATTATATGGAACTCTTTTTCTTTTTCTTTGGTAGAAACAAATATCGAGACGATTGTTTCAAGAATTATAAAATTTGAAAAAAAGAGATATATATAATTTCAATCGAGAGTATCTTTGCCTGTTTTTGGCAGGAATATTGACAAGAAACCACAGAAGAATAAAAAGGCAGCGAACAAAACAACAGGTACAACACACGCCAAATCAATGAGATATCCAAAAACAAGATTACCAACAAGTGCACCTAATCTACCCATTGTTAATGACAATGCCGCTGCCATTACTCTAAGATTCGTTGGGAACATATCGACAATAACACAATAAACCAATGAAATACCAAGTGATGTGAGTGCTTCAAAAACACATGATAAAATTAAATTTTGCGTTGCATTTGTCACATAATAAAAACCAACAGTGACACCACCCGAAACAATTAACGATACAATTAAAAAGAATTTTGCACCTAATTTATGAACGAATAGTGGTAAAATAATTGATCCTGGAACACAAGCAAGACCAATGTACACTGTGTGAAGATAAACTGATGACGGAATTTCTGTATAACATCCAAATGGATCTAAATTTGTTGTATTTTCCGATAATGTCGAAACAATACAAACCGAAGTTGTTTGTCCTGGATGTTCCACTTCGAATTCCTCGAATCTTGTGAATAATTCAGGGAACCATACCATTAGTGTGTAATAACTACTGGTGAGACCAAATTGTATACCGCATGCCAATAAAGTATTTCGAAGATAAGGCGGCTTGCAAAGTGATTTTGTCAGATCCCAAACTTCCGTGATAAGGACTTTTAAATCCTTTCGCTTGTGCAATTTCAATGCCCTTGTGCTTTTGTCCTTTGATGTTGGTTTCTCCTGAAGTGATTTCACCTGGAAAAACAATTTTTAAAATTATTTACTATTAAAATTTTTTAAATCTTCAAATTTTGTTGTCAATAATTACCGGATATGTATCAGGATCATTTCCTGTGTTTTGTGCGTAGATCCATTTAAAAACATTGAGTGCAGCCTCAGTTTCACCGCATTCAAGTAAAAATTTTGGACTTTCTGGAAAGGCAAAGAGCCAAAGGCCCAACATTAAAGAAGGCAGTGCACAGAGAGCCACAAAGAGATTCCAGGATTTAAAATCGAATGAATCGGATGTATAGGTCAGGTTCAGGGGAATTATCAACCAGGCGATTACTGAAAAGTAGTAGAAGAAAAATTTATTGAAAATCCTTAATTGCTACTATAATTAACAAGTATTTTTAATAAAAATGAAAAAAATAATTAATATACTTACAGGGCAGTACAATAACTCCGACAGTCCAAAACATTTCCATCCAACAGAGGATTTTTTCCCTATGTTTTGTTGGTTGAAATTCGCCAAGGTAGGGGAAAACAATTCCCATTGCTCCCGTCACGCTAAAAAAAGATATTTTCTTTTAAATTACTGGCAAAATTTTTGGAATATATTTTTACAAAAATGTACTTACGCAAATCCGTTCAAGAAACGGAAAGCTAAGAAAATCCAAAAATACTGGACAAAGGATGATAATACACCAACAATACCATCCATTAATAAAGTTGCAATCAATACGATTTTTCGACCTTTCGTGTCAGCCAAGCATCCCCATATGTATGATCCAATTACCATACCTAAAAATAATTATTTTTAATTAAAAAAAATTTTATTTATATAATTTTTTGTTTCTATAAAATTTTCTTTATTTTTTTTTTTGAAAAAATTGAAAAATTATTAAATAATCTGATTGAAATTTCAATCTTTGAATGTGTTAGTACAGAATATTGTACAACGAAGCCGATTTAGTTTCGTAATGAAGATGTTATAAGGCCTCCCTAAGAATCTAGTAATCAATACACTGTCTCTTCTTTTAGTTATAAAGAGCGATAATTTAATCCCTTAATATATTATTTTTATTCGACTTATATTTTTGTGAACAAATTTATAAAAGATTCTAAGTTTAATTAAAAAAATATTAATAGATAATCACTTGCCTAACATTGGAGCAGCAGTCAATAAACCTTTTGAAGTCGAATCCATTTCTAGATCACATTGTGCTGCTGGTAAAACGAATGACAAAACTGTTACACCAATTGCTGTGTCCATGTAAATTAATCCACTAATTGCAAGTAACATATAGTGGAATTTCCCAAAACCTGTAAAATTAATTAAGAATTTTTTTTTTTTATTTTCAAAAAGAAGATTAATGAGTGATTATTGTCAAATAACTTCAGCTCGCAAAATCCATAATTAAAAACCAAAAAAATAAAAAAAATTTGATAAAGCTAAAATAAAAACCTGAATTTCTGAGAAGATATGTCACTCAAATTTGTTAATTTTATTGTCTGATATTAAAAATATATTTTCTTTTTGATAAAAAAAAAAAGATGGAACAAACTTCCAAATATTTATAGAAGTTTTTTTTATTATATTATAAAAATTTTAATAAGAAATCATCATGGTGTTTATTGAAGAAAGTTAAATATTTGTCATTCCTTTTTTTTAGAGAGAGATTGAGATAGTGCAACTCATCAGAATGATAACATCATATAATATTATCTTCAAAACGAAAAATGAACATTTCAGATAAACAGTGACAATGTCTGTCAGTAGCAAAATAAATATTGGTAATTATAAACTCGCTGTAGTATAATTCAATCCTAAACAGCTTAAAAATTATAAGTGACAGATATATTGTTCTATTTTCCATTCCAATCATTTACATTTCACCTATTACGACTTTTAGTGACTTTTTTCATATATTATTTTTGTATTTCACAAAAAAAAACTCATTTTTTTTATAAACAAATTTTCTTAACTTTCCGCATTTGATTTTTTTAATTATACAGAGGAAAATATTTTTAGTAAGAAAAATTCACGGAATTTTTTTGCTTTAATAAATTTTATTAATAAAATTATTTATAGAAAAATTAATAAAAAAGCAGAAAAAAATCATTTTGAGCAGCTAAAAAATATTTTTTATATGGGGCCGTCCATAAATTACGTCACACATTTTTTTTTACGTTTTATAACCTCCTCGTCCCCCTCGAAATGTGACGTAATTTATCAACGATCCCTGTTTAAAAAAATTAAAGTTCAAAATAAAAAATATTTTTTATAATTAAAAATTGAAAGTTTTAAATACGAATTTTTTTTTTTAATATTATACAAAATCTTACCTGTGAGGGTGATGGCATGTTCGAAGTCTGCACCTCCGTCTGCTAGGAAATCGAGCCCTAGAATAAAATTAAAAAATTGTATTAAAAAATAAATAAAATTTAATAAGAAGATTTAGTTCCATTTCAAATTAATCCAAAAGTAAAATAATTTTTTTTTACTTGAAAGCTATTTTTTAATTTTAGGCAAAATGTAAATCGAATTTCAATTTTATAATGTATTTTAATATTAAACAAATTGATTATAAAAAATATGAATAATGTATTGTTATAAATAATATTTTAATAATGAACTGTCTTATTGGGAAAGAAGCCGATTATGAAAGAGTTAAATCAGTGATATAAGTCAATTTTCCGACCGACGATAAATATCAAACGTTTATTCATTCTACTAATGCCATTTCCTTAATTTATTAATGTCACTTTTTTAATTAACTACTGTATTTAAAAAGAAAATTAAATATTTACGTTAATTAAATTTTTTTAAAAAATTTTTTAAAAATAAAACCTAATTATTTAGTGTCTCAAAAAACCTTTTTACTATTTATTTTCGGATTAAGAATTTTATAAAAAATATTATTATTTATTTAAATTATCATCAAAATAAAATAATCAAAAGCTCCTGGATTAAAAGTACTTCTTTACCCCAAGTTGACATTTTACCCCGTCTTGACCCTTCACCCTTTCGAAATACTCTTAAAAAAAAATAAATAAATGAACAAAAATATTTTATAAATTTTCTCACCCATTATTGAATTCCGTGATCTTGAGATCGTGGAAACTGTTGAAAATTGATGATCTTGACTCCCTCGCAATGGGATTAATTAGTCGGCGAAATTTTGTGCGAGTTCCTTGATTTCTCCTCCGTCTTTGACCGTTCCCTTTGTTCATTGGTGAACAACCGTTATCCTCACACACTATGGTTTGCGGTATTATTTGTTGCCTTTGGAAAAATCACAACTCCAACTAATTTTTTTTTTTTGGTAAAAAAAAAAAAAAAAAATTTCTTTTCTTAAAACACCTTTTTTGCTCACTGGCTACCAATAGACTGAAAAGGTGTCTGCAAGGAGCGATTAATATGGTCTAGCTTTATCTGCTTTAATCTTTGAAGGTGTGGGTAAATTTGTACTGATTGCGAGCAGTAAACGACATCTCGATAATACTTTTTCCGGTTCTTGCCGCCTGAACCTGATAAGATAGTCAAAGTTGAAAACAAAATCTTTCTTCATCGGATGAATTTCTTGCATATTTTCTCAAAAAAAAGGAAAAACAGAATAGAATAGAATTTTTTTATGACATATTTAAGATTTAGGATACGTATTTTTTCGGTACTTATGCTGATGATTCATGATCATCATGATTCATGATCAATTATAGTAATTGTCATTTTTAAGTTACATGAAATTATGATAATGACTTAGAAAATAAAACAACGTGATTTTGATTGTATAAAAATTGATTATAGATTAAAAAATTAGATTGAAGTAGAAAAAAATATGATTATAAAATATTATAAAAAATAAAAAAGTATTAAATTTTTTTATAATATTTTATAGTTAAAATTTTTTTTTTAATATTAAAAACATGAAATAGGATTTTTTTTATTTTTAAATAAAATATGTTAATTACCTAAATTACTTATTAATTTTAATTTTATAAATTTTAATTAAAAGTATCACTTATATTGTACTCTTTTTTTTGCCAAGTTATTTTTGAATAAATATTTTAATCCGAGGCACGCTTTTAAAAGCGATTAATGTGGATTATCTGAAAATGATTTTCTACTTTCTTTATGATTATTAAAAACAAGAGAAACTAATTAACTGGTGCATTTATGTTCCTGGAAATTCGGGGGAGAAAATTCCTTATCGTGATTCGTAATCGTTCTTGAAATTAAAAATTATTGAGAGGTTAATAATAATAATTTATCTATAAGAGTTCAATATCGAGATTTCAATCTACTGTTGACTATTGCGAACGATAATTGTTTGTTCATGATTGTATAGTCACTTGAATGAATCGCTATAATTAATCTGACAATTTGTAATTTATAAACAAAATTTATTTATTTATTTTTTGAAATAAATTTACTGAATAAAATAAATTGATTTTAAAACATATTAAAAAAAGATTAATCAACCATTAAGAAAAGGTTAATGAACCTTTAAAAAATGCCATTTTTTAACATTTAAATTTTAAACAGAAGAGAATATTTTTTGGGAATGAAAAAAATTTTTAAATTTGTTTTGTTTGCTAATTTGTTAGAAAAATGAGAGCAAAAAAATGGAGCAAGGTTTTTTATTCAAATCATAAATTTTCAAAGCAGTAGAGTTTGTTGTCTTTTAATAAACTTTGAGTAAGGTCATCAGTAGGCAAAGACAATTATTAATTTACATTATCATAACAAGTATTATGTGTAGTTATTTTAAAAATAGGTTCACATTTTCGGAAATTAACAATTATTCTTTTTTTACAATTATCATCATCACTATTATTTTTATTATTATTATTATTATTATTATCATCATTTTTAATTTATTATTTGAAATAAATTCTATATTATGTTCTCGTAAAATTTACAAAAAAATGTGAAATTTTCATTTTTCCATAGAAAAGCAGAAAAGACAATTTTCTTCAATTAACATTGTAATGAGTAAAAAATGATCAAGAATGTGTTTAATGAAGGAAACTTTATATCTCAAAATAAATTGTTATCTTTACAAATTCACGCTCGCGGTAGACAATGCAATGTCTATTGTAAGTTAATTTATCTTTGATGATTCTTTTCAATAGCTAAAAATACACCAGTCTGTCATAATTAACATTTAATAATAAAACCACAAATCAATTTGTTTTTTAGTCAATTCGTCTACTTTTTTTATTGAAAAATTATTACAATAAATAAGTTTTAATTAATTTAAAAATAATAATAATAATATTAGTAAAAAAAAATTTCATGGAATAAATTTCATTTGTTTCGATAAGATGATGAAAAATCCAAAAGAAAAACAGAAAATTTTTTTTGAAACTAGTTTTATCCAAATAAAACTTGTAGAAAAGGAATGCATTGAAAAGTTTTTCACATTTTAGAAAAAGTGATAAAAAAAGATAAAAATTTGGGAAAAAATTGTGAAGAAAGTTTCATTTTCCATTTGAGATAAGCTTCGTCATCATGAGCGTTTATGTAGAGTGTGTTCTAAGGAAGAGTTTCAGAAAATTCTATGAATTCCAAATAAGTAACAAAGCAGCTTCTTTTTAACTATATTTATCCGTATTTAACAATATGATTTCCTTATATGATAATAATAAAAAAAAATAATCACATATTTGACAAACAAATATTATTCTCTTGCATTATTTGAATTTTTCTGAATAAAAAAAGAAAAATGTCATCTCTTGCATGTTTATTTATTGAACATTGCATTTCAAAAGTTTAAACAACGTCAAACATTGGAGAAGTTAATCTTTTCTTCTTTTTTTAAAAAAAAAAATGTAGTTTATGCAAAACAAGGTACTTTTTTCATTTATCAATCTGAGAAAAATAAACGTCACTGCTTTATTGCAAAATTTTTCAAACAAATAAAATTTAAAAAGAAAATCAAAATTTATTTATTATTTGCAATTTTTTAAAATATTTTTTTGGATTTGAAGAATTTTGCAAACAGAATCATCAATTACAATAAATGATTTTCAAGTTCCTGTATTTTGATAATTTAAAATTCTATGACAACAATTGATGACGTAACAAACCTGGTGACGAATAGTTTTAAATGCCAGAAGAAATTATCTTTTAAAATACGTCACGTATCACGTTGAACGACAAACGTCTAATGGAGAGGAGCATTAATAAAATTACGCTAATACTAGTATTTGTTACACTAACGTCGATAATAATTGTTGACTGATACTTAAAAATGATCATTTAACAAACGACTCGTAATTTTAATTTAAATATCAAGTCATGACAGTGTCAAAAGATGAGTTTACGAGTAAAAAAACAAGAATGGCATATGAAATTTCTGATAAGAAACTCGCATGATGTGTCAAAATGTCACTTTGAAAAAAATATTTTCACCTTGGAGAATTGTTGAATAATATATGATCAAAATCTAAATTTTTCTTTTTTTTAAAAAAAAAGATATTTTTAGTCTTTTTTTATAAAAAAAAAAAAAAAAATTGATTAGTGAAATATATATTTCAACGACTAAAGAAGGGAATATAATAATTTTATTTTTTGGCAAATACTCAAAGACAGAAGTTAAAAGCTACTTGTGCATGATTTATGATTGGTGACAGAGCATTATTTATACCACGAATTAAGAGTTTCTCCGGGCAAATAGACCAGACGCCAAATTATTTGCTTCTGAGACATGATTACTTTACTTGCATCATTATCAGACAGTAAAACGTCATCTGAGTAATACAATACAATTATCTAGTTATTTTATCTATTATTTGGGTTTCTTTACACGTGACAGTTGTTTTTTTTTCTAAAATTGAAAAATTTAAATTGTTTTTTAAAATAATTTATTATTATTTACGATGTTCCAGTTCTAATTAATTAATTTAGAAATTTTTTAAAAAGGAAAAAAAACAAATAAGATTTCCTGCTCTAAAAATTGATTTATAATTTTCAAAGTATAAAATGTTTTGCTTTTGTTTAGAGGACACCTAACCAGCTTGAACCTGAAATACCAAAGCTCGGTCAAAGAAGCACTTGTAGGAACTTAATGTCATGGTTCGAACTTCTATTTAAAACACAGTCTTTTGGCTTAGTTTTTGAAAACTATCCTCCAATCTTGAAATTTCTCTTATCAGTTGAAAAATAACAAAGACAAATATTTGTACTTTAATGAGAACGAAATTTTTTTTCCTAAATTAAAACCAAAATCGAGAGAATTTAATAAAATAGGTAAATTTTTTAAAAATGTTGAAACTAAGAAAAATAATACGAAGAATAAATATACAATAATTAATTAGTAAAAATATTTAATTTTTTAAATAATTAGGAAAAATTAAGAAAAATTATTGACCCAGGAAGACAGTCAATCGCGCACCTCTAATAAATTTCCTGGTTCGATGATGTCGTCGTTGTCGTCGTCATTCACCTTGTGTTTATTGGCACCAAATAATTAAAATTTCACTGTTACCACGAATTTAGTTCTATACAGTCTATTATAATTTTCGACAAATTTGGGAATTTTTTTTTATATAGATACTTGAGAGGAAAAATTGAAATACACAATAGGAGAAAATGGCAACAACACGAAACTGATTCTTAATTAGAATGTACTCAAGAGAAAATTTTATTGCGCCATAATGTTTGCCAACTTGGGCCAAATCAAACGTTATACCTAATGACATTTAGTTACTTCGAGTCGGTGGCCGAAAGCGACTTCTTCCCAATCTTAAAATTAAGGCTTATATATAACTATATCTATATCCTCTTGTCTTATTTCTAATTTGGTACTCGATTCAATCTCGTCACCTCAATCGTGTCGCGTCGTAACAATTTATCGTTAACTTTAATTTAAATAACTATATACTAAAAAATTATCTAAAACTATTATTTTAAACATCGGAAATAAAATTTTGTGAAAAAATGAAAAATTGAAGTGAAAAGTTAATTTATAATATTGTGAATTGAAGAGAGAGAACAATAAAGTTTTAAAAAAATTATTATAAAACTTATTAAAAAAAAATTTTTTCTAATTTCTTTATTAAAATAAATCTGAATTACATTAATAATACAGTGATCACATAATTACAGAGTATTAATTTTAAAAAAAAGTAATCTAAAAGGTAAAAAGTTAAAAAAAAATTATATGCAATTTTTTTTTATCATAAAATCAAACACAGAATTGCACCAACTGAAACAGTAAATATTGCAAATTATATACGAAGAAATTGCATAATTTTATGTAAAAATGAAATATTCATATAGAAACATTTTTATTTCCCTATATGGAAAAACAATTTTAAAAATATTAAAACTTACGGAAAAGTTGTGCAGACATTGTAATAATAACAGGTGCACAATAATTGTCAATGAAATAACTAAATATTAAATTGCCAACTAAACTGCCTATTCTTCCTGATAAAATAGCAACACTCATGGCTAGAATTCTGAAAAATAAATAATATTATTGAAAATCATTCCTAAACAGGAAATTGACTCATTGTTTTCTGAATTGTATAACCAAATAACAATATATTAGAAAATTGATTGGAGATTATTTTTAATTACTTTCTCTCATTTTACTGATTAATTCAAAGATAATTATTTGATATTTGTTTTATCTATTTATTTTGAACTCATATTTTTTTTTGTTTCTTTTTTTACAATTTACAAATTTTATTAAAAAGTTTATTAAAAAAAATAAATTCGATTTTTGCAACAATTTAGAATTGTGATAAAAGCGAGAGAATAATTATTAAGAGGAAAAATTTTCTTAAATCTCAAATCGCCTATACAATTATTTATATCATCAGTTTTATGTGATACGTCTTATCAAAATGTCTCGTACTTGAAGACACTCGACTTACATAAACAATAGAGGATTTGATAACAAAGTAGAATTTTCTAATATATATGTAACACAATAATGAATCAGTCGAGATTTTATTATTGTCAATTTGTTATCGTAAGATAAATATGTGAATGTACCTGAAATTTGTTGGAAAAATTTCAATTAAACAACAATATATTATGCTTATTCCTATAGAATTTGTTGATTCAAAAATACATGATAAAATTCTATTTTCCAATGATGTGGTGACGAAAAATAATCCAAATGTTGCTAAACTACTAATGATTATTGCAGAAACTATAAAAAAAACAATTTTTGAAATATATTCGTATATTTTTTTTTAATTATTAATAATTTTACCTAAGAAAAATTTAAATCCTAATTTATCGACAAAAAGGGGTAATAAAATTGCAGGTGGAATACATGATGCAGAAAGCCATAGAGTATCAATAAATACACTTTCATGTATCGATCGATCACAAATATTTGAATCATTATTCTAAAACAAAAATTATTATTTTTATGAAAAATATATTTTTTTTAAATATTTTTTTTACATTTAAATATATATTTTTATATATTACCGAGGAAAATAATTTTTGTGATACTATACAAACACTCGATGATTCATTTGGATAATGATGTTGAAATATTGCAAATCGCTCGAGAAGCTCGGGAAACCAAAGAATTAATGTATTATAAGGTGCCAATATCAGGAAAGTAGCCACACTTCCTATTATCATTTTCTTCCAATAAGGAGTTTTAAATATTTCTATTGCTTGTAATTTTAGATTTCTTAACATTATCTTCAAATTTCTATCTCCATTTTCATTATTTTCGATATTTTCCAATTTTTCTATTTGTGATAAATTATTTTCATTGTCAATGAGAAAAGGACTCAAAATTTTATTAAAAAATACATTCTCTTCATTTCTCTTCAATTTTGATGGTGTATTTTGTTGATACATTGTCACAAGAACTTTTAATAATTTTGAATACTGTTTGGTATTAGCGAGAAATTTTGGAGTCTCCGGATAATAAAGTAAAAATACTCCAATTATTAATCCCGGTAGTGATGATATTAAAATAAATAAATTCCATGATCGAAAGAAAAATCTCCCGTAAACGTATTGTAATTCCAATGGAATGATAAACCAAGCTAAAACTGTATAATTTTTAGAATAAATTTTCTTTAATTTAATTTTTTGATAAAATTTAATTTTTTTTTAGAAACTACTCACATGGTACTAAAAGTATTCCACCAATCCACGCAATGTCTAACCAGGAAAGTATTCTCTTTCGAAATTTTGTTGGTTGAAATTCACCGGCATATGCAAAAACAAGTGTTATTTGTCCACTAATTCTATATATATCAAAATAAATTAAAATTTTGAGACAAAAAAAATATATTTTTTAAGAAAAAGAAGAATCTTATTTTTTAGATTATTATTACCCTATACCGCTCAGAAATCTATAAAATAAAAAGCACCAATAACTTGGAGTGAATGACATAAAAAAATCACTACATCCTTGCAAAAACAGACATATTACTAGAGAATATTTTCGACCCTTGAGATCGGTCACAAATCCCCAAATAATTGTACCAATTGTTGTGCCTGAAAAAATTATCTCTTGTTAATTATAATTATTATATTTTTTAAAATAATTTTTAAAATTAATAATTCCTATCATTAATAATAATTTTTTTTTTAAGTTTCTATACCTATCAAAAGAAAAACAGCGATTCGTCCTTTATCAACAGTGTTCAATTCGAAATCACATACTGCTGCAGGAAGAATGAAACTAGTACTGGACAAGGCAATTGCCGAATTTGCATAAACTAAGGCACTTAGTAAGGCAATTTGTATATTAAAAATTCCAAAACCTACATAAAACTTGTAAAAATGTATTTTTTTTTCTTATATTTAGAATTATTAAAAAAATTTCTAACACCTTGAAAATTTTTAGTATTTCACCTGTTGCGTCTATTGCATTCTGAGTGATGGTTTCAACGTCCAAAGAATCTAAAAAAAGTAAGATTAATTTACTCTTAATTTAATAAATTTTTAACTAAAAAATAATGCTAATTAGAATACTACTAATTTGTTAAGATAATTTTGCAAATTATTAATTAAATAAAAATTCAGTTAGATTATTCAAAAAAGGGGAAAATTTTAATTTAAAAATTAAAATATTTTCTCTTGTATTTTAATTCAAATTAGTTAGTAGTGTGCCAATAACTTATAGTTTCTTTTACTGTTATCGCAATAATACACAGCAGAATAATAGGCTGCCTATCTACAGGCTGTAATTTATTTCTTTATTTTAAACTACCTTTTATTTCAACAAAAAATTAAATACAGAATTTTTGGTTTTTTCTATTAACGTATTTTAATGTTTTATATAGAAATATATGTATAATTTTTTTTTATTTTTAATCTCATTTTTTAAAGAAGCACATGGGAAAAAGCTTTACGCAATAAAAAATATACATTAAATCATCTCTTAATTATATATATATTTATATAATAATAAAATTTAATTACTTTCTATTTTATCAAGTTTATTGATCCAACAAATTTTTATTAATGCTTCTTAATGATTGTCAATCTACAACACATATCATCAAAGATTTAATCTTTTTTTTATCAATGTCAATATTTATACGATTATTATTTTCGTAAGGGCATTGTATGAAGAATTTTTTTTTTTTTAACTTTCATTATAGACTACAATATTTTACTTATCAAAGAAATTACATCTTATCGATGGAAAAAATTAATTAAGCGATTTTTAATTCGCAAAATAAAATATGAAAGAGTCAAGTCATTCTTTATAAATGTTTATATATAGGTATCAATTTGCACGCTTCTATTGACCGATTAAGGGAATTTTCATACAAAGTATAATGGTTTATTATCATTAAAAAAAAGAAAAAAAATTAGGGTAATTACCTCTTTTTTTTCTTTTTAGAGTTTAATGATAAGTTTTAAGTGCGTCGGCGCGATGTCCAAGTGCAATGGATAAACTAATACTATTGAAAAATGTAGCTGCACAACTTAGTCGAGCACTAATCGTTTTCAAGGCATCATTTCTTTTTTTTTCTTAGTTCTAAATTTTAGTATTCTTCTTTTTTTGGGGGGAGAATTATGAAAAATATACAAATTTCTAAAGTGCTGTTAATTTTTTGAAAATTGTCATCGATAACTATGACGATAGACTAAAGATATAGATTTTTTTAAACCGGGTAAAAATCTCTTTTTATTATAGATTAAATTATTATATATTATATAAATTATAAATTACATACACTGAAAAAAAATTATTTGATTCAAATATAAAATGTAGCAGTATTTTTAATTAAAAATTTGTTTTTAATAAATAGTGTCATCATGGTTGATAAATTACACGAATATCAAGGATTCACTGGACGAATTCATGGCATACGTGATAAAGTGAAAGACAAATGGGACTCGTGGAAAGAATGGAAAAATGAAATTCCAACCGATAAAGGAGTGGAGGGTGTTTTAAATCACCTTCGAGGACCACCGAAACTCGAAAGGACTCTCGATGATTACTCACATATTTATAGGTAATTTGAAAATTATTATTTAAAAAAAATAAAAAATTTCCTGACTCTTTTTTTTGAACAAGATTTAATTTTTTAATTAACAAAAATTGAGTTTTAGATTTTCTTTTTTGGTTCTTTTATTTTTTTTTATATAGATAAAATTGATTTTCCAGGAGGAAAACAAGAGGTGAATTAGTTAGAGTATCGGCGGCAGTGATGGGCATTGAATTTTCCTATGCAGCCGAGACGGCTTTTGTGTCGCCAACTTTATTGAAAATCGGTGTTGATCATCAGCACATGACCTTGGTGTGGGCGTTAAGTCCTCTCGTTGGCTTCTTTGTGACCCCAATTCTAGGGAGCGTCAGCGATCGTTGTAAATTGAAATACGGCAGAAGAAGGCCTTTTATATTATTACTAGCCGTTGGTGTCTTTATGGGTAAACGAGAATCAACTTTTTTAAATTAAAAATTCAAATTTTTAAATTCAAAAATTCAAAAAAAAAAATTAATTCAAAAGGTAAAAAAATAAAAATAAATAACAATTTAAAAATTTCTGTTTAAGGATTAATCCTCGTGCCCAATGGCGAAGGAATTGGCTATTCCCTTGGTGATGGTCCAAAAATTTTGGCACAAAATTTATCTGTCCCCTTGGGACACAGGACAAGTGCCAAAATTCCAAAAGAAGAAAATTCATCAGCTGTGATATCTTCTCATTCATGGGGAATATTTTTCACCATTTTGGGAACTGTTTTACTTGATTTTGATGCCGATGCTTGTCAAAGTCCAGCAAGGGCATATCTCCTAGACGTCACTGTTCCAGGTATTGTAATAAATTTAGCAAAAAAAAATATGTTTTTTTCAAAACCAAATAAAAATTAAAACAATTGAAAAAAATTGCTTTTTGCAGAGGATCACGCTAGAGGTTTAAGTACTTTTACAATAATGGCTGGATTGGGTGGTTTTATGGGCTATGGCTTGGGTGGAATTAATTGGGATGCTACTGCAATTGGCATAGCATTGGGAGGACATTTACATGCAACATTTACGCTTATTACTATAATTTTTATTATCTGTGTTTCTCTGACTATGACGAGTTTTAAAGAAATACCTCTTGAACTATTAGACAGTGATCAAGGACTAAAAATGCATGAACAAAAAGTGTGTGCTATTTAATAATTTAATTGTATTTATATTACAAATTTTAATTAATTTGTAACTGAATTTTTTTTCTTAGTTAACATTTTTTGTTTTCATTTTAGATGAACGAGGCACGAGAAGCAAATGAATGTGAAAAAATAACAACCGATGAAAATGTTTCCTATGGAACTTTAAATGAAGATCAAAATAATGGAAAATCTGACGTAAGTAAGTTCTAAATAATAAATATTCGACAAAAAAAAAGAATAAGAAAAAATAAAATTACTAGGTAATAAAAAATAAAAAAAAAATTTATTTATTATTTTACTGTTCATTTTTTTTTAGGAATTTGCACTTGAACCCGTTCCTCAAGTAGAAGAGGTGAAAAGACGAATTGGCACTGTACCAATAATACCGGAAGTGCCACCACCACCACCACCAAAAATTAATTCACAGCCTGGCTTAGAGGAGGATTTAGAGGAAAATCATAAAGTCTCATTAAAGGAATATCTTGCTTCAATTTTATATATGCCTCATAGTTTACGAATGGTTTGTTTAACAAATCTATTTTGTTGGATGGCTCATGTTTGTTATTCACTCTATTTCACTGATTTTGTTGGTGAAGCTGTCTATGGTGGAGATCCACAAGTAAGATTTTTATTTCGAAAAGAAAATTAAATGAATTTTATTTATTTAAAAAATTTAATCGAACAGAATTAACGTCTCATTTCTAGCGAATAAAATTTTGTATTCAATCCAAGACCACAAAGGCTTGTTTTGAATCTAATAGAACTAAATATTTGTCATATTAATATCTCGTTTTTCATTAAGACCTTAACGGCTTATTTTTAAACCATTATTTGTTATTGATATTAGTTATCAACTACTTTCTAATCAAAATTAAAAATTAGACTATGCTCGGAGTAAGACTTTTTTTTCTGTGATACAAAACATGTGCTTCCTACCTTTTTTCTTTTCTCTTGTATTATCCATTAATTTATCTCCACTTTGTTTATCTTCTTCAATACTTTGAGAAAAGTCGGTAACAATTTCTTCCGGATTTTGCATTTTTTACAATTTAACTTATTTTTTTTAAACAATTTTCAAAAACAAATGAAAAATTACACATTATTCAAACAAAATTTTTTGAAACAATAAAGAAAATCATTGTAACGCGCACTGATTATGTTTCTTGGACTGCTGAATCAGTTGGAGACTGATGCTTTTATAAGTACAGTCAATCATAAAAATTTAATAATTTCTTTTCATTGATGCTAAATTTTTAAAATATAATAAATTTTCCCAGTATTTTTTTTAGCGATTTTGCCTGATGTATTTTATTTTTAATTTTTCAAACTTGTAATTCAAATGTAAATTAGTTTATTTTTTCATATTGGTTTTTTTTAATTAATTGACAATAGAATCAAATCTAAATGAAATAAAATATTTTACATTAAATTTGCAGATTTATTTTTTTTTAAATATATTTTCTTTTTTGGAGTAAACCAATATAAAAATTTCAAAATTAAATTAATTTCGAAATATGTTTGAATTGCACTGTACTTTAGTTGATTGATTTATATCTGAATCAGATGAAATCATATCAATTTAAAGACACAATTCTTTCAGCATTACTAATTAAGAATTTTTCCTATCTTTTTTCAATACGAAATTTTTAAAAATAGCGTCATTTTAAAAAAGGTGTTTGTAAAAAGGAAATTCTAGTGAACTTTTTCAATTTTAAATATTGGACGAAAATAACATTTTATAATTTTATTTTTTCAGGCACCAGAAGGTAGTAGGGAAAGAGAGCTATATGAACATGGTGTTCGTTTTGGATGCTGGGGAATGTCAATGTATTCTTTATCATGTTCCTGTTATTCGTTAATCATAGAGAGACTAATACAGCGATTTAAGTCAGTTTTTATAATTATTACAAAAAAGTAAAACAAAATATTTTTTTTAATTAACTTTTTTGCTTCCTTATCTTTAATATGTTTTTTTAATTTAATTGCTTTTTAAAATTATCTTCTTTTAATCTATTGAATTTTTTTACAGGGCAAGAAAGGTTTATATTTGCGGATTACTGTTCTACAGTACTGGAATGATGTTAATGGCATTAACAAAACATCCAGTTGGAGTAATTCTTTTCTCTTGGACTGCTGGTGTTATGTATTCAACATTATTTACCATGCCATATTTATTAGTCGCACATTATCATGCATCTTCCACGGTCAGTGGGAGAAAAGAAATATTATATAATTTTTAATTAAGAATATATTCATGAGATAATAAAAAAAACATTAATTAGATAACAGAAATGAAAATTTTTAATTCATTTTAATTTTGTAGTTTGCTGTTACTGCAGAAGGTGAAGCGATACAAAGTGGTGAGGTGCGAGGATTAGGAACGGACATTGCAATTGTCTCTTCTATGGTATTTTTGGCACAATTTATACTCTCATGTGGCCTAGGAACCATAGTAAGTGTCTCAGGAACAACCACAGCAGTAGTGGGTGTTGCAAGCACTTTGGCTGCTTGTGGAGCTTTGTCAGCCACTCAAATTATGTACTTAGATCTTTAATTTCAAAAAACAATTTTAAATTAAGTTTAGCAAAAAAAGAAGATTATGCAAATTTTTCTAATTCGAATATTGACTGATTATTTTTCTTTTATTATTATTATTTCATTATTTTTCTTTTTTTTGCGAAGAATATTTGTGGAAATTGTACTAAAGTACGCCTTCATCAAGAGATTGTACATTTACTTTGCACAAATAGGTGTATTTTGTTTGAAAACTATTTTTTGATAAAACAATAATCAAATTAGATATTTTTTTAGAAATTTATTTTCAAATTTGAAAAATTGAATCTCATTGTTACGTATATTTAAAATTTAAATCACATTATTTAGATAAAAAATGAATGTCTGTAATAAATTAAAAAGTGTGTATGTAATTTATTCAATATAATATTCAAAATAGTAAAAGATGCATTAAGATAAGATATACGAATAATATATTGTAAAAACAGTCAGAGAATAATAAAAACACTATTTATTTTAGCAATATAAAATCACTTCCTACAATCGTTCGATCTTTTTATTTTCGAATATATTATTATTATTATTATTAAAAAAGGAAAAACAGAATCACCTTTCATGAATCAACATTGTTGTTACAGCTGAAACTAATTATAAATAAAAATCATTAACTCGTCATTTAAAGAAAACAATAATAAAAAATACAAACCAACAAGCAAAAGTGTAACCAGGACTATAAACTGAAAGCAATATTCGTCTATGAGGTAACTGAAAATAATGTTACCAAATGCAGCTCCAATTCGGGAAGAGAAGGAAGTCAATGTAACCCCCGATGATCTAAAAGAAAAAAAATATATTACATTTTTTTTTTATTTCAAAAGTAATAAAATTTTTTAATTACCTGAGATTCGTTGGAAAAATCGAAACAAACAGTGCAAATGTAATCGTTATGCATACTGATATCAATGGCAAGTAGATGCAAAGAAGAATTAAATTTTGAAGAGAAGAATTAACAAAATAAATACCAAAAACGACGGCAGAACAAATAAGACACATGGAAGCTGTAAAAATATAATTTCAATTTTTAATTAAATAATTTAGAAATTAATAAAATTTTCAATAGATAAATTTAAGAATTATTCTAACTAAAAAGGAATAACTCACCTAATAAAATTTTGAATCCAAAACGATGAACTAAACATAATACGGGAAAAATGGCAGGAACGCAAGAAGCACACAATAATAAATTATTAATAAATACATCAGTGTCTATTGTTCTGTCACAACCAAAAGGATCTTCCAGATGATCCTAAACAAAAATTTGAATTTTTGAAAAATATTACAAATATCGAAAAAGAGTGAAATTTATATATTGCTTCCTCCTTCATAAAGTATTTGTAATAAACGTTACCGTGGTTGATAAAGAAGAATATATTTCACGAGAAACTTTACAAAAATTGGGTTTCTCATTTTTATTTTTTGCCTCGAATTCTGCGAATCGTTGAAAAATTTCAGGCAACCAGAGATACAGTGCAAAATAGGCAGCTGGCACACAAAAAGCAGTAACACACGCCAGAAATGTGTTTTTAATATGCGGTTTTTTTAAAACAGTTCCCATTTGTTTTAATTCAAATAAAATTTTTTCGTTTATTGAATTTTTCTTCAAATCTGCTAATTTTTCATGACTCTGATTTGCCACTTTTATCAGTAAAGAATTTTCACTACTCATTAAAATTTCCTTAATAAAAAGGAAAAAAATGTTAATTAAACAATTTTTTTTCTATATATTTAAATGGAAATCGCGAAATATTTTTTCATACTATGTACTCCTTTCCGGATTTTCCCAAATTTTCCTCGTACATTTTAACGAGAACCTTGAGCAATTCTTCCCGATAGCCCATTTCTGCCAAATATTTTGGAGTCTCTGGAAAAGCAATTATCCAAAAACCAAGAAAAATTCCGGGTAGTGAACAAATAAGAATATAAAGATTCCATGAACGAAATGAAAAATTTTCATTTTTAATTTCAAATTCTAAGGGAATAATGCCAAATCCTAGAACTAAAATTGAAAAATTAATTTATATCTACTTTCTTTTTTGGGAAAACTTTCTTTACCGGACGCAACACCATGACCGGAAATCCAAAAAAATTCCATCAATGATAAAAGAGATTTTCTTTGCTTCAATGGAAGACATTCACTCATATAGGTGAAAATAGTAATCAGTTGTCCCGTTGCTCTGAAAAAGAGAACATTTCAATATTCAAAGTTATTAAGTACCAAAAAAAAATTTTAATTATACTTTTATAATTACGCAAAACCAGAAAAAAATTTCAATCCCATTATTGTTGAATAATTTGGCACAATTGCTTGCAATAAATCTGAAATCCCTTGTAGGAATAAAAAAATTGTCAATGTCCATTTACGACCTTTCAAATTGGCCAAAAATCCAGAAATCACTGAGCTAAAACAAGAACCTAAGATTTCAATTTTTTTTCATTAATTGGATTTAAAAAATAAAATAAATTTTATTTTATTAATTTATTTTTTCATATAATAGTTAAAATTGTTTTTATGAAACAAACGCACCTATAAAAAATGATGTACTCAATAGTCCTTTATCAACTGTATTCATTTTGAGATCACACGCTGCTGCCGGAAGTATAAATCCTGTACTTACTGTACAAAGACTAATATTCAAATAAATTAGAAAGCATATTACTGTTACTTTTATGCTGAATTTTCCAAAACCTAATTAAAATTTTTTAAATTAGTTTTTTGAGAATAATTAATTTTTCAATTAATGTTGCAGAAAATATGAATTAGAAAAAATTAAAAAATTTTAGTTCACACTGTAATAATAATATTTTTTTGCAAAGGTTAAAATAAATACTCACCAGTCTCATTTATTGCCAATTCAACAATTGCTTCATCAATTCGTGTATCTAAACAAAAATACGCGAAATATTTATATAACTAATAAATAAATACAATGAATCAAACAAGAAAAACCAATATAAATTAATGAATAACAATTTTTAAATTAAATTATTATTAAAAAATTTAATAGTATTTATATTTTTTCAAAATTTTATAGAAAATTATAAACAGTTTTTATAAATTATATAAACATAATTTTATAAATCAATAATAATTATAATAAAATTATAAATTTTGATAAATACTATAATTTCGTAATTGTTCCTTACCTTTCTTCTCTTTTTGAGTGTCTGGTAAAAATTGAACAGCATTATTAGATGAATCATTATTCGAAGGATTTTCTTGTAAATGTATAATTTCTTCTAAATTTTGCATAATTAAAAAAATAAATTCAAATGTTAAATTTTATTTCAATTTTTCAATACAAAAGATGCACATTATTCAAGAAAATTTTACATTACGCTAAATGATAGTTATCGAGGAATGATGCTCTTACTCTGATTATTGACTTGGCTTGTGACTTCTATCAAGTACAATGAAGCACAAAAGTTTATTAATTCGCACTAGTTTTGCAAATGATTTTAAATAGTTTGTTTTTTGCACTACTTTAATAATAAATTTTAAATTATTAGAATATGTTAATAAGAGAATTATTTATTTATATAATACATAATTATAGATTAGTATAATTATATAATTATACCTTACTATTAGAGACTAAATAATTTTCAAACGAGAAATGACTGATTTCTTTATTACGTGCAAAATTGTTCACAAGATAAGAACAAATTTGCTTTGCAAAATGTTTTAAAGGTCTTTGCAATTGTTTAAAATTATATTCAATTTAAATTGAAGTTACTATTTTTTTAAAAATAAAATACATACACTGTAAGACTTAAAAATTGTTGAATAGAACTGTACTTAAACCTATCAAGGTAACATGGGAATAATAACTAAAAATATACCGTCTCATAATTTATTATACTAATTCAATAGCTTAAAAATTTATAATTTTTTTTTTCATTCTTTTCAAAATATTACAAAAAAATATTCAATATTCTCTTAATTTTCTATTTACAATTCGGTACAAACTAAATTAGATTAGATGATTTTTTTTTAATATCGCAATTTTAAAATTATGTAAATATTTCACATTTACAAATTATAATTAAAAAATTAATATGTCAGTACATCTACGAATAATGAACTTCATCTTTCATGAATTATCATTGTTGATACCGCTGCAACTATAAACAGGAGAATAAAAATCATTAACAACAGTATAATTAATTAAAATGGACAAATAATAAAAAGTTTACTAACCGACAAGTAGAAGAGTTATGAGAATGATAAACTGGAAACAATATTGTTCTATGAGATAACTAAAAATAATATTGCCAAATGAAGCTCCTAATCGAGAAGAAAGTGACGTTAATGTGACTCCCGATGATCTAAAAAAAAATACAATTCTCATTGTTTTTTTATATTAATATATTTTTTTTATTTTTCCCTTAAATTTTTACCTGAGATTCGTTGGAAAAATAGAAACGAATAGTGCAAATGTGATAGTGATGCAAACTGATATCAACGGTAAATAGACGCAAAGAAGAATTAAAATTTGTAGAGAAGAATTAACAAAATAAAGACCTAAAACAACACCCGAGCAAAGAAGACAAGTGATTGCTGTAAAAAATAAGAATCAATTATTAATATAATAAAAATAATTATAATAAAATGAAAATTAAAAAAAAATTTACCTAATAAAATCTTGAATCCATATCGAGCCACTAAAAATAATACTGGAAAAATTGCAGGAACACAAGATGCACACAATAATAAATTATAAATGAATACTTTAGTCTCCACTGTTCCATTGCAACGGAATGGATCTATTTCCTAATTTTTAAAATTAATTAATTAGATAAAACCAAGTACTAAAATTATTATTATTTGGTAAAATTATTGTTATAATTAATTTGAAGAATAAAATTTTGATGAAATTAATTATTATAAAGGAAATACCTTGTTTTTCATAGAATGATGAAGATCACGTGAGACATCACAAAAACTTAATGTTTCAGATTTACTTTTATCCTCAAACTCAACGACTCTTTGGAAAATTTCAGGTAACCAAAGATAAATTGCAAAATAAGAAGCAGTTACACAAAATGCAGTGAAACAAGCGAAACAAGTATTTTTCAATAATGGTAACTTTAAAACTGTCTTTGTTTGTTTTAATTCCATTAATAATTTTTCTTTAAAGAATGAAAATTTATTTACTATCACCGTCTTCTCACGCGAACGATTTACCAATTTTATTAATGATGTATTTTCACTGTTCATAAGTTTTTCCTGAAAAAAAAAAAATAAGAAAAACATAAATATAGAAATAAAAATAATTCATCAATTTTTTAATTTATAAAAATTTATTGCAAAAAAAAAATAAAACGAAAAACCTGTTTTTTTATGCTCACCACGTATTCTCTTGCAGACTTTCGATAATTTTGTTCATACATTTCGATAAGAACTTGAAGTAATTTTTCATTAGAACCCATTTCTGCCAAATATTTTGGACTCTCGGGAAAACTAATTAACCAAAAACCAAGAATAATTCCGGGTAGTGAACAAATCAGAATATAAAGATTCCATGATCGAAAGGAAAAAAATTGTCTTTGAAATTCAAATTCCAATGGAATAATACCAAATGCTAGGGCTGAAATTAAAAAAAATTTTTTAAAAACCAATTTTTATGTTTTTTTGAAAAATTTATACCTGACGCAACACCATGGCCGGAAATCCAAAAAAATTCCATCAATGATAAAAGAGATTTTCTCTGTTTCATAGGAATGCATTCACTTAAATATGTAAATACAGTAATTAATTGTCCCGTTCCACTGAAAAATTTATCGAAATTTATCAATTATAATTCAGTTAATTAAATCTTTTTTAATTATTTAATTTAATTGTACAATAATAAATTTATTTTTCCTAGTAAAAAAAATTAAATTTTATAATTACGCAAAGCCGGAAATAAATTTTAATCCCATTATTGTCCAGTAATTAGACACAATTGATTGCAATAAATCTGCATTTCCTTGAAGAAATAATGAAACTATTAAAATCCATTTGCGACCCTTTAAATTAGCTAAAAATCCGCAAATCAGTGAACTAAAACAAGAACCTGATAATTTTAATTATTAATTTTTATAATTTATAAACAATTTATTTATTTATAGTGAATTAATTGAAAATAATTACCTATGAAATATGAAGTGCTTAATAATCCTTTATCAACAGTAGTCATTTGAAGATCACATGCAGCAGCCGGAAGTACAAATCCAGTACATACTGTACTTAAACTTATGTTTAAATAAATTAAAAAGCATATTGCTGTTACTTTTATATTGAATTTTCCGAAACCTTTAAATAATTCAATAATAATTTATTATTAATTGATAAATAATAAATATTTTCGTTATTTATTAAAACAGTACCTAATTTGTTGAAAAATGTTTGTACTTAAATTTAGTATTTTTGTTTTCTATGTGGATAAAAAAAAATAATATATTTAGTTACGTAAGTAAAATAAATAATATAAGTAGATAATAATTAATAACAATAGATAATAGTAATTACAAAAATAATCTTGGTAATAAATTAAACAGTTGTTATACAATTTTAATCAATTGCATAGAATTTAAAATAATTGATATAATCTTCTAATTATATGTCTATACTGATCGACAATGTGGGCCATTTTTATGCAGATGAACATATTATTATTAAATACTAACCAGTTTCATTGATTGCTAATTCCACTATCTCTTCCTCTGTTCGCGCATCTAAATTTAATTTAAAAAAAAAAATTACAATAAATAACATAGGTAATAAAAAAATTTATTATTAAAATAATTTTAGTTTTTATTTACTCACTCATCGTTAAATTTTGTAACACTGAAGTAATATTACATAATTTCAAAAGCTATATTTATCAGTTTTTGTTTTTGTATGTAAAAAAATGGGCGAACCAGTTATTTTTATAGTTATTGTTTTTTCTTATCGATTATTATTCATAAAACTCGGTGGTAAGTGAAAATAAAAAAATACATTGTTTAAACAATTTTTTAAACAAAATTTTTCTTGATTTTAGGAAAACAAAAAAATTCTATTAAATTTTTATAAACCTTTTGCATATATCAATTACCGTGTAAAAATTGACCAAGTGTCTCTAAGAAAACAATTATCTAAAATTAAAATAAATTTGTTTCTACCTTCATTTTTTGCTAATGAATTTTCAGTTTCTGTCGATGAAATAACACTAATTGGTAACATCCGTGGATTAATATGAATAAATGAAGTTGTTTTTTTCTCTGTTTCAGATTCCATATTTTGTAAAATTAAAAAATCAACTTTGAAAAAAAACTCGAATATTTAAAAATAAACATTTTTGGGAATGAAAAAAAAGTGAGTAAAAAAAATCGACTTCTAATTTAAATAACACACACTTTACTGATCAAGAAATCTTATAGTATCTGGCAAATTTTTCCTTTTTTTTCTTTTGCAATTTGTATAAAAAACAAGTATTTTTCTCTCCCTTTGCGCAGAATCAATATCTATTATGTCACAATAATTTGTACTATGTGGTGTTAAATGGGAAACAAGTTTACATCGTTTTGCAATTCTGAGAAATTAATTCCACTAATGATAAAGGACTGGGAAATGAATGTTGAATTGAAAATGAATGTTTTTCTTTCATATTATTTTTTTCTCGAATCTCACAAGAGATTCGAAAGAAAATTAATGATAATTACAGTTATTTTATATATCTTCTCTTTTTTTCAACAAATTATTTTTTATTATATAGAGAGAGAAAGAAGTGTTTTATTTATTAAATTTAATATTCAAAAGTTATATTAATCGTATTCTATTGTAATTATTGTTACCGTGTCTATATTATTCATTTTTTACATTGTTATCTGTCATTAATAGTAATAGAATTTTTTAACTAAAACGTACTAAAAGAAACGTCAATTTTTATCTAAATTATATAATATAAATGAAAATTACTACATATAGTGTGCATAATTGAATTTTAAAAACTAGATGTTTTTTTTATTTAATTTAAACTTCATTTTGAGGGGGAAAAAAAGAGAAATATAATTCAATCGTATTTATTTCCTTTTTATAAAAAAAATTAATTTTTTTTTCAAGTAAAAAATCGTATTCTCAGGATCAGTATAATACGTACAATAAATAGTATAAATAAATTCACTACTTATATAATAAAATTGTAATTAAGTATACAAAGATGCTAATTATGCATCCTTTCTCTCACGAATTAAAATTGTTGATATTGCTCCAACTAAAATGGTAAATAGTGAAAAAAAAATGAAATAATATATTTTGATATAATTCATGAATTAATAATTAATTTAAATACTCACCTATAAGTTGTAGGGTTATTAAAATTATATAAATAAAGCAACGACGATCTATGAGATAACTAAAAGCCATATTGCCAAATACAGCTCCAATACGACATGCCATTGATGTTAAAGTTACTCCTGATGATCTGAAAGGAAAAAAAATTCAATTTTTTTTTTAAATACAGAAAAATTGATTATTTTCACTTACCTGTGTGTAGTGGGAAAAATGGAAACAAAAAGTGCGTTTGACATTGTTACGCTGGTTGATATCAGAGGTACGTAAATGCACAGTATGATTAAAATATGAAGAGATGAATTTACGAAATAGAGAGCAAGAATGAGGACCGAGCAAAGTGAACAATGTATAACTGAAAAAAAACAAAAAGAAGAAGAAAGAATTTATGCCTAAAAATTAAAAATTATTAATAAATTAATTATCCTATTTTTTAGATTAGTTAATTAAAAAAAGTCCTTACTTAACAAAATTCTAAAACCAAAACGATTAATTAAAAGTAAAAGTGGAAATACTGCCGGAGCACACGAGGCACATAATAATAAATTAGTCATGAATACTTGAGTATCTATGGGATTGTTACAGTCAAATGCATCATTTTCCTAATTTAAAAAACAATTTTTTTTAAGTAAGTCTTGTGCTGTTTTATCTGTAATTAATTAATTATTGCCAAATATTACCATTTGTTGACCTGAATTAATAATATCATTTGAAATTGAACAAAATTTCAAATTAGCATTTTTATTTTTAGCCTGTAATTCGGAAAATCTTTGAAATATCTCAGGAAACCAAATATAGAATGCATCATATGAAAAATTGATACTAGATCCAATCATACATGCCAAAAATGTATTTTTCAATAATGGTGGTTTCAAAATTTTTTTTATTTGCTTCAATTCCAATAAAATTTTTTCACTCAACAATGGTTTTTCAATTAATTCTGGATAATTTTTATAACTATCATTCACTAATTCCATTAATGGAATTTTTCCACTATTCATTAATTTTTCCTGAAAAATTAAATTAATATAAAATTTATTAATTTAATTTCAAAAAAATTGCATCTCACTATATATTCTTTTCCAGATTTTCCAGTATTCTGTTTATACATATCCTTTAGGACCCATAGTAATTCTTCCCTAGAACCCATTTCTGCCAGATATTTTGGTGTTTCGGGTAAAAATAATAACCAAAAACCAAGAAGAATTGCTAGTCCTGAGCAAATTAAAATATACAAACTCCAGGAACGGAAGAAATAAGAATGTATTCTTATATCAATATTTAGAGGAAGAATTGCCATGCCTAATGCTATAATGAAAAATAATTTTTAAAAATTGTATTTTTCATTAAAGAGATAATGAAAATAATTTATTAATTTCTCTTACAGCATGCAAGAGCATCTCCCATGATCCAGAATAATTCCATTAGTGACATAAGGAGATCTCTTTGCTTTGAAGGTAAACATTCACCCATATAAGTGAAAACAAACAATTGCCCCGCTCCTCTAAATAAAAAAAAAAAAAAAAAAAATTTCAATCTTTTATAAAAAAAAAATCGTTTCACAAAAAAGGTTCAATTGAAACCAAATCGCATAAAAACAGATTTGAAATTATAAGACTATTTTTCAGGATCAATAACTCACTTGAATAATATAAGTTGTAAATAATTAGTTAGTATTTACCCGAAACCAGAAAAAAATTTTAATATCATTAATACCCAATAGTTGGGAAAAATGGGAATCATGAAATCTGCAACTCCTTGAAAGAATAAAGTTAACAGTAAAGTCCATTTTCGTCCTTTGTAATTTAATAAAAATCCACAGATGACGGGACTGAAACAAGAACCTAATATTTTCAATGTTTACACTTTCTATTTTAGTTTTCAATTCTGATGAAAACAATTATAATTGTAACTGTAATTTTGTGATAAATAAATAAATGAATAAATAATAATTAATTAGGATCTATCTTTATAGTGACTGGAAAAAATTGGTTTTAATTACCTATAAAAAATGAAGTAAGTAATAATCCTTTGTCAAATAATGTCATGTTAAAATCACATGACGATGCCGGAAGCATGTAACCAGTACTGACAATACTTAGACTAGCATTTAAATAAATTAGGAGACATATTACTGTGACTTTTAAACTGAATTTGCCAAAACCTATTAAAAATCAGTTGAAAAAAATTTTAAGGGATTAAAACACTCGAATTTTTAAAAAATTTATTTTTTTTACATTTTTGCAACAATCTGCAAAGTTTATCTAGTGATATATTTTTTCAAAAAGAAAATTGCAAAAAAATAACTCGTTACGGTGTTTTGATCCCTTATTAAATTAAATTAAGCATAATTTAAAAAACAATTTTGTCAGATAATTATATATATTTTGAAATAATTTAGAAAAATAAAAACTTACCAGTTTCGTCGACAGCCATTTCAACAACTGACTCCTCTATTCTTGAATCTAATGTAAAATCATTGTTTTTAATTTGTTACAAAATAAACAAAGAAACAATTAACTTGTAATTTTTTTATGTAAGTAAATTTGAACTTACTGGTCATTATTGGAGTGAAAAAAAGTCTTGATAGCTGTTTGCAATATTTATTGACAATATGCAACTTAAAGTTAACCAGGTGCAATAATAACATGCTCGTATTGAAGCCAGTTATTATCATAAAGTGGAGAATATTTAAAATATATTTAAATTTTTTAAACTAAAATTTGTTGTACAGATAACTTTTATGCGGTATATTATGCATTGTTATATACATATATAGTATTTCTCATGGCACAAAAATTTACGTTAATTAAAATTTATTCATATTATTAATTATTAATTAATAAATATTAATTTCCATTTTTCAAATTGAATTATTTTTTTATTATAAATAAAAAAGTTATATGTTATGAAAATCAACAAAATAAAATAATAAATTATAATTTTATTAAGTATATTTATTAAGTATATATCATAATTATTCTATCTATCTTTTCTCTCGCGAATTAAAATTGTTGATACTGCTGCAACTGAAAAAAAAAAATTATAAATTATAAATTAATTAATAGTCCTGAGACAGTTATTGCATCCAATTTTATATAAAAAAAAAATATTAACCTATTAGCAATAGGCATGTTAATAAAATAAAATAAAAACATTCGTCTTTAAGAACACTGAAAATAAAATTGCCAAATATCGCTCCTATACGGACCAGTAAACTTGTAACAATAATACCCGAAGATCTGGAAATTTAAAACTACGTCAATGAATTAAAATCGTCACAAAATTTATTCATTGCTAAATTTTAAATTATTTCTAATTATTCTATTGTAATTAACAAAATTACACAAACCTGAAATTTGTAGGAAAAATTGATACGAAATATGCAAATATAATACTCATGTTCGTGGTAGTTAAAGATAGGTAGATACATAGTAAAATTAAATTTTGAAGAAATGAGTTTGAAAAATAAATACCAATAATTACAACCGTACATAATGTGCAACTTGTAGCTGTAAATAAACCGGATTTTTATAAATTAATTAAATTTTATTATCATTCATAGATTTATAGTTTATTTGCTCAATAAAATATTTTTAATCATAATAATTAGAAAAAAAATACTACCTAATAATATTTTTAATCCACAACGTTTCACCAATAATGTTACAATGATCATTGTCGGAAAACAAGATGCAGACAAAATTAAATTGTTAATAAATATATTTTTATCAATTGGTGTGTCACAGATGTGCTAAAAAAAACTAAAATTTGTAAGAATAAAATATTTTAAAAATTTCAAAATATTTATAATGATAATTTGAAATTTTTCATTGCAATTGTAAATACCTACCATTTTTTGGGCAGAAAAAGAAGAATCGCGTGAAATAGTACAAAAATTAGAATTTTTTTCTTTATTTCCTGCTTGAAAATTTGCGAATCTTTGAAAAATTTCTGGTAACCAAAGATAGAATACATAATAAGAAGAAGTGACAGTAAATGCAGTGAAACATGCAAGTAGAGTATTTTTTAAAAGGGGCGATTTAAAAATACATTGCAATTGATTCAGTTCATTAAAAATCTTCTCAATTACAAATTTTTCTTTATTTGAATCTTTCACTTTTTTATTATTTTTCTTCGCCAATTCTACAAGAGCAATATTTCCACTACTCAATAATTTTTCCTACAAATTGTTTATAAAAAATTGATTTTTAAAAAATTTCATTCCTTTTTGATTTAATTATCTAATACATCAAAATTTTATTTTTACTGAATTCAATTTTAAAAATTAATCCATTTTTTCTCACTATGTACTCCTTTCCCGATTTCCCCACATTTTGCTCGTACATGTAAATGAGGACTTGTAGTAATTTTTCTCTCGATCCCCTTTCAGCTAAAAATTTTGGTGTTTCTGGCATAAATATTAAACAAAATCCAAGTAGAAATGCAGGTAATGAACAAATTAAAATATAAAGATTCCAAGAATGAAAGGTAAAATATGATTTCTCAATGCCAAATTTTTGAGGAATTATACCCAATCCTACAGCTATAAACAAAATAATTTTATTAAATTTAATAATTAATTTTTATTAATTAATTAAATTAATTATTAAAATTAAAAATTAAAAACTCGTTTTATCTTTACCAGCTGTAAAAGCATGTCCAAGTGTCCAAAAATATCCCATATTTGATAATAAAAATTGTCTATTCTTCAATGGGAGACATTCACTCAAATAAGTGAAGACAATATTCTGTCCTGCTGATCTAAGATTACCAAATAATTAACATTAATTATTTGTATTTGCAAAAAAAGAAAACAGAATAGAAAAAATTTTTATGTAAAGAGAAGAGGAATAAAAAAAAATTACCCAGCTCCAGATAAAAATTTCAAACACAACATAATATAATAATTAGGTAGAACTGATTGTAAAAAATCAGAATTTCCTTGAACAAATAATGCTACCAACAAAATCCATTTTCGACCTTTAAGATTCGCTAAAAATCCACTAATCACTGCACTAAAACATGAACCTGAAATAATTATAATTTGTAATAATTTATTAATTAATTTATTAATGATTTATTTATAATAAATATAAAATACCGACGAAGAATACCGTGCCAAATAAACTTTTGTCCATGATATTCATGTTAAGATCACAGGCAGCTGCCGGAAGTACAAATCCAGTGGAGATGACTCCCAGACTCATATTTAAATAAATTAAGTAACATATTATCGTTACTTTGACACTAAACTTTCCAAAACCTAGTTTTAGTTTAATAAAAGTAATTTTATCATAACTTTATAATTCTTGTTTTTTTTTAAATATATGAATAATTTATAATTGAGTTATCTATTCAGGAATATACTCACCAGTTTCACTAATAGCGATTTCAGCTATTGTTTCATCGATTCGTGTATCTAAATAAGATTTTTATTTTTATAAATTTTATTTATTGTAAATTTCCATAGTAGAACAATATAAAAAAAATTGTGTAACTTGAAAATTTTTTTTTCCTTTTTAATTCTTGAGAAACTTGACGATTTTCTATTTTTATAAACATTTTCCTTCTAACTGTTAATTCCAACTTCGAACAATCATTATTTCAACTATATTTGCAAATTAGTCGACCTTGCGAGGTTTTAGAAACAATGTTATTGCAACTTACACGTTTTTTTTGTCATTTTTTTTTTAAATTGTAAAAAAAAGTAAATAAATTTATGAAAGAATTCAATAATTTATTAATATATTATATTTAAATTCATTAATATAGAAAATAAAAAAATTAATAAAATGTAAGTTTAAAAATGAATATTTTAAAAAAGTATTATTTGTTTCGGATAGATAAATACAAATTTTAAAACTAATAAAACTTGCCTGTATCACTAATAGGAAATTCATCATAAAATTCTTTTGTTCCTGGACCTAATTTAAAATTTTCTTTTAATTATTATTTTCTATTCACTTCTCAGCTTTATTTTTCAAAATTAAATCTACGTTTGAAAAAAGTTTGAAGTGTACTTACGCGACATTTATAAAAAATAGAACCCAAGTTAACTTCAATGTGAGAACCACAGTATTAAACTAATTTGTTTACTGACAGATAAACTAGTTTTTATAAATAAAAAAAACTTATCTATAAATGAAATGGAAATTGTTCATAAATTAAAACTAACGTTCTCATTTTTTAAATTTTGTGTGTTTTATGGTTTTTTTTAATCTGTAATTTAGTCATTTATATTTAATAAAATTAAATTCTAGATACATGAATTTACAATTTATAAATTATCATAGATTTTTATAAACTAAAGGAAGTGAGACTAAAGAGAAATGTAATTGAATCGTATTAATTTATTTTTCTCTAAAAAAAATTGAGTTTCTTTACAGTTTTTTTATTATAAACATTTAAATAATTTGTATAATTTATAATAATAATAATTATTATTTACATTATTATAATTTATTTATAATTTATAAATTTTTAATTTTTTTTAACATTTAAAAGAAAGTTTTGAATTTTGTCGATTAAAATGATTTGTTGATAAAAATAAATAAATATGATTTTTCATTAAGTTACAATCAATTGTTCAATTTATCCTTTCTCTCACGAATTAAAATTGTCGATACTGCTGCAACTGAAATTGTTTAATAAATTTTAATAATTGATTATTATAAATTAAATTTTCATAAAAATAATCACTAACCTATAAGTAATATGGATGTTAATAATATAAAATAAATACATTCGTCTTTAAGGAAACTGAAAGTAAAATTGCCAAACATTGCTCCTAAACGGACAAGTAAACTCGAGACAACTATACCCGATGATCTAGAAATTTATAGAAAATTATAATTTTAACAATATTTTAAAATTACTGAAAATTATAATACTAATAATATTAATAATAATAATAATCCCCCCGAAGGATGTCCACCTTGTCGTGGTGGAATAAATAAAAATATTCTTTTTATTTATTTTTCTATTCTAATAGTTTCTACTATATTCTATATTTCTATAATTATAAAAATTATACATACCGGAAATTTGTAGGAAAAATTGTCACGAAATATGCAAATTGAATAGTCATACTCGTGGACGCTAGAGATGAATAGATGCATAATAAAATTAAATTTTGAAGAAATGAATTTGAGAAATAAATGCCAATAATTACAGCCGTACATAATATGCAACTTGCAGCTATAAATAAACCAGTGAAATTCATTGAATTTTTATATTCTAATTATCATATTCGTAGATTAATTGAAATTTATTTGTAAATATTGAATTTAAAATTAATATCATAACTTATATACATTCAATAATCATAGTAATAATTATTTTTAAAAAATACATTACATTTAAATTACATTATAAAATAATACATTACCTAATAATATTTTTAATCCACAACGTTTCACCAATAATGTAATTATGATAGTTGTGGGAATACAAGATGCGCACAATATTAAATTGTTAAGAAATACTTTTTTATCAATTGGCGTGTCACAGACGAGCTGAAAAAAAATTTACTAATAATATAGGATAAGTGTATAATAAAAAATATATTTTCATCCTACCGTGTCTTGAGTGGAAGAAGGCAAATCACGTGAAATGGTACAAAAATTAGAACCCTTTTCTTTATGCCCAGCTTGAAAATTTGCAAATCTTTGAAAAATTTCTGGTAACCAAAGATAGAATGCATAATAAGAAGAAGTGACAGTAAATGCAGTGAAACATACAAGTATAGTATTTGTTAAAAGTGGTGGTTTAAAAATACATCCCAGTCGCTTGAGTTCATTGAAAATCCTTTGAATAATTGTATTTGAATTTTTTACTTCATTTTTATTTTTGTGAACCAATTCTATGAGTACCGCATTTCCACTACTCAATAATTTTTCCTACAAATTATTTAGAAAAAATTAATTTTCAGAAAATTTCATTCCTTTTTGGTTTAATTATCTAATACATCAAAATTTAATTTTTGCTGAATTCAATTTTAAAAATTAATTCATTTATGCTCACTATGTACTCCTTTCCCGATTTCCCCACATTTTGCTCGTACATGTAAATGAGGACTTGTAGTAATTTTTCTCTCGATCCCCTTTCAGCTAAAAATTTTGGTGTTTCTGGCATAAATATTAAACAAAATCCAAGTATAAATGAAGGTAAGGAACAAATTAAAATATAAAGATTCCAAGAATGAAAGGTAAAATATGATTTCTCAATCCCAAATTGTTGAGGAATAATACCCCATCCTACAGCTGGAAATAAATCGAAATTGCAGCTAAAAAAGGCTATTATATATAAATAGGTATTTTTAAAAAATTTACCTGCTGCAAATGCATGTCCGAAAATCCAAAAATATTCCATATTTGATAATAAAAAATTTCTATTCTTCAATGGCAGACATTCACCTAAATAAGTGAAGACAATATTTTGTCCAGCTGATCTATATTTCCCAAATTATGTCTCATTTATTCGAATTTCGAGTTTCGAATATTTAAAATGAAATAAAAAACCTAAATTAAAAAAAAAAATTTACCCAGCACCAGAGAAAAATTTCAATCCCACGATAATCCAATAATTGGAGAAAATTGATTGTAGAAAATCAGAATTTCCTTGGAGAAATAATGCCAGCAACAAAGTCCATTTGCGACCCTTAAGATTTGCTAGAAATCCACTAATTACTGCACTAAAACATGCACCTGTGATAAAATAAAATTTCTTTTGAAAGAATTTATTTTTTCATTCTTTTTGCTGAATTTTAAAAGTAATTATTTTTATGAATAAAAATACAATTAACTTACCAACAAAAAATGCCGTAGTAATTAATGCTTTGTCAATGATGTTCATTTTGAGATCACAAGCAGCGGCCGGAAGTACAAATCCGATAGAAACGACTCCGAGGCTTATATTGAAATAAATCAAGTAACATATTATTGCTACTTTAATATTAAACTTCCCAAAACCTATTTTTAATTTAATAATTAGTTTTATTTTATAATATTTTTAAAAAATATTTAGAAAAAATTTATTCATTTTTCCTTGCGATATCTGTTCAAGAAATATATATACTAACCAGTTTCGTTAATAGCGATTTCAGCTATTGATTCATCGATTCGTGTGTCTAAATAGAAGAGAAATTTCCTTGATTTAAGAAAACTTTTAAGCTTTAAAAAACTCTTTTTATTTATTTATTTTTTTGAAATCTTATTTTATTTTATTTCAATTGCATTTTTATGCGCTTATTTAAAAAATTATTGTAAAAAATTACTGATTGGACCAAAAAAATTGGATAACTAAAAACATGTTTTTGTTTCTCTATAATATGTAATATTTTTTTTAAACATATATTTTCAATTATTTTTGGCCTTGAGTTTAAAAAAAATATATTTTTTCAAACTTTTTTGTTTTTTATTTTATTATTATTATAATTATTATTATTTTTGTTTCAACGTTTTTTTAAATTTTATTTTACAAAAACTGCAAAAATAAATAAAAGTTAGTCAAATTAGTCAAATTTAATTTAATTAATTTAATTTAATCCCTTCACTGTCAGCGACACATACGTTGTGTCGTGATCATCTTAACACAAAATAAATGAAATTTTCTATTTAAATTGTAAAATAAATTCTTTTATATCATTATTTGCACACTACAGGTATCAATGATATTTGGTTAAGTAATAATTAAATAATTATTTATTATTTTTATCTAATAAATAATTGAAAAACAAATAAAAATCACGAAATTTTTTTTTAATTCAGTATCAATTTTTTTCTCTAACAGTGAAGGGGTAAAAATGAGTATTTTTGAAAAAATATTATATTTTTGAGATACATACAAAGTAAATAGATAAAAAGTTTCTACAAAGTGTAAAACTTATCAACAATGTTAATGGCTTACAACTTGCCTGTTTCTCTGATAGCAAATTCGTCATGATATTCTTTTGCCCCTGGATCTAATTAAAAAATTTTTTTTGAATTATTCTTTTTTTATTAATTTTCTTAGCGATGTTTTTCATAATTAAACCCAAAAAGCTTTCGCGTGTACTTACGTGACATTTATAATAAAAAAAATTTAAAAACGGAACTCAACTTAAACGTAGGAACTACAGTAATAAACTAATGGATATTTACTGATAAACTAGTCGCTTATAACAATAAAAAAACTTATCTTTAAATTATATAAGGAAATTGAAGACATAAAATTGACTAAAGTCAAATTTATTGTCCTGTATTTTTTCCTTATTCTTTAATTAAATGTTAATTTTGCTAAATGTTTAGTACTGCAATATAAAAATCAAAATTTTATTAATAATAAAGATTTTTTCTTTATTTGTCCTACGTTTTATAATAATAATTTTTTTATTATTATTATTATTATTATTATTTATTATTATTTATTATTATTTATTTATTATTTATTTATTATTTATAAATCGTTATCACTAGGTAAAAAAAACTCAATTCTTTTAAAAAATATTTAATAACAATTTTTATTTTCTATACTCAACATTCTCGCAAACATTTCACACAATATATTGCACATTATAATTCTTTTCTTAAAAATTTTTCAAAGTCACATAATACAGACAAAAAAATATTTTTTATAATATATAAATTAAATTTACAATTTCATTAACTATAAATATACATTAATATTAGTGTACAACGGTCGTAGAAAAAAATTGTAAAATGAAGTAATACTATTTTGTGTATATAATCGAAGTTTAAAAATAAAAAATTGTCTAAATTTTTATGAGCACCAATTTTTTATCACGTGTATTTTAAAAAAATGTAATTGGTTACTCGTTATTTATTATATAAAAAAAAAGAAAAAAAAAACAGAAAACTGTATACATGCGTTTAAAACGAGAGCCTCATGTTCGACAAGAGTGCTGTCTTATATCTTAAAAATGCAAATTAAATTAATGAATTTATTGAGTTTTAATAAATTAAGTTAAAATTGCGATCTCCATTTATTATGCGCATTTGTGTTTCTAGCGAACGATGAAACTTAGAATTGTTGCCACTGTAAAAAAATATATTTCTGTTATTTATTTTTTATATTATATTTTTCTTATTTATTATTTTATTTATGTGAAAAAATATTAACAGCAGGATATAATAATTATATTGTCTCCTGAATTTTAAGTTTGATAAAAAGTAGTAAAAGTGAGTTTCAGTTAGACATATTAAATCAATTGTTAAATAAATTAAATATGGAAAATAATTTTACCAAGAAGTTGAACTGCAACTATGATAATTAATGTATCGCAGTAGTCGTCAATTAAATATGTAACCATCATATTTCCTACGAGACTTCCTACTCTACCAAATAATCCTAAAAGAGTTCCCGCAATCATTCTGCAAATGATAAAAAATAAATGATAAAAAAATCTATTATTTTTGTAAATTTAAAAGTAAAATTATACATAAAAAATTGATAAAATACCTGCAGTTTGTTGGAAATGTTACAACTAATAGACAATACATGAGACTCATAGCCATAGATGTCATTGATTCAAAAATACATGAAAGTACTAAATTTTGAAGGGAGGATTTCACCAAAAATAGTCCTAAAGTCACGACAAATGCTATGGCATTTGTAAATACTGTAAATTGAATTTTTTTTATTAATATTTTGATTAAATTCAAATTAATTAATGAAATTTAAATTTAATTTTTATTTTTATTTAAATATTCCATACCTAAAAAGAATTTAAATCCCATTCTATCAACAAAAAGTGGTACAATCACAGCAGCAGGAATACAAGCGACTGCTAACCATAGAGAATTTATAAAAACACTGGGATCTATGTGACGATTGCAAGCAACAGGAATAATATCGACTTCCTGTGAAAAAAACATTTTTTACCATGTAAATAATTTTTACATTTAAATAATTTTTTTACAGTAAAAAAATAAAAATGTATAAAACTTACAAAACTAGAATTGAGAGGAATTAATTGTTTAGAAACAGAACAAATACTTGTCGTTTCATTGGGATAATGTTGCTCAAATAAAGCAAATCTTTCAAAAATTTCAGGTAACCAGAGAAGCAGCGAATAATAAGATGACAATTCCAAAAATCCAATAATACAAGCAACAGAAATACTTTTTAAATATAATGATGATTTAATAATTGTTTTTCCTTGTTTTTTAAAACTTTTAACAATATCCTGAAATTTTTTACTTCTTCTTGTCATTTTTTCTGCCTCAAGAGATTTATTTTGCCATTGTGCAACCAATTTCGCCAATGCAGCATCTTCACTATTCATTAACATTTCCTGAAAAAGAAAAAAATATATATTTTTCAGAAATGAACAATATTTACAAAAAATGACAAAAGGAGTAGGTGAATAATATTTGTGAATAAATAAATATTTGACAGAAGAAGAAATATTCAACTAGCACATATGGTACTTAACTGTAACAAGAGTTGTGAGACGAGAAACTGGATTTCTGGAAAAAACAATGTTTTTTTCCTTTTTTATGTATATCCAGAGAAAATTTTAATAGAAAAAAAGACTAACTATTCTGGGAAAATTAATAATTTAGATGGAAAAAGTGCTTTTGTACATTACAAAAGTAGAAATTCAGATTCAGAGAATGATTCAGATATAACGATAGATGATAAATTTAGAAGTATGATTATAAAAATTATTTTATTAATATAAAATAGATGCAATTATTCTTCTATTTTGTAATCAACTTACAAAGTATTTTTGTGATGGTAATCCAGTATTTTCTTCGTACATGCGGCCAAGAACTTTTAATAATTTTACATTTTGTCCAGTTTCCGCGAGAAATTTTGGCGTTTCAGGAAAAAAGAATAATGTAATGCCTATTAATTCAGCTGGCAAACAGCAGACTAAAATAAATAAATTCCACGAGCGAAAGAAGAAATATTCGGAATCATAAGCGAATTCCAGTGGTAAAATAACCCATGCTAAAACTGAAAAATATTTTCTTTGTATAATTATAAATATATATTTTTTACCATTGAACAAAGAATTATTTTTGTCAAAGAGAAAAAAAAACAATTTTTATTTTTATCTTACTTGGTAAAATTAACAGGCCAACGATCCACGCTGCCTCCATCCACGAAAGAATTCTTTTGCGAAATTTCTTTGGTTGAAATTCACCGATATAGGTGAATAATAAAGCTACTTGGCCAGCAACACTGAAAAATTTAATTTTTCAATGAAAAAAATTATTATTACATGTTTTTCATTAATCATTAATTTTTTTGTTTCAAAGATTCTTTTTTTTTGTAATTTTATACAAAAAAATTTATTCAACTTACGCCACACCACTAAGGAATTTAAAAAACAAGAAAATCCAATAATTTCGTACAAAAGAAGCAATGGCCTCTGAGATTCCTTGAATAAATAGAGTCATAATTAAAGCCTTTTTACGACCTTTCATATCAGCCACAAAACCCCAAATCAAACATCCAAAGCACGTTCCTAAAAATAAGAAAAACTACATTATAAAATTAAATTTTTCAAACTATAAACAAGATAACATAAAAAAAAAATATTTACAGAACTTTTCGAAATTTTACACTTAATCCAATTTAATTTATCAACTGTAATTTTCAATAACATCAATTGACAAATTTAAAAAAAAACATGAGCATAAAAGATAATAATTAGAAAAAAATGATTATTTATATATTATTTAAAAGTAAAACAGAGAAAAATTTACCCAATAAAGGAGCAATTACTATACGCCCCTTATCAATTGTCTTTAATTGAAAATCACATACTGCAGCAGGAATGATATAGCTAGCACTGGTAATACTGATTGCAGAATTCATAAATATTAAGGCACCCAATATCGATATTTTCCAATTGAATTTACCGAAACCTAAAAATAAAGAACACGTTTTTTAAAAAATATGATTCTATTTTAAAAAATTAAAAAAAATAAATTTTTATTCAATTAACAATATGATACAGTTTTTAATTTTCTGAAAAAAGTATACCTGTAGCGTCAATGGCATTTTGAGCAACGGCCTCATCCGTTTGTGATTCTGTAAACAAATAAATAATAAACAATATAATTTTTACTCAAATCAATAAAAATTCACAAAAAATTAATTATTAAATAATTATAATATTTTTCTACTTTTTTTTTGTCTGTTTCTTATAAGCCATAAAAAAATTTTTTATTTTGAACTTTTTATACATAAGAAAATTTATTGTCTTTTTTCCTAAAACACTAAATTTTTTTTATAATTTAAATTATTTTCTATGAAAATATGAAAATTATTCTCATTTTGTTATTTGTTAATTGTAAATTATAAATTATTCATTACCCCTGCGAATCATAATGAGACACTTCACAGTATAAGAATAACTAACTTTTAAAAAAATGAGTAAAAAATTTGTTAGAAAAATAATAATATATATAATGTACTAGAAATTAGCAAAACAAGCTTATAATAAAATTACATGAAATACAAATAACACACTTTGTGGATCCATAAAAATTATACAGTTTAATAATTTGTTTCAAACAGCAGTTATGCAAGTAATGACTATTTAATTTTGAGAATTCATTCAAGGAGCAATTATGACGCAGATTGCCATAAAATACTTCCTTATATATATATATATATTTTTTTTTTTGTCAAATGTCCATAAAAAATGCAGTAAAATAGTACTTAAATTATATCTCGTATTACAAAATTTTTTGACGTGTTTTTATTTATCTTCATCGTACAATTTATTTTATTATTTATATTTTTAAGTATATTGAAAAATAGTAATTTTTAAAAATAATTTATTATTGAAATTTTACCCAAGTGTGTGTTTAAATAAATAAATTCATTGTCACGAATAATCAAATAAAAATATAATAAAAGACTTTTTTTAAAAAATAGTATAATTTATGACTTCAAAAAACAGTTTTTATTTCAAATTAAATTTTAAGTTATATATGCAGTGTTAATTAGAGTGAAAAGGATTTCAATTAGTGTTAAGTAAACACATACCAGGAAAAAAATGATAAGATTTTGTTGATTAAAAAATCATTTGACAAAATTTATAAGCGCCCTTATATGTGGATCCTCTAATCAGTGGGAATATGATTGTTTACGTTCGACCCCAATGAAAGCCATCTTCATTTCAATCAATTTGATGACTCGCGCGAGAGTAAATTGTCGTACGCACAACATCATTATGATTTATCATTTTATAAACAAATAATAAAGAAAAGTACCAAACTATCATAATCTCTCTACAGAGGTAAAAAAAAAAATTTTTTAATTCCATTTTTTTCAAAATCAATTTTACGTTTCAATTTTCTTTTATTAAAAAAATTATCACCCATAGAGAAAAAAGATATCTATTTTCATTCACGGAAAAGAATACTTATTGCTTTTCAAAAATTGTAAACGTAAATTAATTTTTGCAAATATTTCTTATAAAAAAAAAAAAAAAAAAAATTCAAAGAGAAAAATGCAAAAAAAAATGACATCTCGTAAGATGTTTTTCTTATTGACTTTGAAAAACTGGTGTTAGCTGGTTCTTGAAACAAGAGACTTGAACAGTAATCTGAGAAAACACTTTATATTTTCTATATCTTTTTTTTATTTATTATTATATACATTTATGTATATATAAAATATTAACTAACCTTCGAAATCATCAGCGTCAGAAAATGATGAATCTTCGGAATTACTTTCCGATAAATTTTTATGTTGATCATTAAGAAATAATTCTTGTGAACAATCAGAAATTTTATTGCAACTGAGACGTGACATGGTGCTCCTTCAATTCGCAAAACTCAAATGCCCATAATGTGTCTTCTACTTATCGTTTACATATCTCTGATAATATAACATGCCCGTATATTCTTTGCAAACGTCCCTGAATAATTATTAAAGATCGCCCCCCAAGACCCTATATAATAAATGTATCTAAATAAAGCAATTTTCGATTTTATTTTAATTTTTTTTTTTTGAAATTTATAATTTAGAAATTTTTTTTGAAAATTGTTGAAAATTTAATTAACTTTTACTTCTCGCGACTCCCCTGAAGACAATATATGAGAGAAAAGTCCAGTTTTTTCTGGTACAATCATTTTCATATATAACGGTGTAACCGCTTTATATGCTTTCATTATATTCAATTAATTTATAAATTAGATCACTTGTTTTTATCCAATTCTTCACGTGCATCTTGACTGCCGGACAAAGTGCAAAACAAAGCAGGAAAGTGAAATATGCATAAAATAATAATTTAGCTGATGACACTTGTTGATAAGAAAGAAATTAAATATAAAAATAAAGTTTTTTGAGGTCCCAATTTTTTTTATTGTTATATTTGTTAAAATTTTCACAAATAGATTAATAATTTGATATTACAACATTGTGTGCACTTTTTTTTTGTAAATGATGAAACACTAAAGCTGAATCATTCAAAGAGTTAGTGAAAGCTTGCAAATTTATCAGTCATATGATTTAGTAAAGCTTATCAAACATTCATTATTATAATATTGATGTTTATTTTTTTTCCAATTTATTAAACATGTTTTACGAAAATCAGTTGTCTTTTATTTTTTATAAAAAAAGGGGGAAAACAAATTTAAAGATAAGCTTCGTATCTCGAGTAGTTTGATTATAACACTAGGAAGGATTAAGCAAATGACTTAATTTTATGACTTCTTGTTATAGTCAGACTACGTCTCGAATTTTATATCAATTGAAATATTTTCGGTTTTCTAAAACAATTACTTCTGTTTATTGTTACGTAAGATTTTTTTACTAAAATAAATTTAATTTATTAGAAAATTTTTTTTCTGATTAATTAATTTATTTATTATGAAATTTGCTTAGTTTAATTTGAAAAAAAATTCTTTAAGATTTGATCAATTTTTACTTCTACGATTTATTCAAATAGCAAAAATTTAAACAGAAAAAAAAATGTTGCAAAAACTGAAATTAAACAAAAAAATTTTTATAAATTTTAAGTTTCAATTTTTTTTCTATTTCTAGAATCCGAAAGTTCAAGTCACGATTGTTTACAGATTTTAGGCTAAATTTAATCTCAAAGACATATTCTTCAGGACTATACGATATTGAGATTTAAACTTTTGCAGTAAAAAATTTTATACATTTTTGAAAATAATTTTAGATTATTTAACATTTTTTGCTAAAATTAAAATTAAATTAAAGTTTAAAAAAATGTTAATTAAATTTAAATTAAATTTAAATTTAATTTAAATTTAAATTAAACAAAACTTAAAAACTGAATTTTTGAAACAAAGATAACGTTACTAAGTAGAAGACACATTTGCACTTACAGTTAATGATTTAACAAAAGAAATTGTAACAGGTGTATTTAAAAATGAATACATCTCGCACGGATCACTGCTTTGGACCGGTTTATATAAAGCACCTGCGGTTCATGTAGATTACTATATGAAAAGTTGCAACCACAATGCAATATTGCACGAAAAAATTAACATAATACAGCCTTAGAAAAATTTTAATTTATACATTTACAATGTGAATATGATTACCGTCCTCCAAACGATAAGTTCACTTCTTCGATAATTCATCGTAATTAGTCTATAACTGTCTGTTTAATGTTCTGGTAATGAAAGCGCAGTCACGTATTTTTTTTTTTTTTTTTAATTAAAATTCCTTTTTTTTCTCATTCAAGATATAATTAAGTTACAATTATTTTTAAAAAAATTTATTTGTTATTTAGTTTATTTACTCTATATTGTTTATTAATTTTATTAATTAAAAAAAAAATTATTTTGAATTTGGAACTAGTTGGTGCAAGATATATCTGGATTGCAGTAGAAATGAGGTTATTTATTATAATTCAATATCTGTTTATTATACAATGTGGAAGTGTTTTTAAGAGTGCAATTTTAATCCAGACACTTATCATAATTTTTTTTCTCTTCGCTAAATAATTTTATAAAAACAAAATTTGATAAATAAACTAAAATTTTCCAACTTTTTTCGAAATTAAAATATAATAAATTTTTATTTCCTTTCTGGATTATTTTTGAATTTTACTAGTATTTAAATTAATGCATCTGTCTCTTAATTAAAGTCGAATTTTTTTTTTTGTTGCTTTCATTATTATTATTTTTAGAAAAATATACTAAAGTAATGAAGTAGCATTTTTTTCTTTAATTGAAATTAATCACATTTGACTTAAACGTTTCACAGATAATTAAGCAATTCAAAACAAGAGAAGAAAATTAGTATCAGATTACCGCACTTGTAAAATGGTGTGGCACGTGCGACATACTAACAAATTGACTCAATTATTACAATACGTAAATTTTTCTTATGTAAATATTATAAAAATTGTTGAACCGCTAATCATTTTTAAATTACAAAAAAAATAATAATGACTTTTTTTAAATTAATTTTTTAAATTATATTTTTAATTAAATATATTTTAGAAAACAATTTACCGAATATTTTTTTCTTTTCGCAATAATCAAGTTTTGACGTCATAAAATAAAATCCCGCCATTCCTTATAACTGTTACACTTTTTTCTTTGGAACTTGATTTCCTCATGACGAGTCAGTTATTATCTCCTTTTATTTGCGCTTTTACAATTTAATATTCAACATCGGGTCATTCACATACTCCGTTTGTATTGAATGTAAATTGACCGGGACTGGAGTCCAAATTACGTCATGGGTTTATTTTTCAAAAATGTGCCCGTAGAAAAAATTTTTATATATTAAATTTTTTATTTATTTATTTTATTTTTATTAATTTTTTATTTATTAGGTATATTTATATGTTTATCTACTATATATTTACATTATCATTGGGGAAAAACTTTAGAGTTGGGAAATTTAACTCTTTGGAAAAAGTTTTATTTTAGCTATTATTGATTGTCGGAAATTCCTCATTTTAAAAGATTTATTGTTTGAAAAAAATTATTTTTCATTTAAAAAAAATAGAAAACTATTAAATGACAAATAAAATTTTAAGATTTATTCGAAATATGAAATCAATGACAAGAGGTAATTTAAATTTTGTTTTGCGAATTCAGAGTGGGCGTGAATTTTTCATTTAAAATTATTAAATAACTTTTCAAAGTTATTAAAAAAAAAACTGTATTACAAATAAATAATTTATTTAATTAATTAAAAATTTAAAAAGTTATTTTTATATATAAAATTTTTAATATTTACGTTTTTTAACACTTGAATCACCTGTATTTAATATTTAACTAAACACTTTTAATAAATTTTAATTTATTAATAGAAAATATATTTCCACAATGAATTAAACAATTTACTGTCTTGTTTTTGGTATTAAATGATATAAAAGAGAAATAAAATCGAAAATAGAAAACTATTAAATGACAAATAAAATTTTAAGATTTATTCGAAATATGAAATCAATGACAAGAGGTAATTTAAATTTGGTTTTGCGAATTCAGAGTGGGCGTGCATAGATTACGCACTATTGTATTTTTCTCGAAAACGAAAACAAATTGAAAAACGTTTGATATAAATTAATATTATCACTTTTTTTTTTTTTTTTTGACAAACGAAATTTTACACCTTTTCATCACATGTTCAATTCAACAATACTGTTTTTCACTGAACCGAAAAATTGGCAAAAATTCAAAAAATTTGAAACTTGTATATATTTCAAACGGAATCCTTGGAAAGTGAGAGTTACGTACATTTTTTGGACAAATCCCAAATAAATATTCCGTTCTGATGAACAAAGACTTTTTTTTATATCAAATCAATTTTAATATTGATTTGGAAAAATATTAATTCAAAATATTAATACAAGTTCCAAAATAAAAATATCAATACTTTGAATGAATTGTATTTAAATTACACACACACACACACACACACACACACTATACTGTCAAATAAAGCTTAAAATTAAAAAAAATATTAATTATTAAATAATATTGACTCACCGATTTTCTGACTGACAGAAATCCGAAGATGATTCGGGTCCAGTGTGACAACACTGACAACCATTTTAAATTAGTTCTTGAATAATGTGTGAAATGAAAATTTTTGAAAAATTGTCTCAAAAAATTGAGACGAGATAATTTTTTTTTTTCTTCTAAATCACAATTAATTTCATTTCTACAATTGTAGAATAAGAAGAAGCTACTGGTAATACGTTGTGTTCTCGATTCCCCAGATTCATTGGAGGAGGCTCTCTTTTAAATACAGGGCTCTCTGACTAAGTGTTGTCAATCTTTAATTGATAATCACAAATGATTCCCTTTCTGCCGACCAGCGTTGGGGATAAACAAAAATTCTAAACGATTACATTTGAGATGTGAAACAAATGACAGTCTCCCGAAACTTGCACTATGTGTATTTATAAAATTTACCCCACCGATATATGATGATGATGATGATTTTTCATATCTAACTTCTTATCGAAGACAATAACGATTATTCTTCGTATATATAATTTAAAAATAAACTATTTCAAAGTTTGTGTGTATTTAATGTCACATCATTTCGAGCAGGTATATATAATAAAATTATTAATGAAAAATCAAATAGTCATTATAGCTTTCCGTGTATGTATATTAGATTCAAGCTGGAAGGTCATTAAGAAGTTTATTCAACCAAGAAATGAAATGAAATTAATATTATCTACAAACAATTTTTTTAACTAATAATTTTTAATTATTTATTAATGAAATTAAATAAAACACATTTTTTATGATAAAAACAAAAAAAATTGTTTCGTTTAAAAATGATTTATTTTGTTGTTCTCATAAAAAATTGTTACTTGCAATTTTTACTGAAAATTTTTATACCGCCGTTTGCAGTAATTTTTATGTAAAATTTTAAATTATGTTTCTTAATTAAAAGTTAGTCTTTAAAATAAATACCAAAATGATTAAGAAATAAAAAAAATTATGATAATAATATAGTAAATAATAATAAAACAATTATAAAAAATTTTGTAATTTGTAATTTTTAAGCCCGTATTTATATAATAAGAAATAATTATATTTTGCTATTACATAAATAAAAGTTAAAAATAAATAAAATGATGAAAAAAATATTTGAAGATTCACTTAAAAAATCGTTACCATCGAGCTATTTATCAATTTTTAATTATGTCATTTACAATCAATCCTAATGACATTTTATTTATAAATATTTGAAAATTTATTTTTAACATTATAGATTAAAAATCACACGATATGCAAAATGAGATTAAAAAAATTTATATAATTTTTTTTTAATTTTCAGTTTAGATTTTTTAATTTAATTTTCTTTTAAAAATGACATATATTTCAACATAGAATAAAATTGAGGAAATATTGTCAAAAAAGGGGGAAAACCACATTTTCACAGGAGATTAATGATTAGATTGTATGTTAATGTAATAATCAATCCCAAATTTAGATTAGATAAAATGATTCAATGTCTATTTTTGCGATTGGAAATCAATGAAGATTTTTAAAAATATACAATAATATTATTATTTTATTTTATGTATATATATACAAAAGGTACATTTCACCCCGATTTTGGAGTAAAAATTAGTTGCAACAAAAATTATGAGAAAAATTTTTTACTTTTTCTTTTGGAATAGAATTTAAAAAAATATTTAATAAAAAAAACTTGGGCCTTTTACACGGGAGTTACACAATGAACTCTGAGAAGTTCATTTTTACGAGACGTTTAATGATAAACTTAATTGCAAGAGTGACAATAAAATTATTTTTATTTTACAAAGATCTCATTCAAACAATTTTTATTCAAGATATTATATACACATGAAACAAACATTTTCTAAGAATATAATTTTACAAATTTTTTGTATACAAAAAAAGGAAAAAAAAATATAATTGTAATACAACAAACAAATCATATGATTGTTGGTAAAACGATAAAATTTGATAAAGAAAAATTGATCATATGGTGAATTTAAAATTAAACAATTTTATTATACGTAATAATTGAATCATTAATTCGGGTATTTAAAATACTGTAAACTTATACTTGGATGGAAAATAAGAAAAGATGAAAAATTTCGACATCTTGTTGAAATTTATACATTTTTAATATTATTTTTCAATGTCAGTATTTCGACATTAATCAAATAATTACTAATGACTAAGTAAATTTCCATCTTTTAATAATTCTATTGACATAGTTTGAAAATTAGGTTACTGCTAACAAAAAGTTGTTTTTTTAAAATACTAAACAGGTTCTTTGCCAGTTCATGTACAGCTGTTCAGGAACTTTCTGAATTGGCAATAATTTAATTCCATATGAGTGCGAGTCATCTTCAAAAATTTTTTTTGATATATTACCGAATTAATATAAACAGGAAACATTGAGATTTACGTCACAGTGAATTCTCCACGTGGAAATAACTTTTTTTGAATTAAAAATTAATTTTTGCCTATACTCATATTGTTAAATATTACAGATTTTTTCATATATCATTTTGTTTTTTAAATTAAATTTTATTAAAAACAACTTTTTATAAGTGAGTAATAACATATTACTTAATAATTCTTATAATATTAATTAATAATACTTATATTAATACTTATAACAATTAATAATTATTATAATTTATACAAATTATTAAATACATAAAGTCTTCTGCAAAATAAAATTTTGCAAATCAATAAGAATTTAATTGTATAAAAATATGATCGTAATTTAAGAAATATATTAATTATATTTTTTTATTACTAAAGAAAATTAATTTGTACAAATTAAATTAAAATCACAGCTAAACGTATTTTTGTTCTTTGACCAATAAGCAAATTATTGCGCCCACTGAAACAAAAAAATATTCAAGTATAAATAAATAAAATAAAATAAAATAAATTAATTAATTAACAACAATAATAAAAAAAACAGTAATAATAATTATTAATCTAGAATTAATACTCACATAAAAGATTAAATGCAATTGTGTAAAGTAACGGAACACAGTGATTATCAATTAAATAACTAAAAAGTATATTTCCAACTAAACTTCCAATTCGACTGAAAAATATAGCTAATGCCCCTGCGAATACTCTAAAAATGTTAATTAATTTTTATTCATTTTATAAAATAAATATTTTATAAATTATAATTAATTAATTACCTGAAATTCGTTGGAAAAATAATGACAACGAAACAAAATATCACACTCATACAAACTGATGTCATGGATTCAAATAAACATGTTAAAATCATAATTTGCAATTTTGTTTTTGCAAACAATAATCCAATTGTTGTTAAAAAAGCTGCTAATGTAGCAGCAACTAAAAAACACAACATTATGACAATAAATAATTTTTTCTATACTATAAAGTAACTATAAAAAATATATAAATTAATTTAAATTAAAAAGTTGAAAAATGCATAATAATTAAAAAAATAGATACCTAAAAAATACTTAAATCCCACTTTATTAATAAACGTAATTAAAATTATGGATGATGGTACACAGGCAACTGCTTGCCATAATGAATTGATGTATACACTAGTGTCAATTGCATCATCACATCCAAAAGGGTCGATTTGTCTGTTAAATGAAACAAGAAACGATAAACTAATTACGCTGACAAAGAAATTAAAAAAATTGCTTCATAGGGGTCATATATGTATCATATATTATTATGACGTCACTGAATCAAAAACATTAAAAACTTTTCAACAATAAAACAAAGAAAAATATTTTAAAAAATTATTAATGCTATTGACGTCACAATTTTAATTTTTTAAATGCAGCAGAATTTCCTTTATATCGAATCTTCATTTGTCCATTTTTTTATCGAAAATTTGTCATGAAAATTCGTTTTCATTTTCTACTTTATAAATTCGATCAAAAAATTGAACTATTAATCATTTATAGAAATTATTTTCATTAAAGGAAATTTTTTACAATTATAAATACCTACACTTCGGTTATATTAACTGATTGTGAGTACATTCGATCTGATATTGAGCAAATAGTTGCAGTCTCATTGGGATATCTTTTTTGAAATCGTGCAAGTCGCTGGAAAACTTCAGGAAACCATAAAAGAAATGAGTAATACGCCAATGTTATAGTGAACGCAATTATACAAGCCAAGATAGTTCTGCTTAAATAAGGTGCCTTCAAAATACTCTTTGCCTGTTTTTTAAAATCAGATAAAATTGATTTTAAACTCACATTATTTTTTAAATTTTCCTCGTCAAAATCTTTTTTTTTCACATAATTCATAGCAAGGCTTTGAGTTGATGAATTTTCGCATTCGTTTAAAATTTTCTGCAACAAAGAAATTTTTTTATTAATATTTGAAAAATTAACACCAAATGAAAAAAATTGATAATTTTTGTTTTCTTACAAAATAAGATTCCGGAGATTGATTTGTATTTTCAGTATAAACTTTAACGAGAACATTAAATAATTCTAAATTCCTTCCAGTTTCTGCTAAATATTTTGGCGTTTCCGGAAAAAAAATCATCCATAATCCAACAATTTCCGCTGGTATTGAGCATAAAATGATATACAAATTCCATGATCGAAAGAGAAAAAAAGACTTTTTATATTGAAATGTCAGAGGAATTATTGACCAAGCTAAAACTGGAATAAAAAAAAAAAATATTAGAAAATCAGTAAAATTTGTTATGCTTTTTTTTCAAAATTGGAAAAAAAAATTTCATAATATTTTACATATAGATACATTATAAAATGAATTTGCACAAAGAATATTTTATAATATAAATTAACAGCAAAAATGAATTGTAAATAATTGCAAATTTAATCACTCACTAGGTACAAGAAACATTCCCACAACTAAAGCCAAATCCATAAATGAGAGAATTTTTTTTCTGTAACGCGTTGGCTGAAATTCACCGGCATATGTGAATAATAAGGATAATTGTCCTATTACACTGTGAAAGAGAAAATTATTGTAACAATTTTTCAATTAATATTACTTTTCATTATTTTTATTCGTTCACTCACCCAAGACCGCTGAAAAATTTTAAAATTAAAAATCCCCAATAATTTTGTACGATAGACATCAATAACTCACAATTTCCCTGTAAAAAAATTGCAATCAATAGTGCAAATTTTCGTCCTTTTACATCGGCCAAAAAACCCCAGAAAAATGGTCCAAAACAGGAACCTAAAAAATTTATTAATTTTATTTTAAAAAAATATTTATATTTAGATAAATTTATAATTTATAATTTTCATTAAATAAAAAAAATCGTACCCAAAATAGGTGCTGTAATAATTCTTCCTTTATCAATTGTTGTCATTTTAAAATCACAAGCAGCAGCCGGAAGAATGAATCCTGTGCTAAGTACGCTAAATGCCGCATTTATGTAAATCAAGGAGCAGAGAATTGTCACTTTATAGTTGAATTTACCAAATCCTATTTAAAAAAGTTAAATAAATTAATTTATTATTATTTATTAATTTCTAAACAATTAATTCAATTCATTGAATATAATTACGAAAAAGATTTTTAAAAAAATTGAGTGTGACCAAAAAGTTAAGAATATAAAATTTTTCATTTAAAAAAAAAAATGTTATACCTGCAGCATTAATAGCATCTTCAGCGATTCCTTCTTTTGATTTAGAATCTAAAAATTAATTAACAATAACTAAAGTTATAATCGTAAATCAGATTTATGAATTTAAAACACAAACATCTTATTGTAAAAACTGACATTAATCATTTAAAATACTTTTATTATTTTAACTAGATACTAAAATGCGCGTTAATTGTAATTGAATATTGTGATGATGTATTTTAATGAATATATAAATATATATTACTATATCATTAAATTTCTGATCTTCCTGATCATTAGTTTATTCCGATTGTAATTATGCGCGGAAAATTGTTTTAATTCTGAGAAATACAATAAGAATCATCTTCAGGAATTTGAGATAATTATAATACGATACTATATAATACATATAATGTACCTGATTCTTCATTTTGCCCTATTGTAGTGATTTTCAACGTTTGCTTCTTGCCCATTTCTAAAATTAAAATCAAAAAAAAATTTTACCAACTTTAAAGCGACTTTATAACATTTATACTGAAAAAAAACAGATAAAATAAATTCAAAATTTTTTTGCTAGCAATGAACAAATTAACATAAAGATAAAATTATATCTTTTACAAAAAATAAGTATATATATATTTAAGTATTTTGTATTTTTAATTTACAAAAAAAAAATTTAATTTACTAAATTCTTGTCTTTTTATATTTTTATAAAAAGAATAAAGATAAAGTTGAAAGAAATGATTTTTTGGTCTTACATGAAAAAATCAAATAATAAAATTTAAATTATAATATTAATTAATTAATTAATTAATAATATATTATTATATACCAGTTATAAATGAAAAAAAGTAAGAATAAAAATCAAGGTCATTCGAGGCATATATTGTAACTTTAAGAAGTAAGTGACACATGATACAGAAAATAATATATGCAAATACTAAATTATGTTTATATTGTTGTGCAAGATTTGCATTTTGAGTACCTAATGTTTTTATTATAAAAATAAAAAACACTATAATAAACAAATCAAGATAGTAAAATTTTTAAAAATTCCTATTTAGAAAGAAATTTTTGTAATTAATATAAATTTTACCTATAATTACATTAAAATTAATTTATATTATAATTAATTATCTATTTTATAATTATCTATTTTATAATTTAAATTAAATTATAATTGAAGTGTTTCAGAAAGTTATTAAATTTTCATTTTCATTACCTGTTTAGAATTATCCAATATTCAGTAATTAATCTGATGATCTTCAATCACACACGCACTAAAATGAACCGCGATTTTGCAATTACCTCAGACTGCTTCTAAAAAAAATAAATTAAAAGGAAATAATCTTCTTATATAAACGTGTGCCTTAGGTGGGAGATAAAATAAAAGTTGTACCTTTATATTTTTGTAAAATGGACTTCTTTTTTTTATATAATTAGCATAACATTTTTACTTTTAATTTAAAAAAACTTAATTTTCCTTATCTGCAATATTTATATATATATTGTTTTTTTCGACGCAAAATATTTCGTAATTATTTGAAACACGTCAGAACTACTAAAGACATGTTAATTTAATTTTTTTATTCTCATAAACATTGAAAAATACAATTATCATTTTCAAAAAGTTAATTTCATTATTGTATATCGTGATATTACAAAAACAAAATATGATTCCAAGTGTAAAATAGAGACGATTTCAATTAAATGAACAGCCTTTTTATTACTTAAAAGAAAATGTTTCACAGATTTTTAATTAGATGAATAATATTTTAATTTGGTATAAATGTAATAAAGAAAAGTCTGTAAAAAATTAACTGATTCGTAAAAAGTTGTTGGTTTTACTAAATTTAAATATTACAACTGACTATATTATATATTTAAGTGTATACATTGCTTATATAATATTATAAAAACAGAAAAAAATAGCTAATCGCTTTAAGTTTACGATAAAAAATTATCAAAAATATTTAACTACTGGTATTTTTTCATTATTATATGTACAATATACGCAAACCTTAATTTTATTATTTTTTTCGAAGTGTTAAACTAAGAACAGTGGCCACTGAAACATAAAATATATTGATAAATAATTATTCTACATTATTGAAAAAGTAATTATAAAATACAGAATTACTTGTATAAAAAATGAAAAAAATAAATAAAAAAATTTTAATGTCAGTAAAACAATATTATTATTATAGTAAAGGATATATGTAACATATTAAATAAATTATTTACCTAATAATTGAGTAGCGACGCTTGTAATTAGAATAGTACAAAAATCATCAATTAAAAAGGTAAATGTAACATTACCAAAAACCGTTCCTAATCTACTACAGAATACTGATATTGTAGATGCAAATATCCTGAAAAATAAAGAATATGTAAAAATATTTTATTTCAATTTAAATTAAAAAATATTAAATGTTTTTGAAAATTTCAATTGCTACGACAAAAATTTGGTTGACCTAATCAAATGTTTTGCTTTCAAAATCTGATATTTTTCTCAGTGCAAAATTTTTAAAATTTATATATTATATATAAATATATATTACATAAAAATGTTTGTAAAAAATATTTTTAAAAGTACCTGACATTAGTAGGGAATAGAACAACACAAAATGAATACATGACACTAGCACATGTAGACATTACTGCATTAAAAATAGATGCTAGTATCACATTTTGCAAATAAGTATTTGCAAATAACAACCCTATTGTGGATGCAAAAGCTGTGCCTAATAGAGTAACTGTAAAAAATAATTTTCCAATTATTACATTTTTAAATCTTAATCAGTATTTAATAATAAATATAATTACAAAAATGAGAAATTTTTTAAAAATTTAAAAAATAACAAACCTGCGAAAAATCTGAATCCGAGTTTATCCACAAAAAGTGGTAATAATAAATTTGGAATTATTGCGCTAAAACCTTGCAATAAAGAATTTTTATACACACTGACATCTACTTCTTGTTTACAAACGAAGTCAAAACCCTGTAAAAATTGAATAATTAATTAAAAAAAAAATAATTAAAAAATTTTTAAAAATTTATAATTGAAATTGATAACTTATTTAGAAAAACGATTAATAACTATTACAATAAATGGATTTTTATTGTAACGTTTCAGACACAATTATGAGTATATTCATATTGTAATTTATGTATATTATATTTTGAATATTTTTTTTTCGAAAATTAAATGTCTAAATATTGTAGAGATTTTAGAATGAAATAAGTATAATAAAATTAAAAAATCCTAATGTTATCTCAGTGGTTGTTTATTAATGATTATAAAGGGGGAATAATATTCTAAAATATATATATATATATGATAAGAATGTAAAAAAGAATTATTAGGAAGTCATTTATAATTCGAAATAATACAATTACTCATGTTAGTTTCAAGTGTACTACAATTTTAATATTAAATTAAAGACAATTTTATATTTACACAAAATGTTGACAGAAAATAATCCCCAACACAATGAATAATCAAACAGTAAAATTATTAGACTATTTTGCAATAATTTGTACAAATAAAAAATATACTGTGTACTTTAAAGGATTATAATATTTTCGAAATGTCAGTGAACTAAGATTTTCTTTTTAATGAAAAATATATTATCTTTAATTTGGGAGTTTTATCAAATGTATTTAATGAATTTTAAAAATTGCCAAACACTATAAAAAATTATATATTATATTATTATTTTTGTACCTGTGTATTATTTTTTGGCAAAAGATGACTGGAAATGGAGCAAACACTTGAAGTTTCATTTGGATGAAGTGTTTGAAATTGTGAAAATCGTTGAAAAATTTCTGGGAACCACATGAGCAATGAATAGAATGATGAGGAGAAACAGAACATTGATATAGAGAGAACTATTAGACGCTTTAAATATGGATCTTTTAAAACATTTTTTCCTTGCACTTTAAAATCATTTATCATTGTTCGTAGTTCCTTTTTCTTAACTGTTTTTTCATCTTCTTTATATAATGACGATTTATTAGTCATATAAAAATTTATCAAATCGCCCATACCGCGACTCTCACATGTTCCTAATTTTCTCTATTACATAGAAAAAAAATAAAATAAATTACTATACAAAAAAAGTTTATTGAAACAGGTGTTAATATCAATTTATATTATATATGTAAAAAATAAATTATTTTTATAAATTGATACATACCATATAATCGTCACTTGTTCCTCCATTATTTTTTTCATACATATGAATGAGGACATTGACCAGACGAAAATGTTGTCCAGTTTCGGCAAGATGTTTTGGTGTTTCGGGTGAAAAAATTAGAAAAATACCCAAAATTTCAGCAGGCAGGGCACACACAAAAATAAATAAATTCCATGAACGGAAAAAGAAAAATTCACCTCTATATTCAAAATCTAATGGTATTATTAACCATGCCAAAACTGAAATCAAAAATTTTCAAATACAGAAATCACAATATAAATAAGAAAATAAAACAGGATATATTCCATTGCAATACAAAAAAAATAGAAACAACTTTCAATCGTAATTTTTCTTACGCAATAGACAATTTTTTGAATAATCATTACGTTGCATAATATAATCAATCATTGCATTTTATTCAATTGAAGACAATCTAATTTACATTCAGAAATGGGATCAATATTGTTAATGTATTTTTGTCATTGATCATTAATTTATTTATAAATAAACTTTAACTACAATAATTGGACAATCAATATTTAAACTTAAATACTTTTCTTTTAAAGAAATTAAAAATTCTGAATTTTAAAAATTTAACGATTTGAAGTTGACAAAATTGGAATATAAATCAATTAATTTCTAAAATTTAATTTTATACGAAATTGAATATTTAACTTACGTGGCACAATAATTTGTGCAGCCACCATTATAAAACTGATCCATGATAGAATTCTTTTCTGATGAATTTTTGGCTGAAATTCGCCGACATATGTGAATAAGAGAGATGTTTCGCCAATTACTCTGTGAAGTTAAAAAAAAATTAGGAATTATTTTATATTTATATTATATTTTATAATATTATACTTACGCAAAACCACTAAATAATTTAAGAAATAAAAATCCCCAATAATTAGAGACTATTGACATTAAAATCTCACAATTTGCTTGAATAAATAATGTTGTCATTAAAGTTATTCGTCGGCCTTTCAGATCTGCTAAAACTCCCCAAACAATTGGTCCAAATAGTGAGCCTATAAATATTTCAAAATTTAATTTTTCATAGAATGTAATTTTGTTGTTTTGAATTTTAATTAAATTTTTGAATTATTTTCTTTTTTACAATTTATTGTAACTTATTTATAAAATTTTAACACACATTTTAAAAATTAATTAAATCTATTAAAATTAATTATTTAAAAAGAAGAAGAAACTTACCCAAAACGGAGGCAATAGCTATTCGTCCTTTATCAATTGTTGTCATTTGAAAATCACAAGCGGCAGCTGGTAAAACGAAACCAGTACTGCTAATACTGATAACTGCATTTGTATAAATTGCAGCCCCTATAGCTGCAATTTTTAAATTAAATTTGCCAAATCCTGCAAAAATAATAAATTAATCCGGTAATAAAATTTAATCATTAATTTTCAACTTTGTAATTCAATTTAATAATAATAAAAAAAGTAAAAAAAAAACCTGTCTTCTCAATGGCTTCTTGAACGACAGTTTCTTCCGTTTGTATCTCTGTGAAGAAAATAATAAATTAGATTAATATAATTTTTAACATAAATTATAAGTATATTTATCCATTTTAATTTTAAATATAAATTAATAAAAATAAAGCTAGTGAATAATAAAATAATTTTTTAAATCTTTTCTTCGTTTTATTTTTATTAAAATCGACTATAAGCAAATTTTAGTCTATCTGTGAATACTTTTATCAACAATTAACTAAAAATTTGTTTTAATTGACAAAAATGACAAACGTAACATTATATATTATTAAATTATAAATTAAATTTCTGATGATAAATAAATAAATAAATACTCACTCATTATATTTAATAATAAATAAAATTGTCTTAAATTCTTTTTTTCATTTAGTAAAATTCTTAATCGATCAGTATGACAATTTCACAAATCCAAGTGAAACACTTGTCAGTTGAAATTGTAATAACGAACATACCAAAACTGTTTCTTATACTGTTTGCTCTTCCTAAAATGTTCTTTCTAAAAATGTGTGGCACAAAATATAATTTTGTCAATATTTAATTAACGTGATAAGTAAAGTCTGACGGTCCTTTTTTCATTTAGAAAATTAAATGTATATAGCTAAATGATTATTAATTACTCCAACGAAGAATAAAGTTATATTTATATCGATAAAACTTAAGCCAATTAATTTTTCAATTAGTAAAGATATACTATAATGAAATACATATTGAGAAATCGTTTAAATAGATAAATTTTAGTTATATCAGATTTTATAAAACTTGGGGAAAACCCAAGTTTTCAAATATGATTTTTATCGAGACAAAAAAATGTGGTCCTTTCACTTTCAAGTGAAATTATTATTGAATTTAAAAAATATTTTCTTATACTGTAAAATAAAATTTAATATATTTATATTTAAATACATTTTCAATAATATTTTAATAAATAATCATTACTCTTTTAATCTCAAACTCGAAGAGATATACATAAAATAATGGCCACTGAAACAAAAAATGGAAATTTTAAAGTATATGAAAAGTAAATTCAATTTAACAAAATCTTAGAATTGAAAATAAAATAATATATAACTATAGAAATCTAATTATTTAATATAAATATCTTACATGATAATTGCACAGCAACAATTATTATTAAAGCAGGACAGTAATCATCAATTAAAAAGGCAAACATTCCATTACCAAAAACGATTCCAAGACGACTGTAGAATGTGGCTATGGAACTTGTCAAAATTCTGAAAAATTAATTTTATTATTAAATTCAAAAATATTTCATGAATAAACATCAAATCTAAAGATACAAGTAGAAATTATATTTTATAGTCGGATCAGAATTTCTTTTCATTGAATCAATTGAAATCGAAAAAAAAATTTACATCATCCTTAAATTTAGTAATCAAACTAATTTCAAATGTGCGTTCTAAAAAAAATTTAAATGTCGTTTAAGGTCATGAACCTTTTTCTTTTGATAAAAATTGGAGTAAAAAATGTAACAAAATAAACAGTAACTAAATACCTGACATTTTCAGGAAACAATTCAGTGTTAAATTGAAACAAAATACTTAAAGTGGTGCACATCACTGATTTAAAAATACATGCGAGTATAATATTTTTAAGAAAAGAATTGGCAAAAAATATATAAAACGTTGACAAGAGACCAACACTGAAATATATTGCTGAAACAAATTATACATATAAAATATTTATTAACCTAATATGAATAAAATAATTAAATAATGATAATTAAAATTAAATAAACTAATAATAAAAAATAAAATTAAAAAAATTTTGTAAAAATAACAGGAAAATATTTTCTATTTTTAACAAAATGTTTGATAGACATACCTACAATAATTCGGAAGCCAACTTTGTCGACAAAAAGTAAATACAAGAGATTAGGAAATATTGCTGAAAGACCCATAAAAAATGATGTGCGATAAACACTCGTGTCTACTGACTGGTTGCAATGAGAGGCATGGAAATTTCCATTCTGATGAAAACAAAAATTACAATTTTCTAAATAAAAAAAAATTCTGCTAATTTTTTTAGATAAATATGAAAAGAAAATTAATTTTAAGAATTATGGAAATTTGTTACAAAACCTCATCGATATAAGTGGGCCTATCTTTTGAAATGCTGCAGTCATCTATTATTTCGTTTGGATGTAAAAGTTCATATTTAGAAAATCTGTGAATAATTTCTGGAAACCATGTGACCATTGAATATGTAGCTGAAGATACGCTAAACATTGCTAATGACAGTATTATCAATCTACTCAAATAAGGTGGTTTTATAATATCCATTCCTTGTACTTTAAAGTCATTTACTATATAATTCAATTTATTTTTTCTCGAAGTCCTTGGGAATTTCGCATAAGTTTGACAACGATTTACAAAATCCACTAGAGCAACATTTCCACATTTTAGTAAAGACGCCTAAAAATATACAAAATAATATAATTAATTAAATAAAATTTTTATGCGGTAAAATTATATACCTACAATATAATTATCAGAAGATTCTCCATTATTTTCTTGATACATTTTCGAAAGGACAATAAACATTTCTTTATAATGGCCAATTTTTGCAAGATGTTTTGGAGTTTCAGGCATAAAAATAAGTAAAATTGCAGAAATTTCGATAGGCACAGCAATTATAAACAAAAATAATTTCCATGATCCAAAGAAAAAATTATTATTTCTAAAATTAAATTCCAAAGGAATAATAGCCCAGGCTAAAACTAAAATAATAAACATAATTTTTATTTTACTGTATTATTGTAGAATTATGTATTTAATTTTATTTTCTTACGAGGTAAAACAATTAAGGAAATTGCAAAAACGCAACTCAGGCATGCAAGTATTATTTTTTCATAATTTGTTGGTTGAAAATTTTGAGCATATATGTATACACTATTTATCGCTCCCATTGCACTAAAAGTAAACCAAAAAAAAATATTGAAAATACATTGTACTTTTTTATATAAATTTAAAAAAAATCAATAAATGAAGAAACAAAAATACTTACGCAAAACCACTGATTAATTTAAAAAATATAAAAAGCCAATAATTTGATATTAATAATGAAAGACATATTTCAGCACTGCCATGAAGAAATAAAGAAAATATTAGAGATAATTTAGGTCCTTTCGATTCTATTAAAAATCTCCAGCATAATGCCCCTATACATGTACCTGAAAAATAATAATTACAAAACTATTCTCCAAAAAGATTGTTTAGATAAAATAATTTTTCTAAATTAATTAAAATTAATTAATGTTAATATTAAAACAAAATTTTTCTAGTTCAATATACCAAGAGTAGGTGTCACTGATAAAATTCCCTTTTTGGTAGTTGTCAATTCGAAATCACAGACCGCAGAAGGCAAAATATAACCGATACTGAGAAGATTAATTGTCACATTTGTATGTATAAAAATACTCATGAAGGTAATTTTCAAATTAAATTTTCCAAATCCTATAAAAATCGATAAAAATAATGGGAATTAGTTTTTTTATAAGATAAAATCATCTTAAAATCTAAAATCAATAAATAATTACCAGTTTTTTCGAGAGCTTCTTGAACAATAAATTTTGAAATTGGTCTTTCTGAAAATAGTTTTAAAATAAATATTATATTATAAAAAATTGATGTAAATAAACTCTGATATATTTATTAAAAATTAATTACCAGTCCTTTCAATATCGTCAACAATAATTTCTGGAACTGTCTCAGACAGATGATCACCACATTTTTTAATGCCGTGATGAAGAAAAATCTCTGGTATATATTTTTCTATGAATGGAAAATATTTATAAATATTGACTGTAATTTAGAATTTTATAAAAATTCAAATCATGTTGACTTACCCATTTTTATTTATCCAGTTATGAAAAGATCCAAATTTTAATCACTTACTCTTTGTATATAAATCATAATAAAGTAATTATAAATTAAGAAATTCACACCACATTTAAACTATTTTTTGCAATAAGTAAAACAATAAAATTAACATCTTTGTAGAAGAAGTAAATTATTTTGAAATTGATTATAATATCCACAAGTTATATGTGGAAGAATTCCATTCTTCTTTACCAGACGGCGTAAAAATGTTTTAAAAAAACCATTAACTTATCAATTAGAAGAAATAAGGAAATATTTAATATATATATTATTTCAACACCTGAAGTCATGAGACTGTATTTCGATACTAATATTTGATTAACAAATTTCTAAGTATGTACAGTATTTTAATTTTAAATATCGGCAATAGCTTAATTTAATTTGACATATTCTCTCTAAATATGAATCAACGAAATTTAAAAATATACATATATATATATATAATGAATTCAGTGATAAATCAGGTAAATTTAATTAATTCATCAGAGTGTAAATGTTTTTTAAAATTAGTGGTATATTTACTGTTGATTTTAATTTAGAGAGTTCATCAAGCTTGTCCCATTCAAAAAGCAGATAACATTCAATGTAAGTTCAAAAACACGTAAATTTCAAAGTCACTTAAAAAAACACTTAATAAATAATTATGATTTACTTATTAAAGGTAATTTCACTTCCTCAGTGTTAAAAACAATCCAGCTGCGACTAAAATGTTAAACAAATCATATTTTATGTAACATTAAATATTTAATTGGTTTAGCATTTTCTAAAATATCAATCTGTATTATAAATAAAACTCACCGAATAATTGAAGAAGAATACTGGCAATCAAAATGATACAATGTTCGTCGATCAGGTAGGTGAAAATCATATTACCAAAAATAGTTCCTACACGACTAAAAAATACTGCCATTGTTGAAGCAAACACTCTGAAACAAATAATACTTTTTATTTATTTACATTTTAAAAAATTATGTTTTAATAAATTTTTATGAACTAAATTCAAAAATTTTGTAAAAAAAAATATATCTTTTCAATATTAATAGATAATTAAAAAAAGCATACCTAATATTTGTCGGGAAGAGTAGGACAAGAAAAGAATACATAACACCAGCAACTGCTGACATAACTGCTAGAAAAATGCAAGACAAAATCACATTTTGCAGATAGGAATTTGCAAAATATAAACCAGTTGTTGTCGCAATACTTATTCCTGTTAGTGAAACTGAAAAATAATTCTGAATTAATATCTAATTTATTTTTAATTAAACAAACAAATGTAAAAAACAAATATAAATGAAAGATTCAATGTTAAGAAAATCATTTACCAGCAAAAAATTTAAATCCAAGTTTATCAACCAAAACCAGTAATAAGAAATTTGGTATTATGCATGCAATTCCTTGAAACAGAGCATTGATATAAACACTTGTATCAATTTCCCGAATGCACTTTGAAGAAATAGAAACATTCTGAAAAATATTGAGCATTATATAATATTAATTGAGAATGTAATAAAAAATACATAATCGCCATTAATATTGTAATTAAAAAATAAAATCATACCAAAGTATCGTTGAACGAAATTTTACTCGAAATAGAACAAACACTCGCCGTTTGATTTGGATATTGAGCTTCAAAGGTAGAAAATCTGTGAAATAATTCCGGAAACCACGTAAGCAATGAATAAAATGACGATGCAATGCAGAAAAAACAAATGCAGAGAATAATTAATTTTTTCAAATGTGGAGCTTTAAAAGCAGCTTTTCCTTGACTTTTGAAATCATTTAAAATTTCTTTCAACTTCTTTTTTGAAAATTTCTCATTTTTCGAAGATGATTTATTTACAGCAACATCAATAAATTCTCTCATACCAGGATGTTTACTATTTATCAAGTTTACCTGCAAACAAATTGACATTGAAACAAAGTTTACTAAAAATATAAAAAATGAAAGAAAATTATTACAATATACTCTTCAGCTGATCCATTAACATTATTTCTGTACATATCAGTTAAAATTTTCATTAATTTTTCATTTTCTCCAATTTCTGCTAAATATTTCGGAGTCTCCGTACAAAAAATTAAACAAAGTCCAAGAATTTCAGCTGGAATTGCACAAACCACAAGAAATAGGTTCCATGATCGAAAAAAGAAATAATTACTCTGATATTCAAATTCAAGAGGAATGATAACCCAGGCCAAAACTGAAATAATTAATTATATAAATATTTGATAACTTTCACAAAAGATTATAATTTTTTTTTTAAATTACGTACTTACGAGGCGAAGCGATTATTCCAGTAACCATAACAAAGCTCAATAATGACAAAATTCTTTTTTGATATTTCAAAGGTTGAAATTCACCCACATAGGGAAATAAAATAGACATTTGGCCAATTACTCTAAAAGGAAGAAAATAATAATTTTCTAAATGTTTATTAAATAATTATTCCTTTATGAACTTATATTTTATCTTATTTTATTATATATTGGACATTAATAAAAGACTTACCCAAAACCACTGAGAAATTTAAAAAATATAACTCCCGAATAATTGGAAACTAGAGATAATAATAATTCCGCATTTCCTTGGATAAATAATGCAGACATTAATGTTATTCTACGTCCTTTTAAATCAGCCAAAAAGCCCCACACAATCGAACCAATGCAAGAGCCTGCGACAAAATTTTTTCAAAATAAAATTTAAGATTAATTAATTAAATTAATAATAACAAAATATCTAACGTACCAACTACATGAGCAATTGCTATTCGTCCTTTATCGATAGTCGTCATTTTAAAATCACATACTGCGGCTGGTAAAATAAATCCAACACTAAGAATATTGATAACTGCATTTGTGTAGATCGCAGCTCCTATAGATGCAACTTTAAAATTGAATTTTCCAAATCCTAAAAGAAAAGAATATTTACAAAAAAATGTTTTAAATTTGTTACATTTAATATTTTGTTATTTCTCACCTGTATTATCGATTGCATTTTGTATAACACTTTCCTGTGTTTGGTCTTCTGCAAAAAAATAATAATTAATTAATTAAATAATACATTATATGTTTTGAAGTAAACAAAAAAAATATTTATATACTTTAGAAATGTACAAAAACATTATTAATTCTGAATTAAACTATCTAGTTTAAAACTTTTCTCGATAATAAAGATTAACATTTTATGATTTATTGAGTTTTATACTTACTCATTGAAATTAAAAATTTTCAAAAAAAAAATTAATTATATAAATAGATATTTCAACAATGAAATGCACTTCTTCTGACACTAAGCAAGCATTTGAAAAGAAATATTTTTCCCGTTTCTGATTTAGATTGAGAGACTATTTTTAATTAACAATTTACTAGTCGGTGGTTTTTTAGTGAATAGACAATTCAACGGGAAAATTTTTTATTTTATCAAAGAAAATCAATCATCTTTGTCAACCGATTATAAGAAACTTATATGAATAAATCACATTATGAATGAAATAATGTTGATTTAAGAATGTGTTAAAAAAATTATGTATTAATTACGAAATAGATTTAATTGTAATATATTAATTTTTATGATACACCAAAGTTTCAGAAAAAAGACATTTAAACAATCACGGAACTACTAGCACGAGTTTCATGTTTTTTATAATTCTTAAATTTAAAAAATACTTAAATTGCATGACATATATTTATCGGCATTGGTATACCTACAATAATAATGATTCAACATTGAAATTTTAAATTATCATTGGGAAATTAATTTTCCACGCGATGGGAAACTTTATAAGCATTAAATTAGCAATATAATTTGTAATTGGGTGATTCACTTCTCTTTATGCTATCTTCAAGCATCAAATAAATTTATATGATATTATCTACGCATAAAATACAAAACATTTATAATAAAATTTTTTGTTAAACAATGATAAAAAAAATTTGAAAAATGAAATGAAAATGTGAAGAAAAATTTTAAACGTAAAAATAAAAATTTAAAATTTTCATTTTTTGAAAAGATATTTTATTTTTAGTTTTTGTATCTTTCTATTGTATAAAGATAATTAGGAACTAATTTCTAAGAACAAAAGCCTCAAGTTTTATTTTAATTTATACAGATCACAATTAAACCGATAATTAAAATCAAAAGATAATACACAACAAAATATTTGCGTTCTTTATTGCTTTTAATGACTTTGTATATCATAAAATATATGGAAGTATTGTAAATTTTACAAATTATCAAATTAAAATCAAGTAAATGAAGTTTGCCGCAAACAATAAGCTTTAAATTTAAAAAATGATAAATATCTTTTTTTTAATTTAAAATATAACGCTAAATAAATTTGCATTTTTAGAATATTTAGAAAGAAAAATAATTTTCGCCATTTAATTAAGTTATATTCATAATAATTACAATTAAGATTTTACGATAGTTTTTACTTTTTGCAATGCAGAAAAACTAGTTTAAAATGATTTACTTATAAACAAGATTGACCTATATATTTACAATGTTCACTTTGTTTAATTTAAACTTAATAATTTATTATATTTTTCATTTATCATTTCATTTAATTAATTAAACTTTAAAATTAGTATTAATGAAGAAAGTAATTAGACCTTAACAAGAAGTTACTAAATTTGGAATTTCATGGCAAATACTGAATGCGGCTTTTACTTCGATATGAATTAGTTCTGCCAAATGCTTAATTTGTCTTTTTATATAAAATTCATCAATTGGAAGATCCTATAATAATTAATAGTTTTAAATTTAATTTTATTATAAATTCAGGAAATTTAACTAATAATTTATTTTTCAGAATTTCAAAAAATGTTACCTTTTTCACATTTAAATTTTGTTTCATAAATAAAAGTTAATTAATATTGATGAGTGAAGTAAAAAATACATTAATTTTTAATGAGACAACGTTAGATAACTTAGATTTACTAATAAATTCAAATCATTTAAATATACGTAAATGATTGTAAAAAATGCTTTTTCCACTGCTTTTCTTATTATAGTTCTTTAGATTATCACTTAGTGAAATTTAATGAAAATAAAAATTTTTTTCAATACTACTATATTTTTTGCGTTAATATTAAATTTTGATTTGAATGAATAATTATTAATTAATGCGTTACGTTAAATTAAGTATCTGCAAATATAAAAATGAAAAAAGTAGTATAAAATATTTATCTACCTTAACAATTTCATAAGTTCCGTTTTTACATTGAACAGGAAATGTGAAAAACATTCCAGCCGGAACGCCATATGAGCCATCAGAAAAAACTCCCATCACAGTCCATTCCTCATTGAATGTTCCTCTCAATAAGTTTTTACAGTGATCTGCCAAGGCGTACGAAACTCCATTTGTATATCGAGAATCTCTTATTGCTTGTCGAATAATCTAAAATTGAAAATGAAATTTCAAAAATTGTTTAAAATTAAATTAATGCAATTAATAAAAATAAATAAAATAAATTGAGATTTTTAATTAAAATAAAAAACGAACTTACTTGTGGCAATTCATTTTTAAGCCATGCTTTCTTTGTTTCGGCCATTACTGGCGTTCCATCCTTGAAAGTTGCAAATTTAAAGTCAGGATAAAATCGACTTCCAACAAATCCCCAGGGAATTATATTTTTTATTTCATCGCAAGGTCGTTGAAGTTTTAAACACACCTAAATTTATGATTAAAAAAAAATTAATTTTCGAGTATTAATAATTAATGTAATAATAATAGTATACCTGAGCTGCTGCAATTCTAGAGAATATTAATGCCAAACTTGTAATATTTTCAACAGGTATTGATTTCGCATACTTATGAATTATACTTGCTTCTGTATTTCCTATTGTGATGACTTTCACATCTTTTTTGGCAAATCTATCAATTGCTTCTGCCTGAAAAATTTTTTTTTTTTTTTATAATATACGAATTGTGAATATTAATAACAATCTCTTTGTAATGTAGGTTTATAATTATTTTAATTACATGAATTTTTGCAGTTCGAACAGTTTCTTCAAAAAATGGATCGTGGGATATAATTTCTTTTTTACTAAAATCGTACCCCCTGGCTCTTCCAATTGAAAAAATTACATCCGCATTTTTAAAAACTTTTGAAACATCGTGTGAGACACTAATTTCTTTTCCCAGTTTTTAAAGAGAAATAATGAATAAAATGAAAAATATAATATCTCGAATAGAACAGTACCTTTTAAATTATGAGGTGCACATGCAGTAATTTCAATTATAAGACTATTTAAAAAAGTGGATTTGTCACTTGATTCATATAAGTTAATGATAACCTCCTGATTAATGCCAAAAACTTCATCATAAATCAAACGATATATTAAAGAACGTGTAACTGATGAGGATGCATCAGTAATTACAATTCGTGGAATAGAATTACGTCGGAAAGAGTCGTTAAAATCTTTAATTTGTTTTAACCAGTTCGAAAAATCATTTCTTTGTAAATCCATGTAATAATTGTAATATTTTATAGATAGCAAAAATATTTGCAATATTAATCAATGATGCTCATTTGTATTCTCTTCGATTGTCAATTTTTTTCAATCCGCATAAATACAAAAAATTAAATTATTACGTAATTTTCCAGTTCTTGTTATTACTATATGTATAAATTTATCTATATTAAAAAACATTTTTTTAAACTTTCTATGATATATGTTTATTTAGAATAATTTTTATGGACGGATAATATGAACGGACTTAAAATTATATAGATCTTAAATCAAATTACGTCCGAAGATTATTTATTGCCTTCTCCAAAATATCCTTTTTAATTCTTGGATAATCTGGACTTTGTTTTAGCACCTCATTACAAGCATCAACTGCATCAGCATATGCTTTACTTTTCAAATTGCAATACGCCAATTTACATCCCATTGAGAGTTTCGATTTTCCTCCATATTTCCAGGCCTGTCCATAACGTGCTGCAGCTTCACGATAATTTTGTTCTTTCTCCGCAATAAAACCCGATAATTCATGAGCTCTAACACAAGTGGCATTATGTTGTAAAGCACGTTTCAGCAATTCTTTCGCCAAATCATATTTATTTGATTGCACATAAATATCAGCCAACAATAACCAACAACGTTCCAAATATTCAGCGTCTTCAAAAGTCCACACATTCTTGCTAACACGTTTCAAATGATTTCTCGCACGTGGCGTTTGTTTCAAAAGAATATGAGCCATTGCCAAACCTAAAGCCGGACCAACATGATCGCGTAATGATTCATCGCTAGCCATCGATGTACAATCGTGCAGAGCTTTTTCGATATTGTATTTTTGTTTGGTAGCGAGTAGGAAAAAATTGCCCAAAAGTCGATGAGTTAATGATTCGTGTGGACTGCCAGTGGGAAAAAGTTCTTTCAATAAACGTTGTGCTGTTTTTAAAGCCATTGTTCTTGCATCCTCGTATTCTTCATCTTCGTCATAGAATGCTTCATTTAAAAGGGGTGAATCGTCATCTGGATCGAGACAAATCTCAATCATATTATAAATCGCCTGCTGACCCCATTCTGGATCACGACGAGCTGCATTAAAATTTCGTAGAGCTGAATTTAATTTACCAATTCGCCAATTTAATAAGCCGTTGCAATAATAATAGCCAGCTTCCTGCTTTAGAGGATCCATTGATTTTTCCGCTCGCGAGACCCATTCTTCTAGATCGTCCATATTGCCTAACAATTAATTATTTTTATTAATTCAAAGAAAATAAAAATTATATAGTTGAAAACAATAGTAAAATATTTTACCTGTTCTTCTTGAAACTTCAATTAATCTTGCCAAAGCTGTCCAATAAGTTTGTCTTTGAAGAAGAAGTTGACGAAAGTAAACCGCAGCTGTTTCAAAATCCACTTTTCGAAAAGCTAAATCAGCCATCATGACTGAAGCCGCTTCATTGTTAGAATCAGCCTTTAAAAGAGTCATACAAGTTTGTTCGCACTTGTCCAGATTATTTACCTGGAAAAAAATTTTTTCTTAATAAAAAAAAAATTTTTTGTATTTAATTTGTTTTAATTTTAATTATACTTTTACTAACTTGCATATAAAGTTTTGCAAGCGACAAAAGAGCAGTAATATCATTAGGTTTGTAACTCAAAGCTTCCTTGTAATAATCAATCGCCTGATCAAATTCCCTCAAACTAGTTGCATGATCAGCAATGTATAAACAAATCTGAGTTAAAGTTTGTTTGCGAATTGCCGTATCGCTTGACGTAGCAGCTCGCAAAGCGTATTTATTTTGATTGTCTTTCGCATCCTTTAGTGTGGAGAGTGCTCCTTTTATGTTCCCACTCCTTTCACGAACTTTTGCCAACAAAAGTAATTGTTTTCCTCGAATCTCCAGGTCTTGGGGATCCGTACCCGAGGAACCAACTGCAAACGTAATTCAATATTTAAGAAACATTTCAAACTGCAATAAATAAAAATTGTTAATTATTAATAATAATATATTATTTAAATTGAAATTACTTCGTAATTCCTGTAAAAGTCTCGTTTCTGCTTTCTCGTACATCTTCAATTTCATAAAAAGCTCAGCCATGTCAAGTTTCAAATCACCAAATTCTTTTTGTTTTATAATTCTCTCATAGTATTCGATAGCTTTTTCATATTGATGAGTTTTCACCAGTGCTTTTCCCATTTTGCGTGCTAAATTTTTATCACCGGCATTATTTCTCAATGATTGTTCATAAGCTTCAATTGCTCTCTCGGGTTCTTGAATTGCAATATAAGCATCACCAAGCATGCTATACGTTTCAGAACCAGGACAATTTTCCACCAAGTCTCTGTAAATTTAAAATATATTTTATACTAAGACACTGGTCAATTTAAAAATTATTTTCCAACAAAATCCTTACCTAAAACATTTTGCAAATGCATCGCGATCTTTCCTTTGTTTCAAATAAATTTCCGCTAATTTAATATGGGCTTGCAAATAATACGTTTCGCCAGGCAAAACCTTTGCTAGTAAATGTAATGCCTTGTCAATATCTCCCATTTCTAAATTAAGCTCAGCTTTTGCTATTATAAGTCTACCCTCCTCGGCAGTATCTTTCAGCTTCAATTCGGCCTCTTCAATCAATAATAAAGCCTCACGAAAATTTCTCATTTTTATATAAGCAAAAATCAATTCGGTATACAATGTTGCTTTATCCGATATCGAAATTTGAACAACACTCTTATCTGATTTCATTTCAACAAAATTCATTGCTGTACGAAAATTTTGAATACAACCCAAAAGATCACCATTTTCTTTTGCCACCAAACCAAGAATCATGTGATAATTTGGATTATCTCGCACTTTAAAATTATAACTCAAACCAACTTCCAATGTTTGTGATGCCAATTGATATTGTCCACGATGTACTAAAATTTGTGCCATTAATAAATGCCCCGTGGCATTTGTCGGTTCGACAATGTCCAATAATTTTTTTAATGATGTCAATGCACCTTCGAAATCGCCATTTTGCATTTTAATTTTTCCCAACAGGAGTAGAGCATTTCCAAGACCGGGACATGCTTCCGTTACCTTTTCCAAAAGTGTCAAACAGGGATTATTTAAGCCTGATTTATTATGCACGTTGGGGTTCTTCTCTAAATCGGTTAAAGCACCGCCTGGGGAATGTAGTAAATGTTCGTTGACAATCTCAAGACAAAGGTCGCAATTCAATTTTTTTAAATACTCATAACCATAGGGAAGTCCTTCGCAATTTTTTCCTAAAATAATTGCAGCCGCATCTAAATTTTTTAGAGCTTTTTGTGGATTTAAATTTGATAATTTGGCAGACATAAAAAGAATCTCGGGACTTGGTGAATGAGATTGTAATTCCATTAGAAAATCGACTTGTTGACTTGCCAATTCTTTAGCTGTTGATGATGTATCAAGTAATTGACAATTTGCCAAACCTGTCAATGCAGCAAATGAGGACTCGTCGATTCGAACTGTATTTTGATACCATCGCTCAGCATCCTTAACTTTACCCAATAAAATGCATAGATTTCCCAATTCCACCATTAATTCACCGCTTTGTGTATTTTGATGTGCCATTTTTTCCGTAATTCGAAAAAGTTCCGTGAGAAGTTCTTTATCTCTGTTGGAGATTCGTGAGAATAGTTGAATATTATCATTTAAAAGATCAACATTTTTTGTCTCAATTATCATCATATTTCTGAATAATTGTTGAATATATTTTACACCCTCTGTATAATCACCATCACGGCAGAGTGCAAGAAAAGTTTTCGCTTTCATAGCATCGAGACTATTGTTATCAATTGATTGAATTCGATTCGCAGTCTCGAGAACTTGTTCCCATTCCTTCATGGCAAGTTGATTTAACATTTTCTCAACAAGAGGAAAACTGTATTTTGGATATCCAACAATTAAAGAATTTAAAATTGCAATTGCTCCTAAATGATCCTCGTGATATTCTTTGAATTTAGCACAACCCAAAAGAGCATTCAAATGTTTGCTATTTGATTTAAGAACTGTTTCAAAGAAATTTGTTGATCTTCCAAATGTACTTTGAGCGTTAAGATATAAATCCGTCCATCCTTTCGATATTAAAACATTTGAATCTGATGAATCTTGTTTAAATGCTCGATCAGCGTATTCTTTTGCCTTTTCTGGCTTTCGAATCAATAGAAGAATCATTGCTCCTAGTGATAGTGCGGAAGGAGATGCTTTTCTTCGATCTTCCCGTATTTTTCCATCAATTTGAGCAACAGTTGTTCTATCAACATTTCCAGTGGATTTATAAATCAAACTCTGTACAATTAAAGCAGGAAGACTAAATTCTCCATGAAGAATGATTCCTGAAACTTCTTTCAAGGCTTCGCGCTCCTGATTTGTTAAATGAAATGCCAAAGCAAGAAGTATTCTCAAACGATCGTTGGATGGATATGATTCGCATGCTTCTCTGGCATGAGACAACATTCCATTGTAATAACACTGTCGACATGACCACTGGATTAAACTTTCGTATTCTAATTCATCCATTTTTGATTGTTTAATAAATACTTCAAATTTGAACCGTTTCTCAAAATTTAAATATGAAGAATTACTATTAATCAAATAAAACTAGAAATAATTTTTATAATCAAGGTTCAGGAGGATTGATCATAAAATCTTCAGGATCTGGAATTTCATATATAGCGTTAGGATCTTCTGCGTAGGGAGATTCTAAAAGATGTGGAGGTCCAACGACTAGTTCTTCAAGTTCAGAGTTTTTTATAGCAAGATAATATTTTTGAACATAAGCACATGTTAAATACATGTGGTAATCATTTACAATCGCATACGTAAAAGCTGCCTGAAATTAAAATAATAAATAATTTAAAAGTACCATAATATTTAATCATTATATTCATCAAAAGTAGATAAAAATTAAAAAAAGGTTAAAGATTTTTTTTACATTACCTCTGTTAAACGTCGTGCTAAACCTTCTTCTTGATGTTCCTTAGGAACCAAAATTGTTCGTAAATCCAAGATTTCCCCATCCTTTTGGTATGTTAATACTGCTCTCTCTGTAAAAAAAGCAAATAATAAATTACTGTTCATTATATTTGTATCATTAAAATTATATTTTTAAACTTCAATTACATATTTATTTATTAAAGAAAATATAAAACAGGATTTTAAATAAAAATAATTTCACCTGAATAATTAATAGATAATATTTTTAAAAGTTTTCTCACCATTATTTCCAAGTTTTACATAAAAAATACCACGATTTGGATTATGTACTATTCTATGAATGAATCGAAATTCATTGATATTTATTTTTTGAAGGATCTTGTTGAATGATAGAAGTAAATGTCTTCCAAACATGTAAACAATTTTCTTTTACTCATAATTAAGTAAATTTAACGTTTATTTTATTTTCACATTTAAACTATTTATTAATTGACAATTTTATTTACATTTTTTTTCCAATTATATACCATAACAATTTAGAAAAAATAATATTATTAGAGGTTAGTTTCCTGATGCCCGGTTGCTATAGCAACGGAAATGTCAAAACTTCAAGGTTTTTCTTCTGCGCATGTGCAAAACGAAAACAATAAAAAATTAAATTATTTACCAATATAAAAAATTAAAATGATTTTTTAAATATATTTTTTATTGATTAGCACTATTGGTATTAATTACTATAATTTTAAAATAAAATAGACGCAGTTTTATTCAAAAACCGAAAAATATTATGTTGCTTTTAAATCTACCCGCCGAAAATGGCGCCGTCTATCGATTTTCTTCCGCATTACTCATTCGTATCATTGTATGGGCAAACTTCAAATCGACTGTATTCTTTTATTAATTTTGTTAAGTGTTTTTGTTTAAATGAAAGGATATTAATTACTTAATAACAAATTTAAAAAATTTCATGTGTTTGACTATAACTGGAGTATACAATTCGGCTAAAGATAAATTTATACTTTGAGACAAAAAAATTATACAAAATTTCTAACCTCCAAAAAGTGACAGTTCGACTCTTAATCATTTATTGAATTTTATTGTGCGTCTTATAAAAAGGTAAAATATCAATATTATTGTTTGTTTCTAAAGAATAATGAAACTAAAACAAAAGTAGAAATTGTTTATATGAAGAAAAGTGTGGGTATAACGTAAAGTTGTTTTTTTTTCATTTTTCTACTTGTCTTGCAGGTGGCGCCGTAAAAGTCATGTCCAGGTCCAGTGCTCCAGTTGTTAACGAATGTTAAACGAATTTCTACCGCGATGGGAGCCGCCACGTCGTTGCTATCGTCGCGGCTTGCGCAAGTGTATATTCCGAAGGTTCTGTGAGCGCAGGAGTATTATACGAATCCCTGCTGATTTGAGGAAGTGCGAACTCGCGTGCCTTGTCTAAGGCGAAAGGGGCGCGGGGTGTCCTCGTGTAAAAGCTTTGACGTTATCCCGGCCCTCGTTGTAACAGAGGCGTCCCGTGTGTGTGTTTTCATTTTGGTTTATCGGCGGTTCAAAAAAAAAAAAAGTGTCGTGTAGTGCGTGAACGTGTGCGTTAAATGACAGCAAAAAGGTGAGATCAATGTGTAATTGATAAACATGGCTGAGGAGCTGTTGGTTACTTTGACAAGACACGATACAACTGGATTTGGATTCTTACTGGGAACCGCCGGGCTACCTCATGTTATCTACGATATCGTTGAGAATTCGCCTGCAGCAGACAGCGGGAAGGTAAAAATATGCCGGTAGTATCGACCCACCCGACTTTATATCACACCGCCAAGAACGACCACCCAACCCGCTTTATATACTCTATACTTTTATTTTACAACGGGCCTTGCATTTTTTTTCTTTATATTTTTAATTTGGTTTCGCCTTATTGTCATGTAAAGTCAGTAATTTGCATATTGATAAGTAATCCCTAGTCTCTTAAATGATCCGCTTTCTTTTTTTTTTTGTTCTTAAACTATTCACTAATTAGTCTTTATACTGTTTGTTTTCATAGTATTGACGTGAGGAAGAATTTAACGAGATTTTGAATGAAAAATGTTCACTTAAAAATTCTCCACATAGATAAATTTAAAATTAATTATAATAGTAGTTTTATTTGTTAAAAAAATGAGTTGTATTCTAATAACATTGGGGTCGGTGCACTGTCTCTTGTAAAATTAAAATCACGGAACTATTTTATTTTGCTTGAAAGAGGAGTTGAATATTTGGGGCTAGTTTTTAGGGATGAAAATTAACCACCTTGTTTCATTGGTATTGGTATCTTGCTTGGGTTTTGCAATATATTGGTAGGGTGGGATCAGCATACCATGAACCACATTCCTCTTTTGCCTGTTAGGATTCCCCTCGTGTGTCTGTGGCATTTCGTTCTTCGGACTTAATTTTTTATCTCCATATACACGAATCTCACGAGATCTCTCTCAGTCTTGTTGAAAGTCCGTCATTCCAACATTTGAAATTCCCCAAGAAAAGCAACTTGTAATCTTGCAACCTCATTCACACACACGACGCCCAGATTGTTTTTCTCTCCAAGACAAAATTAGAAAATTTACACCCTCCAGTCCTTTCCTCCGGTTGTTATTTAAATTTCCAGAGTTGAAATAATTTTATTTTAATTTTAAGATTTTAAAATAGCTTTGCTACTTTATTTGAAATTTATTTTTGTTATTCAGTTTTATTTCTCGCGAGTATAATAATAAAAGAAAAAAAAAAAATAGAATAGGTGTGTCGTGATACCGGTATTTCAATTCAGTCTTGCAGATCTCTTTTAACTCATGCGGCACATATGGAATTACTGACAAGTGTGACAACTGATTATATATGCATGTGTTTAGAATATATCTCTTTTGAATTTTTTTTTACTTGATAAAATTTTCAAGATGTATAATTTTTACGAAGACAACGGTTTTTTTTTACTTATGTGTATAATTTTAAATTAAATTGAAAACTTTTTAGGAAAAAAATTTAATCAATTAAAAAATGGAAATCTCTCTAAAGAATATAAATTTTTTTCTTGGTCTAGCTGGAGAATCCTAGCAATCTGTAATCATTTAATTTTAAAGGGATTTAAAAAGTTCCTCGCAGGAAGTTGAGACTTTATAAGGAGTAAAGAATTCTTAAGCATCTGATGATTAAATGTTATGGATCAGTGAAATTTAGAAAAATTCTATTTGAATATTTCTACTCGGGAAATTTTTAAATAAGTGAATGTTGTGCTACTTAAAAAAGTGAATTTATTATTGAAAAAAGGAAAACGATAGTTAAGGATTCAAGTTTTGGAGAACATGAAAGAAAATTGGCTAATTGAAATTGAAGAAATTCGATAATTGAAATGGAAGAAAACACTGAGAAATTGGCGACTATCGCATATATGCACTTAAAGAGGATAGAGTGTAAGAATTTATCTATTTCTAGATTCTGTAAAACTGGTAAGACAACATCGTATGGGGGACGAAAAAAAAAGTAAAAGTAATAATGGTCAACTAAGAGAGATGCTACTATGGATGTGTTTTTCAAGTCAAGAAAAGTCGAATCTCGAATTATTAACTTCATATCCTGTAAAACAAGTCATGATGAGAAAATAAAATTCCATTCACAGATTTTCTAAAGTGAAAAATATTGTATAGATGATCTTCAAATGGAAAAATAGTACATGATGTTTATGAAATATGATTACGTATACTGCCCGATTTTTTTTCGAAACATGATATTATTATCAGAGGTATCATTTTGTTACGTGAGATGGATAATACATGAAACGTATATATATATATATATATATATATACATACATAGAATAACGGATTATCATACGAAGAATTTTTATCTTTTTTATATAAGTGAATTTTTCTCTAAAAGATTTTTCCCAGCAAAATATGCATTTTATGTAATAATAATAATTAAAAATAAGATCCTAGGTCAAGAGATTGGAAAATTCCAAAAGTGCATAACATTGTTTGACAATTTCGTAACACATCTTCCTGACACGTTACGCGTATACACATTTTAGCATCGTTAAAGTGGAGCAGGAACATTGTTGTGTACATAAACTATAATGGATGTTCTATGCGTGTGGTTTAAGAGTAATTTCACAAAGTTTGGTCTTAGGATCAATATAATCACATATATTCAATCTCTCTTAAAGAGCTAACGTGAAACCATATTTACTCTCACACGGTTCTGGAAAATTAAACTAAAAAAAAAAAATTACCATCATCTCAAAAGTTGGAAAGTTTATGTTACATAAATAGATACACAAAATAAACGAGGTAATCTTTTATGGTTTGCATTTAACATATTGAAGACAAAAGTGAACAGCTGCAACAACAACGTTTCATAAATTTAATTATAATTTCCGCTATACATAGATTAGTGAATTTTGTGCAAAATTTCAATTATAGTGACAATTTTTTTTTTATATTTTTGAAAAATTTATAAAGGTAGGTAGAAATTAAATTAATTTTTTTTAAGTTAGAAGAAAACAGTCTTACATTTTCATTTTACCGATTTCTTTTCTATTTCAGATATACGTTATGCAGAAGATAATTCCTCTCGACATAAATAAATCACTGTCACTAATGACAAAAAATAGAACTACAATAAGCAAATGGGATTGGTACACTGCGTGTTAAATAAATGGATTTCGTAAAAAGTTTTTAATTTCACAAATTGTCCTTTAAGCTCTTATTGTCATTATATAATTGTTCAATGCGATAGTTTCTTGCTTTCGAGATTATCCTTTTGAGATGTATTGGACAATTGAAAGGATCATCATTATCACAGGATAAAGGATTAGGACAAGTAATCCAAACAAAGAAATGACAGTTAATAATTTCTCGGAATTCAAAATATTGAAAAGTATGGCAAATTTCAAACGATAATCATCAGTGGGTGATGCATTAACCTCAAGTAATCAAGGCGTCAAATTTTCATCCAAAATTATATCGTAACCGTAGAGCTCAAAGGAATTGTTTTCCTGCATCATTACCGGTTGGACTGCTTGCAAGCTTGCCATTATAACGCCTACGCTGGAAAAGGAAATTAATGTTCAAGAGAAACAAAATTTATTGATAATGAGTGTTTTTGGAATTTTTCAAAGAAAAAGAAATTTTTATTTATAACAGATAATTATTTTCGGCTTTTCGAAATAAAAAAAAAAAAGGAATTATTTTGGAGTGTTAGTGCCATTAAAAGGACCTTGAGAAAAGTTGCAAATTCTTATATAAATAATAAAGGGTAAAGTTCTAATCGACTTTTCGCGAAAATTTCCTGGAAACTGTGAAAACCGCTTCCATTTAAATTGTTAAAGCGATCAGCATAATCATTTATCGGAACATCGTGCAATTCTGTGGGCGGTTTAACGCACGAAATGTCTTAGAATAATGGGGTGGCAACACGAATAAGTATTTACCAGCAATACGAGACAGAAGATTGTTAACTGCAGTGACGCCATGCCGAGAAGTCATGTATTCTCCAACTTTTCGAAGACTCCATTTATATCCATGTTTATTTTACAAAAACGAATTAAAAAAAAATTTGGTAAATTTTTTAAATAAGGAGGAGTGAAAATAAAAAAAGATAAGATATCTTGAATAGAAAATTGCATTTAGTGAGATATTTTCTTTTTAGATGCGAAAAGTCTCCGGATGTTGTTAATGGAAAGCTGTTTACAGAAACAAGGTGTGAATAAAAGCATTTTCTCAGCTATGGGAGAATTTTTCTTGTATCGTATATCTGTATATATATATTCTCAGGTGACGAGTGTTTTTCACATCTTCCTTTTAGTTGAATAGCCATGTTGGTTAGATGGATCCTACTGTCGTCGATTTTATCAAGCGCAAATAATTCGCCGGACAGCCGAGCAAAACCAACCACACCTTCAACGGATGAAAGAACGTGACTAGGACGTAAATGCGCAAATCGAACTTCCGCCCTGTCAATCGAAAAAGGATACAATAACATTTTTTCAAGAAAACACAGATTCCTTTGTTGTGATAAAGATTTTTCAATATCGAAGAAATTTTATATTTCTTTCTCACATTTTGTTTTATTCTGAAAAAAATTGAAAATGACCTGACAGCAAATTTTCGATTTTGATTCCTTTGGTTTCCAATTCTTTGAGGCGACGAAAGACCTTGAGATCCTGTGATAGGTTCTTGTTTGCGATATTCGATATTCATTTGGTAATTCAAAAATGATGAATGACAATTTATATGCCAATATTTTAAAAATTACAATAGGGATAATTTTTCCTCGTTAATTCGTAATAATTGAGAAAATGCGGTACTCTGCGAATTTAGTGTCAAAAGCTAAATGAACATCGCTCGTTTCACACCACCACAGATTCCAATCTTTGTCACTTGGATCTTCTATCTATTATAGAGAGATTAAATTAGATTTCAATTTTCATATATTGAAAAGCAATTACTTTAACATGCGCACTTTAATCCAAAATGCTTTTTCAATTAAATTTTCCTGACTTTGTTACAAATGAATTTTTTTTTTTAATTCACAATAAAAATAAGGAGTATAGAAATCTTTTTCAAAAAAAAAAATTAATGAGCATTTAATTTTTCTTATTAATGAAATGAAAGTTTTTCCCAGAGAATTCAGGAGAAAAATTCCTTACTTAATTTATGAATCATATTTTACAAGAGTTCTTGTTATTCGTGTGTATCTAGTTTAGTGGGTCAGGGTAAAATATGTGTTGATTACGATTTTAGTCTAAAAAAAAAAAAATGCGGTAAGATTAAGGGGATTACAACAGTGGCAATGCTCGATTATCATTTGACATTTATCAGTCTCATTGAGCTTCGCAGATTACTTCTTGAAAATATAATTTGTAAAGAAAACTGACTAATAAGGTATTCAATTAAATTATACATCCATCCTCTCGCAAGCATCGCGTTGAGGGAAAGTCACAACGAAACTTGATAGCCTTGTGATAGCGTCGCTTCCTCGCGCGTTAGAATGATGTCTCTTATCTGATATTGAAAATGCAAAGGTCCATGAATTTATAATCTCTTCATTCTTTTGCAAACTCCATTTGCAAATTTAAAAATTTTTTTTTCCATTTTTCGTAACTTTTTATGAATACCATTTTTTTTTCTTCCGTTTCAGTGATAATATTTTTTGAATTAAAACTTCGGTTAATTATAAATTAAATATAGAAATTAATAATTTAATAATAAAAATAATTTCTTTTCAAAATTTTAATATTTTGATGGAGGAAAAAAGTAAAGTATATATAATTTAATAACTTTTGAGAAATAATAATATTATAATGAGAAGTTTTCGATAGAAATTGCGGTCTACTTAAACTTGAGGAAAATAACTTGCTTTCCGGTCAGAACTAACTTTGGAGAGTAGTGTGATTCTGCGGTAACTTGAAATATATCTAGGTGGCATAAGCACACACGTCTGTAGTTATGTATATGACGTTAAGCACATAACTTGAAGTCATAACCCCGCACGTCTCCACCTCATGAGTTTGCGCAGACATTTATATACATTTACATCTTTAGAGGGACCTAAACACTAAATTGTATTCACATATTCTATTTCACAATTTGATTTACATGAAATATAAATTTTATACCTACAAATTAGAATAAATAATGAAACAAACTAAATATAATATTCAAATAATCAAATTATATTTCAAAATATATATTCATAAATTTAGTTTCGGTTATTGAACTGTAAAATGTGTCGCATATTTATAAACTCTGTGTAAATATAACGTTTGGAAAAAAATTTTATATATAAACTATTTTTTAAGAGTTTAACAAATTCTGTTCTATAATTTTTTTTTCGTATTGACAATTTTTTTAAAAACTATTTTTTAAAAAAAGATCTTTGTCTGCAAAATGAAATTGTTTGGCGCCTTTCAAAAACTTGAAAAAGAGTGATGAATTATGTCTTCAAACGCGGGTTTTTTTTTTTTATCTATGTTGATATAATAGATGAAGAGATGAGGATCAAAGTAAATTTATGCCACACAAATAAGAAGTTAATTAACCAAGAGTATGAGTTTTTTTTCTTTCTGTACTTAAAAGATTAATTTTGTCTGGTCAGACGCTTATACAAAAAGATGAAATTTGTCTGATTGGATATCTTTTTACTACTTAAAAGATGTATTTTGTCTGATAGGGACATCTTTTACTACTTAAAAAAAAGAAGAGATGCGAATTGTACGTCTGTAAACGTCTTTTTCTACTGATATAAGATGAGTTTTGCCTCTTTAGACGCTTTCTTTCTATTTAGAAGGTGAATTGGTTCTGTAAACATTTACATTTACTTAGAAGATGAATTTTGTCTTGCTATATACTTGAAAGATATATTATTTTTATAACTGTTATTAGTTTTAGCATTATTTTTTAATATTACTACTATTTATTATTATCATTATTATTATTAATATTATTAAAATAAAGATGTAAAAAAATAATGTTAATAAAATAATTACTAATTATATTATTACTATTATTATTATTATCTTTTTTATTATTTTCATTGTCATACTTAGTATAAATTATAATTCGCGACCCCTTGGAATTCATTAATGAATTATAATTGCAAAAACTGCAAAAAAAGATGACGCTTTTTGTAACTTTTTGAAATTAAAATATTTCAAAAAAGTTGCGAAAAAGCATTACTTTCTTATATTAAGATGTATTCAGCATAAAAAGTTTAACACAATGTTAAGATTCTTTTTTTGTTAGGGAATATTCATGACTTTCCATTAAACATCTTTTTCTATATATTTAATATAGATAATAAATGGAAGTAAATTTATGGCATAAATATAAAAAGTTAATTAACGTAAAATGATTTACGTGGATACATATGTGTAAATAAATAATAACGATTTCTGCTGATGAAGATGCATGTATGTATATCTTGGCTCGTGCGAAAACGTGACGTAGGTGCGCTCTACATATTCTGAAGTATATATATATATATATATATATATATATATATATATATATATATATGAAACATTCGAAAAAATGAGTGTGTGATATAGATATTTTTTGCCTTCTCCTGCGGGCGACGAACCACAGACTATATTTTAGTGGGAGAATTTTCCAGGCCTTCGAAATGTGTCTGAGGCCGCGCCAACACTGTAACAGGATCTGCAATTGCAATCCGCCTACTCTTTTATATATATACGTAACGTGCAGTCTGTTCCTTCAGGGCAGTCAATGAAGGAACTCCGTATTGGTGTATATGTATTCTAGGCCTCTCGTTCAGAAACGTGACTCCGCGAAGCCAAAAGTATAAAACGAGAGACGAAATACGTAAATGAAGATTTTCATCTTCTCATTACATCAATTAAATAATCTGTTTTACATTCACAAATGATTTCTAATCATTTTCTAAAAATCTTTTACGATTTTTTTAAAATAATTTTTTTTATTAGGAAGTAAATTATTTTTAAAATATTGAAAGGGCAAATTATATTCGCAATATTATTAATGGAAAAACAAACATTTTTCTTTTTATGAAAAAAATAATAAAGTGATTTTTGATATATTGATTATAGTGCAGTATAATTTTTTAAAGAACGGAATTTAAAGTTGCGTTTGAATCAAACTATATGTATGTATGTATGTATATATTGTCATAACTTTTCTTGCATGCTATGAAGATGTTTTGCGAAAAATTACAGACTATAACAAGCAGCTTAAAATAAAAGGTCTGTGATTATGACCCTCTTAACGTGTAGTAAAATTCTTTTGCGATTTATGAGAGAGATATACATATACGTAAATGGACAAAGTTTTAGTTTATGCACCTGTAACATACTTACGATCATATTATAATTTAGTGCAGAGGAGAAATACAGAAGGTGAATGGCAGGTGGCCTACTCGACATTATGTGAACTCTGCGCGAATAAATATATATATATATATATATAAATCATTGTTTTCTGTTTTAAACTCGCGCGCGAGAAGTGAGCCATTCTATATTTTATCTCTTCAAAACTAAAATGGAAATACAATTTTTATAAATAAATATTTAATTTTTCCAATTTTAAATATAAGTATTCCAAATTTTTTTAACCAATTTTTTAATTTGCTTTTGCATAGCAAAAAGTTATTAAAATTTTTAACTTAGTATGTAAAAGTTGAAATTGAAATTAATTGATTGAACCTGATACACCTTAACGATTAGAGGGAAAGAATGGGGTCGGGAAAATCATTTTAAACAATCGGAAGTGAATGGTTAATCCTCTGGATTGTGCTGTTCAAAAGACGTGGCATTCAGTTACCCCTGCATCCTCGATTTAATTGTATTTTCTACACGTGTCTTTTATTCGCAAAAATAGTTGACCAACGACCTTGTCGATCCAAATGAAAATTGCGAATTACTTTTTTAAAAGTAATTTGTTAAAAAGGTGAATTTAATTGACAAAAATTATTAATTTAATTTTTGTAAATAATATGGAATTTTGATTTTAAATGATACATATTTTATTTTTTTTGACCAATTTGAATATGGTTAATGAAATTATTTTTTTTTGGGGGGTTTTATAACCGTGAAATTCGTCTAATTCCATTATTATATAGAGAAGTCGTTGACGAAAATGTCGACAACAGGCTTCAATATATATTCGAAGCACGCTAATCCATTCCCCAATGAGTGATCATGACACGTTGGATTATTGGATAAGTCTTACATTTTGATGACAAGTCCAGTGTTCACTATACTAGTATAGTCAAATCTAATTCTAAAAGCCATCAATCAACCTTCCAATTAACAAATCTGACTGGTATGAGTCGTTAAAAGTGTTTTTTAAAATCTCGTTTCAATTCACAGTATATTCACCTACTTCAAATTTTATTCGAGAAAAAATAGTTTTGTTTTCACAACAAAACATTTATTGTCTCACATATTTGTGTGCCACTTTTTTGATTTGTTCAATAAAATTTTTGGTTGTCACAATCAAATTTTCATCAAAGCCATTCGTTATAAAAAAATATAGTTCACAACGATTAAAAAAAAAAATATTTTTCATTTGGAAAATAATTTTTTGTCTGACAAAAAATTACAATTCGTAACGAAATAAATTTTATATTCTAAATTGATTTGAATAAATAAAATAATTTTAAAAAAATGTTTGCTTTGTTGTTTATCAACAAATGAACGAATTTAAAGAATTCGCGGGCCAACGTCCAGTTGGTTTTAAAAATATATCTATGTAAAGTTACTTAATACAAAGTCAATGTCACTTGGTTAAAAATAATTATTGGCAACCTAGGAACTGTTTCGTCTTCATATGAAGATACACAATTGTTTTGTGAGTAACATTTAGTCGCACTTTATTACCTAAATGCGCATCAACAAATTGAAAAGAAGAGTTTTCTTATAATTATATAAAACTATTGTTCGTGTAAAACTTTGCAAATGAAAGTTTTTTCTTGTTGCTTTGATTGTTGTCCCATTCTAAATTCCATTAAACATGGCGACAGATTCGATTACGTGAAATATAAACCTCTTCAAGAGGTAAGTCAAAGAAGTTTAATCAAAGTCAACTTTTTCATTGGCTTGAAATATTGTCTTCTTCTTGTTTTTTTTTTATTTCATTCCATTTATATTGTTTTTATTATACTAAGATTGGATATGTCTTCCTTTAATTTAAAAAAAAAAAATTTTCCACCCCCTTTTTTATGGAAACTTCTATATATATTTGTACAGTTTGGAAACTTGTCAGTAAAAAGTTTTGTCAGATCTCAAGCACAGAGTCTCGTTAAGTTTTGCTTCTTATTTGAATTTATTTTAGGAAATTTTGACCTCGTAAAATTATTCCAACAGAGTATAAACGTCGATACTTTTCTGGCGACCTAGTTTCATCATTTAATAAAAAAAAACAGAAAAAAAAATTTGTTTTCTCTAATTTCTAAATTAAGAGGACAGGTTTTTCATTTTCTTTTCGAATTTCCACATTCAGAAACTAAAATTTGAAAGTTATTTGACTTATCAGATATTTAAATTATTTTCTGTTTTAAAGGTATATTAGAAAAAAAAACGAAATTTTGAAAATCAAAATATGTTTGTCTGTGAAAATAATATATGATATCTGTTTACTTCCACGAAGGATCGACAAATCCGAGCTGGGAATGTCTTCATCCTTATACCAGAGAGCAATAAAATACACAAGTTCAGTATATGGATAAAAGGAATTCCACATGTTACATCTATAGATATATATATAAAATAAATAGTTTATTAGAAATGAAATCTTATTTTTTGATTCAATTATTATTTTGGGTTTATATAGAGAAAATAAGATAAGAATTTCCCAAAATGTTATTAGCCAGAATTTTTATCATAGAAATTCATTAATTTTTTTATCTAACAAAATTTTGTCCTTTGATTTCCATTTGACTTTTATTTTGCCAAATTTTTATTTAGCAGAATATTTAACATTTATTTAGTATTGTTAAAGGCAGAAATTCTATTTCACCAAATTTTTTCGCGAACAAATGAATGTTCTGTCAAAGGACACAAAAATTTGGTGAAATAGAAATTCTCTATTTAAAAAAAAAAAAATCTAAATTTTTTTAAACCAGAATTCTTTTAAATAAAAATTTGTGGTCGACTAAAAAGAAGAGAAAAAAACCTTTAAAGGCAATTCGATAAAAATAAAAAAAAAAGTGTAACTACTTTTTTTGGGGATAATTAAATGAATTTCATTGAGTTGGAAAAAAAAAAAATTTATCGCTCTCTCAAAGACAAAAGTTTATAATGAAATATTACATAATATATATTATTATATTCAAGTTATGATGTGTCTATTTTCCCTTGAGGGTAATTTTCATTTATATTATTATTTATCTCAGGTTTAAAAATAAATTTTCACAGGAATTGTCGAGAGCTAGTTTGCGGTTATCATGGTGACCTTTGGTATATGGGAGTATTCCTGACCCCGATCTGCGTATTCGCAACTGATCTATAGTTATATATACCCCTTTTATGTACGACCCCCCTCGGTCACACTTCCGTATGTGCTGGTACACGTTTCTCATCCAGAAAATCTGTGTGTCCTTGCGCGTTTGTGTATATGACATATATGTACTGGTGTGTGACGCTTTCAGTCACACCGTCTCACCGCTAAAATGAATGCATTGATAGGTGGTAGTGTATCTATCCTATTGATGGTGAGAGAGAGAGAGAGGTGAATTTTCAATCGATTTTTTTTACGTTTCTCGCCACAACATCTGCGAAGATGAGATATAGTTCTCTTTCCGAAATTAAAGATCTTAAAGCGGATGATCTAATGCGAGAATTTACACATCAAAACTACATTTTTTTTTTTTTAAGAAATATGCTTCTTGCGCTCTAAATCTATCTCTTATAAAAAATTTACTGTTCACGTATTTACCTGAAAAGAAACAAAATATTTCATCCTGAAAAAATACATTACATTTTCAATTTTAAAAAAAGGATAAATACTAAAAAGAAATTTAGATCTTTTTAATAATAATAATTGCATTATAATGTTTAATAACAATAATTATCATTAATAATAAAAATAATAATAATAATTTTAATAATTTTGATAATAATTTTGATAATAACTTTATTTAATTCAATTAAACAATTAATTTAATTTTTAAAAAAGTTCTTAAAATTTATCTATTTAAATAAGTCATTAAATTAAATTAATTAAAATATTTATATAAAAATTTAATAAAAGCAATATTTTATTAATATAGTTTTATACTACTGTTTTATTAATAAAATTTAATATTAAAAATTTTCAAGCGAATTAAAAAAGTTTTCTCTCTAACAGTTGGAATATTATCTCTAACATAGTTTTTGTTAGGAAAACAAATATTTAAAAAAAAAATAGTTTTAGTTTAAATAAAATGAAAATTTCGCACTAGTTTATTATATATATAGGCAGTATTTATATTTTAAAGAAGTTTTACTCATGAACCCTATAAACCGCATTATTCATCAGTTATGTATTCCATGTTTGACCCATTTTTTTTTATAAAAAAGATGGGAATAATCCGTTTTCATTTTTTACTCCAAAGAATTTTTCTTGAAATTAAATTTATTTTAATTCTCTGTATTTTTTTTTGTTATAAAATTGTGTGTAATAAATTAAGAGTGTAACATTCTGCGTCGTGACTTGAAAAAGAAAAACAAAAAAAAACTCAGTTCTTTTACTTTTTGAGAGGATTTTTCCCCCGTAGAATATAATAAAATTTTATTTGAATTATTTATTTAGAAAGGCATTTTTCATTTAAGGTAAACATATTTGTTTATACTTCTGTTTACTTTTTTTTAAATTTATTATTTAATAGAACAATTTATTCTTAAAATATCGCATACTTTTCTCAAAAACAATTCTGTTTTTAAATTAAAAATTGCACAAAATAATTAATATTAAATTATTAATTAATTGTATTAATATTAAATATTAAAATGAAACTTGGTCCAAAACTGGTACCATGTGTATTTACAAGAAAAGAAAATATATATGTACTGGTTTTCGCTATGTGTTCTTTAAAAAAAATACCAGCCTACGATTTTATTCCACCTTTTATTATCAAGTCTAATATTAACATAAACTTACATATAATTTTCCAAACTTTCCTTAAAATTACAATATACGTAGAAAGTTTGGCGCATATTTTTCTATAATTGTTTTTTATATGGAATATAAAAAAAAGATTTATAATTTATTCAACAATTTTAAATTTGAAAATGTGAAGTTAGATATTTCATCTGATTTATGGGCCATTCCACTCTGTCTACAAATGACGAAAAGGGAATGTCGTTTATTTTACAACCGAACGTAAAGTGAGACTCTTAAAGTCCAAACGACAGAGTTTGTTCTCGTTATATTTGTAACATATATATGTATAAATAGAAGATGACTCGAATTTTATCAAGTTTTCTCTTGTTATTTTACAGGTCGAGGCTGGTGATGTTATTCTCAGGGTGAATGAAGTTGATGTCAACCGATTTAGCACTAAGGAAGGTAACAAATATTTCTTTCATTTTTTTTCCCCCACAAATTCGTTATTTTTATATGCTCGCATATTTCCCTTCCCCAAAAACAGAAAATTTTATTTCTGTTGGAAAGCGATATTTACCGTGTTCGTGAGATAATTCATTATTCAGAATATATTTGATAAATTATTGGAAAAATGTTTTTAAAATATATAAATCGTGTTTTACAATTTTTTAAAAAATAAACGTGAGAAAAAAGACAATATTAATCAAGTAATTTTTGAATTAAAATTATTTAAAATTGATTCGAATAATAATTATTTATAAATAAATTATTTAATACAGTAAAGGATTATTATTTGAATTACATTTTTTTTTTCATTGTACAATGTCAGGATGATTATATGTGGCAAGTTTATTATTGATTTAAAGTTTCAAGTCACTTTCATGGTCTACTACAAGTATTGGCATTGACTTTTCTCTTTACTATTTTCTGTATTTAATGACATATTTGACACAATTGGGTGATAATGTCTTACACACTGACTAAGGCGAATGAGAATAGGTTTATAAGAGAAGACAGGAAGCTGCAGGTGCTTCGTAAATGTTACGAGTTTACCCCCGAGTGGAAACGACTATAGGGTTAAAGTGCAATGTAGACAGTAGATCGATCGTGTAATTTACGGTTTACCAAAGGTCATTATAGAACTTTAGTTTTTTTTTTCTCTCTCTCTCTCTCTCTTTTATCAAAAAATTATTCTCCAGCCAATTTATAATAGACGTGGTTAGTCGATTGTGACCTATTTTTCAAAAATTCATTATATTTACAGAAATACAATTAGTTTTTGACAAAATTAATTATAAATTTAATAATGACAATCCAATTTCCTTATAATTTGTTTCATTTTCAATTCCATTTCAATTAAATGAAATATTTATTTTCTAAAAAAAATGGTTTGTAAGTCTGATAAAATATGCATTTTTTAATTAAAAGCGATCACAACGTCTTTTATTTTTTCATTCACCGCGGCCGATATAAAAATGTTTGAATCTCACGATATTTGTGGCTATGCGAATGCACTTCAGTAAAAGATTAAAGTTTATGGGCTTTTTAGTATATAAAGGTTTTTAATTAATATAAAATCCCTGCGGGCATGTCGTGTGCAATAATTAAATTGACAATATAAATTTGTTTTGGAATTAATTTTTTTCGGAAATTACACTATTGGGAAATTAGTGATAAAAAAAATGGAATTTCCTTTTAAAAATCGAAAATAATTTTTTTTACACTTTTAGATTGTTAACACTGAAAGAGTATAAAACGACAAAATATGGGCAATGGATCGCTCTCACGTAATGTTCCATTTGCAAACGACTTTGTTTTCACCCCTTTTTTCTGCAGGGTAATAAGTTTAGGCTTACTTCCCTTGTTTTTAGACACACCTATATAATAATGGCTTTTTGTAAAATTAAATTGTTAATTAAGTTTTATTCATATTTAAATTATGTTCTGATAATTATTTATGAACTTGAGCTTTTTGCGCGTTAATTAACTTTCAAATATTTTTTCATAATTGGAAACACATTTTTTGTTGACATGTGGTAAAGTATGAAAACACGGACTTTAATTAAAAAATTAAGTTATACTTGAACTAGATTTTCTGTCATATTTGCCTGGTTTTTGTTAAATAATTAAATATATAAATTTAGAAAAGTAGAGTGAAATGCATTGAAAATGTATCTGACATTTATAACTTGATTTATTTGTTATATAAAATAGTTACCGTTAGTTATATAAAATAAAAGATAGAATAAAATTAGAAAATTGAAAAATAAAATTAATATTAATAAAAAATGTCTTCTTTTAAACTTTGAACTTCCCGTCAAACTCAGTTTTTAGATTTACAGATAAAGTTTCCAATTTGATTCAAGTTTTATTCTCTTTCAGTGTCAAATAGTTGTTTCTCGAAATTGTTGTTTGAGAAACTTGGAGATTCCATTGCAATATAAATTAAATGCTGTCAGAAAAGAAAGATTCATTCGGTTTGAAATAATCTTTTATTTCACAATTTTTTATTTATTAAATTGATTAAATTTCTTTTTTCTCAATTTGTTTGATTATTTATTTTTATGATTCAAAGAAAAATAATTTTCAAAAAGCAAAAATCAAATTAAATCATCTTTAAGAAATTCAATGATTAAAAATTGAAAAATATTTTGAGCTATTGCATTTAGTACTTAATGGGATGAAGTATATGTGTGTACAGTAGCAATGGATCGCTTTCACGTAATGTTCCAATTCCACACGACCCGACCCATCTACTTAGCAACCACCCTACGGCAGCAAGCATCCACTCGACGAGACTCGTTCACCCGCAAGCACTCTCTTTCTCCGTTTCTGTTTCAGTTCTAAAATGTCTCCGACTCTCGTCAGACCCTGTCACGTTGAAGCTACGAAGGGGTGAGTGAGCTCTCTGTACTCTCTTCTCGTCTGTCTTTTTATTTTTATTTTTTTTTTCTCTTTTCACCTTAGGTAGGTACACACACATAAGGGACGGTCTCGTTGAAACGAAAGTGCACACTCGCTTTCCATCTATTCCAAAAATCTATTCAGTGAAAGTTTTTTCCCCCCTTCTGAGATAACTCGAGTCCACTATTTATTCTACTTATTTGTTCTCAAAAACCCTTCAAAAAAAAAGAATTCATAAAACTCGAATGAATTCAAGAAAACTTGAAAGTTAATTTAAAAAACTTTTTATTGTATTCAATTGAAAATTTAATTTCCTGAAATTTTTTTCCAATTTGTGAAATGAAATTTTGATAAATTATTAGCAGCACTGATTCGTTTGACGTAGTCCATCCTTTAAATAATTCAGACATGATGATTAAATCTAGTTTCTTTGTTTTTTTAGATCCAGCCATAAAAGCACACATACGACGTTTATTGTGTTCCGATCAAGAAGTGTGCGATGATACTGAAAGTTTAAAAGCCTTTCGAACAGGAATTGAAAACAACTCAAGGAACCGATCGTCGGGAAATTGTGACGATAGAAATAGTGGGAAAAATTTGGAATTATCTGAATTGTCATCGATAAGTCTTCCGCAGAATTCTAGTGAAGTTCATAATGTTAGGAGTAATGGCTCGTGTAGTGACGCTTCTGGATCTTCGGAAATGGAAGTCGTTATTCCTCAATTTGACAATTTCAAAGAAGAAGAACGTGCTCAATGGGAACCATTGTCCGGCGACAAGTTTGGTCGACAAAAAAATACTCCAAGGTATAATAAATATTTAAAAAAAAAAAATTTGCGAACAAAATAAAAAAAAAAATAATTTTTTTTTAGGTTTGAGGCCTACATGATGACAGGAGATTTAATGTTGAACCTGTCGAGAACGCAGCAAAGCACCTGCCTTTTGCCAAAGTATCAGAAAAAAGTTGATTCATTGAGATACAATAATCATCACATGCACCATCGTCACAATCATCATAACCATCATCATCATCACCATCATAATTCAGTGCCGACGAGTCCAAACGAAATTCTCGGACATCATCGAGCTTACAAGGTGACAGGCTCGAATTCCGCAACTACCTCACCAGTGGGTACTGCTAGACGCGAGGGCACCCAGTGCTCTCCAGCTTGTGAAAATAAAGCCAATGCCAATTTCGGTTACTCCAGTGGTTTCGTGAGAACCTCCCGATCAGAGGATCACTTGCAATTTCAAAAAGATCCATCCATGAGTGCAGTGGATATTGACATCGACGACGACGTCACCTCCAGTTTAAATACTCTTTTGGATACACGACCCGAGAGTGGTCAAGCACTGTCAAGCGAACGCATTGTCTGGACGTACAATGCACCAGTTAGTTCACCTTCCGTCTCGGAGAGAACGTCCTGCTGTCGTAATGGCAATTCACCTCCACAGTCCTCCAGTAGTAGTTCCTCGACCGAGGGTACAAGTCCACAACGTTCATTATCGCCGGCTTCACCGACCTCAGTCTCATCGTCAGTCATGTCCTCCAATTCTGGCTCGCGCAGATTTCCCCTGCCAATTATGCCGGGTGCTCAACTTGGACCCTCGGGTGAAGGCACATCACCGGGATGTCTACATCCCACGAACGGTGATCTCAGCCAGTCAGAGGCCATTAGCAATATGTCCAGTCCTGATTACAATGACGAGGAGACTATGGATATTCTTAGTTCACGTGATATTATGATGGTTAGTGATCCTAGTGATAGTGACTCAACAATCCTTGCCAGTGAACCACCGCAAAGGAGGCGTAAAAGTGGAAGTTATAGCGCCAGTCAGGATTCAAGTGAACATCGAATAGTCATTCAAGTCAAGGGTCCCGATAAAGATAATAATACGAGGAATAATGCCAGTCCCAGGCAAAATAAACGTAATACTCAAAATAATTCAGAGAATCAACATTCTAATGTTCATCAACAGAATCAACGTTTGCCTAATGCAATTGATAATTGTAATCCCTCAATTGGTTCCACTGGATATCAGGTAATTAAATAAGGGATTTCTAATTTTTTTTCTGTGGCATACTCTAATCACATTTTTAGCGTGAAAACTCAAGTAATTATGGAAAAATCCAACGAGAAAGCCAAAGAGAAAGCCAGTAAAAACCAGTAATCAATTCAAACAATTTGAAATTTTTCTTTTCTAATTGATAATGCTATTTTGAATTAATTTTCAAAATTTAGTATTAAATTATTTACTAAATTGTACCTTTTTCAGGAATTGCGAGATTTCGAAGACGAAAAAGAATCGATGATTGCTTCTACTAGCGATGAACAGAAGCAAAGTGGCCAGTCGCCTCCCTTATCCGCCGACGAAGAAAGTGATATTGAAAGTCTCCACAGTTTTCATTATAGTCCAAAGGCCGTAGATTTGCCTTCTGCAATAAGATTAGCAAAAAGGCTTTATTCTTTGGATGGTTTTAAAAAATCCGACGTCTCCCGACATCTTAGCAAAAAGTAAGATTTAAAATTATTCTAATAATTGTAATATTTAAAATAATTTTCTATTATGAATGAATATATATCGCACAATATTAAATTTTTCACTTTTTATCTCCACTTTTTTTGATCACTTTCATCGAGATTCATCTCGAATATGGCAATGCAAAAGGTAAATGCTCCTATTATTAAAAGGTATCTTCTAAATTTTATTTTATTATTTTATTCAGCAACGACTTCAGCAGAGCTGTAGCTGAAGAATATTTAAGGTACTTTAACTTCGAAGGAGACACGCTGGACGTGGCTCTAAGAAAATTCCTTGCTCAGTTTTCATTGACCGGTGAAACCCAAGAAAGAGAACGAGTTCTTGTTCATTTCTCCAAAAGATATCTCGACTGTAATCCAGGCAGCTTTAACTCTCAAGGTAACATTTATTTTTCATTTTTCTAATATTCTATAATTTCCATCAATAATCAATTTCATATGAAATTAGATGCTGTTCATACTTTGACGTGTGCTATAATGTTACTCAACACGGATCTTCATGGTCAAAATATTGGTAGAAAAATGTCTTGTTCGGAATTTATAGAAAATTTGTGGGAACTCAATGATGGAGACAATTTCCCAAGAGAAGTGCTCAAACAACTTTACAATGCCATTAAATCGTTTCCTCTAGAATGGGCATTGTGAGTATAAACTATTTTCTCTCTTCTTACGTGCCATTAAATACAGATAGTGAATGAAAAATTCCATCTCCATTTATTTTCATGTAAACTATATTTTACGTGAAAATCAAATGGAATTTTTTTTTGCAATGAAAAAAAAAAATTGATGTGATATTTTAGAGATGACGAAGGGGACGAGGCAGCGTCTCACGCTGTTCAGCAGGGCGATGGTCCAGCTTTATCTACCTCCGGAAATCCATTTCTTGATGTTCCAAATATCACTGGTGCCACTGAATATAAAAAGGGATACGTTATGCGCAAAAGTTGTTATGACGCGAATGGAAAGAAAAGTATTTATATTTGTTGTATATTTTTCTTTATGTCTCTATTTCTATTTTCTATTTTATTTTATGTTTTCAGCGCCTTTTGGAAAAAGAGGGTGGAAAATGTATTATTGTACATTAAGAGAGCTTGTATTATATTTGCACAAAGATGAACATGGTTTTCGAAATGACAGTTTGCATAATGCCATACGTATTCATCATGCGCTTGCGACAAAAGCATCTGATTACACGAAAAAACAATACGTCTTAAGGTTACAAACAGCTGATCAGGCGGAATATCTATTTCAAACTAGGTAATTGTACTTTTCTTTTCAATTAATTTATTCAAAAATAATTCATTTTTTTTAAATGTCAATTGAATTTACTTTATATTGAATGAAAATTAATAAATAAAACAAAATGAAACTTCTTATCTGGAAAAAATTTATATTCTGAAAAAAAGAATAAAGTTGATTTAAAAATATTCTTGTAGAAAAATATTATACTAGGTGAAGTATTTTAGTTCAATATAGAAACTAGGAGAGATACGTGAAAGATGCCAATTTGAATAAAGGACTTATGGCAAAAGCATTGTATATATCTATTGTATAATGAAGTATTTATTATTGACAGCCTTTGTTCTGTATTTCTAATATCAAGAACTAATCATACTGAAGCTCTCCATTTTTTAAAATAAAATTTCCTTAGAATAATATGCAATTTAAAAGCTGAATGATTTGAAATAGAAATGCCCTTTATATACATTTAAAATCAATAACTAATATGATCTAATAAAATACTGATTTTCTAAAGAAATTTTCTATTATTTCCAGTGACTCCAAAGAATTGCAGTCATGGATCGACACGATCAATTTTGTCTGCGCAAGTTTTTCCTGCCAACCTCTCGCTGGTGCGGTAGGTTCCCAACGAAAGTTTCAGCGGCCTTTACTTCCCTGTAGTCATACGAAGTTAAGTCCCGTAAGTCAACTTTTTCATAAGTTTATAAAATAGATAGAAAAATATCACGGAAATAAAGTTTTCGACTTTCTAGCCAAAGATTTTTTTTTTTGCATTCCATTTTTGTTATTTTTCAGAGAGAGCAATTGCGAGATCATGAAGAAAGAGTAAATAAATTGGAGACTGATTTAGATGAACATAGGCGACATCCGCCCGAAAAAGGCTCTAAAGCATTGACTATTCAAAATTATAAAGAGAAAGACGCTTATTTACAGTACGAGGTTGGTTCATTATTTTCTCTTTTTTTCTTCCTCGGAAAGAAGTGCTTTGTTTTTTTTTAATTAACAAAATATCGAAGAATTTCTGTTTCATTTTTAAGTGTTCAATTAACTAATTACTCTCTTTTTCAATAACTAACTTCAGCTCGTTACGCTACAGGTAACAACAAATTTAAATAGTGCCAAAATGTTTGCTGATCTTGCTTTTTATGGTTTTTGTTAAATTATTTTGTTGTTCAGAAGAAAAATTGTTTATTTAAGAGTCAAAAATTCGTGTAAATATTTTGTTAAACATAAATGCTTTTTCAACATTAAAAATGAAAATAATTTTTTTCTCACGAATTCTGATTCTTAAAAATTCGTTTTCTCATAAAAATGTTGAATAAAAAAAAATGTTATTTATAATAATTAATATTTTTGCAGTTGAAGAGGTACAAAACTTACGCTTATCTTCTGCGATCACGATTGGTTTTTGCGGAAGTGGAACCGCCATTGGTTGAAAGCAGTATCGGTGAGGTAGATGAAGTCTCGGGTGCTCCACTAAATCCTGATGCAGCATTGGTGCCACCTCCGGTTCCTGATCGTCCAGCCACAAATAGGTACTCTTATAAGGCTGCGATTTACAACAAAAATCTTCTGAATGGTCAAGACTTTGGTTAGATCTTTTGGTTGGGTGTATTTTCAGCACTTGTGGTCTAGTCTGACTTGCGTACGTAGGCCGAGGACAGCAGTCATAATTTGGAAGAAAGAATAGCAAACGAAGGATACGCGACGCTCTTTTCTTAAATCTGCTTTGTCTTCGATCACTAACGTAAATCATCCGGAAAAAAATCTTTCTTTCAATATATTTGTATATATAATATAAAAAAAAACAAAGAAAACCGACTGATAGTTGCTGACAAATTTTTGATCTCACAATTCGTAGAATTTCACTTGACCGTTTCTTTTTATATTTTTCAAAGAGAGAAAAGGAAACGTTAAAAAAACAAATAGAGACAAACTGCTGTCACTTCTGCCTGCATATTCAGATTACTGGTCCAGCTTTATCGTTAAATTATTAGCTGGTGGTTGGATCTGGGCATAAAAAAAAAGAAAAAAATTAATACTATAGAGAGTAATGTACATTGACTAGTGATTACTAATAAATCAATTAACAGACTATCGCATTGGCGAAAAAACTTATCAAGTGTTTATCTTGAGGAAATACAAGAGCGGCTGATTGTCTTTAAAAAGAATTACATACTTTGTCCTCTGCATTAAATTTGAAATGAATTCTATATATCTAAAGAAATCTCTATTTTTCTGGTTTCAAAAAAAAAAATTGTTGAAAGTACTTAATTTCTTAGTAAATCTTGTTACTGTTATTGTATTAAATACCAGAAAAATTATTGTCTGTTGATAATATTCTTACTTTTTGGAGTCATGACGGAGAATTGTGTGATAGATGATAGAATTGTGATGAAATCTTTTCTTGGGGGTGGGGGAATTTTTAGCTTTAACGATTTCAAAAAATGAGGACAAAGTATGCCGTTGTATTTTCAGTCGTTAATACAAATAAATCGTAACAGTGGTTCATTTATTTTTTTTCGCAGAAGGAAAAATTGAATTTTATTTTCATTAAAAAAGTAATTTTTTATTCTAAATAAAATCTAAGGTAAATTATCATCAAATGAAATGATTTAAAAAACACATTACAAATTTTTCAAATTAAATCATATTTAAAAGAGAATTAATTTTCTTGTGGAAAAAAATAGTGAAAAGAAATTAGCTTCTTGGATTTTTCGACAAAATTTAACATTTAAAGTCGCGTGAAGAGAAGCGTTAGGAATTTTTTTGCATTTGCATTTTCTTAAATGCTTCTAACGACTGTGATATTATTTTCAAGAATTGAATTTATACTGTATTTGTAAGCATTCCTCTTTACGTTCTCTAACGCAGATTAAAAAAATGAAAAAAAAACGAAAGAACCACTGTTACTAAAATTGGAGTTTAAACATTCCACAAATAAAAAATTACAAATTTTCATAAGAAAGTGTCTAAACGTATAACTTTTCTTGTATATTCTCAGCAGAGCTAAGACTTTAAATTCTATGTTAATCAGTAACCTTTCATCATAACATTACACATACTTTCTCTATCTTGTTTTCTAAATATTTTACGAGTATATGGAATTTTGATAAAATTCATTTTATTTCAAAATGAAATATTGATAATTTTTGAAAATTCCTTATACTCAATTTCTGCTTCTCATTGCTTTGTTTAAAAAAACAAATTAATGTCAAAACCAGGATACCAGAAAATTTTCTGTAAATTATTTTTCATGGGATAAAATTAGAGTTAAATCTGAACTATCAAAAATTTATTTTTAGAAAAAATATTTCAATTTTGTTCTGGAATTGAATTTTGAGTTTTGCTCTTGGAATATGAAATTATTATATGTTTTTTCAGAGGGCTTACAATCAAAACAAATTCGTGTACTCGTTGTGTATAGTAATTTTTGCAGCATTCTTCTTGGTATTTTTATGATGCAATTTAAAGGTTTGATTAATGTAAAATATTTGTTTTCTTTTTCTATATTGCGAAAGGTAAGACTGGTGTATTGCAGCTCAGACTGCTTACAATGCTTTGTCACTTTATATTATTATCATTATTATCAAGCTTCGTTATTTTGAGACACCTTTTGGAAAAGAAAAAAAAATAAATAAAAATCATGCGCATTGCAAATTGTTCGAAAAATTTTTCGTACTTCTGAGAAGGAAATTGTGTAAATTCTTCTCTCGATTAAAGTAGTTATATATCTTAAAATTATTATCACTGTTAAGTTTTTTGCAGTATTAAGTAAAATTAGTTAATTTATTGAAATAATTTCTTTACATAGTAGTCGCACTGAGTAGGGTGTCTAAAAATGTAATAATTATATACCATTTTTAGCCTACAAATTGCTCAATAATTGTAGGCAATTTAAGGTTTCCTGTGTTTGAAGAATTCTTTAAATAAGAAATTATTTTATGGAAAAAATAAGGTTTTTTTTTGTAAAAAAAACATAAAAATTGTTATTATTCGTGTTTGATTGAAATTATCGTTTTAGTTAAAAAAATAAATAATTTATTTTTGAATTGAAAATTCAATATTTTTGTATTCTTATTGAATAAGAGTTAAATATTTCTTAGATGGTTAAATTATTGAAAATGTACTTTTCGGAGATTACTGAGCAGTTTGTAAAATATAAAAATATTTTCCGTCGAAAGCTTTTTAGAATTAAAGTAAAATAAATACAGAATTAAAGTTAGGACAAGAATATTTGAAAAATATACTAAATAATAGGACACCCTGCTTACTTCTTGCCAATAAAATAAACCACATCAGATTTCAATCGCAAAAAAAGGATTTAAATAGAATTTAAATTAGTGACATTTAGTCATCGTTTTTATTAACTTTCATAATGAAAATTGTACACAAGAGAATAATTTATTCCTAAAAAACCTGACGATTATTATTATTATTATTATTATTATTATTATTATTATTATTATTATTATTATTATTATCTAGAGTTAGTACATAATCTGGTAATGAAATTTTTAATCCAAAGCAAATAATCTATTTATACCTGGGGTCATATTTATACCACAAATGTTAAACTTATACACTTAATCTATCCTTATAGATAGAAAAGTTGACTGATTAATTTTGTTATCCTTGAAATGAAAAAAAAACCAAACTGCCATTCGATAAAAGTAGAAAAATTTTTTGATTATTGAAAGTTTAACAAAAGAGGTATGAACACGGCCCATTCGCTATGGGGAAAAAAAAGAAAAATGTTAATTTTATGATTCTATTTCATTATATACAAATATACCAGTTTGTAGTTTGTTTTTCTAGAGAAAATGCAATGACGTATTCGTAAAGAAGATCATTTTTCTGAATAGAAGAAAAAAAAAATGCTGTTGCATTTGAAAAATAATAATAGCGAAACAGAAAGACGGTCTTTAATTTAAATTTATATAATTTTTGTGGTTGCGCTTTTTCATTATTATACACGCTTATATACCAGTCAATTTATACCCTCGAGATTATTGAATATAAAAGTAGGATCTAACTCTAGTTTGTAGAAAAAGTCCTTGTATATACGAATGTAATATATGTGGATAATCTAACGATTATAATATATATATATAGTATATATATATAAATCGTTTGAAAGCTGATGGCAATAAAAACGACTCTCCAAGTTATATAAATAGATATCGAACATTTTCGTATAATAACCCGAAAAATAACGTACGTATTATGCAAATAGGTACTGTAAATTCATATTTCTGGAATAAAATTAGGCTATAATGGCATACAATCAAGTCGCTGTATTACTTGATCTGTTTTTCCTTTGCATTGTAGGCAAAAAAGCATGTGCACGACTATAACTAAATTTCAATAATTTCCTTTCTTTTTAAATCACACTAATCAATTTTGCACCCCATTCATCATAACTATCGCTATAATGTATCTATACTAACTTAGTTCTTAAGTGTAATATTGTACTTAAATTAATGAAAATTTTTCTCAATTTTTAAAGTACATAATAAATGTGCATTTTCCTTTTTTCAAATAATTAAAAAAAAACACTGTTTATATTATTTGGAAATTAATATTTATAAATAATCACAAGTTTTTCAAAAATCAACCAATTTTCCAAATAACAGAATATAAACTTTTTAAAACAAAATTATGATAAACTGTATACTGACTAGATTCTTACAAAGAATAATTTTTTTTCAATAAAATTAATTAAAGTAAAAAAAAGCATGGTACACTTGCGAATTAAATTTTTTTAACTGTCTATTATAGTCAGTAAACAATTTTGCAAAATAAAAATAAAAAAATATATTACTCTAGAGAAATAATGATGAAAAACGTATTTTGAAAAAGTGTGTACAGTGATATAGTAAAACGAGAAAAGAAATAATTTGCATGCATTAAAAAATAATGAACAGATTAAGTATAAATGAAAAAAAGAATAAATAATTTGCATGTATACCTGCTTCCCAGTAGATAAATAATATTAATTTGTTGCATGAAAACAACAGGGTTGATCTGACAACGTCCTGAACAAGAACCTGCTCGACTTTACAAAAGGTGCTAACTGTAATCAGGACTGTTATCCTTGTACGTGATGAACGTCGTAGTTCATAATTTTCTTAAAAAATATTAAATAATTTATGACTGCGTAGAATATTTATATAAATATGTATGTAAATAAATGTTAATTGTCTTTAGTTTTTTTTTAATGCTCAGCAATGTTAATGTTGGTCGTTTTTGTCTTCATTCAACATTGGATTTTTAAATAACGATTTTTCGATAATGCTCGACTGTGAAATTGTCAAAATGTATTTAAAAAAAGGAAGAAGAAAAAGAAGCAAATGTATGATCAATTGTTAATGCTATTCGTCATTTAGAGAATAATAATAATTATTATTCTTATATCTAAAAACATTGTTATATTAATGTCGACTCTAAATGTTCAAGAATTTTTATCTCTCATAACAGTTCTAATTGGAATTTAATTTGCAAAAATTGTTTTGTGATTAAGATTTAAGTTAAATTTTAAAAAGCAAACATTTTTTATATCAAAAAGTTTTTAAAAACAAAAAAAAAGTTTAATAATAAGAATAGTAGTACAATTGATAAAACAGAGGCTTTTTTTCATTTTAGATACGTAAACAAAATAAAATTCTAATATTAGCTTATAATATTAGTAATTAGTTACAATAATTAAGGATCTAATTAAAAAAAATTTATGATCCTAAGTATGAAAAGAAAAATGTTTTAAATTAGAGATAATCTTTCTTTCAATGAGATTATTTATTTTTTGTATCTTCTTATAAGCATATAGTATTTATTAATGCCAAAGAACTGCATTTACATGAAGTCTTTTTTATCCACTTTTGAAATCTATAGATTTATAATAATAATTAATCAATGTGCGTAAAAGAATAGTAAATCTTTTGTAAAAAAAAAAATTTTTTAAACTTATTTTGTACAAGATAAATTAGTGCCAATTTTATTTTTTAAATATTCATTACACTTAACAAATTATTGTTTGCAACAAATGAGATTATATTTCAATAATATTATAGAAACCTTTAGAGAAAGAGAGATACAGTCAGTTCTAAAAAAAAAATAATCAAATTCATTTCAAGATTTCTCAATGTTCAATATTTATAATTTACCTTCAATTTTAAAACATTCCGAAGACAAAAAATATTTTTATCTTATACATAAAATTAATCTTTTCATTTAGATTTAATTTTAATGTTTTTCATTTTAAAAATAGAGAACAAAAATTTCATTTTGTATAAAAAAAGTCATTCTATAGAAATTGTCTTTGTTATTTAATTATGTTTATAATATTTGCAATAAATTTTCAAATTAAAGGACATCAAATATCGTATAAAATTTCAGATAAGTCAATTATCAATAATTATATTATATCCATGATCAAAAATTAAACACAGAAGAAATATTTATTGTCAAATATAGGAATGATAAATTATTTATATATAGATATTTCCTAACAGTCTTCAATAATTTCTTTGTCAATAAAATGGTTTCAATATATATGTAAAAAAAATTGAGTGCGTTTAGCGTAACTTTGCAAATTATACACTCATGTTACTCATGTACATAACAGTTTATCTTTGTGCGAAAGAATAAACATTTAAAACACAAACATTTTTGATTTAATTTGGAAAAAATAGAATTTTGCCTTATACTAATCAAAAAGATTAAAAAAATTTCATTTCTAGATAAATAATAAAATATTTGTAATTAATTTAAAAGAAATCGGTAAGTATTTTTTATACAGATTTATTATCATGTAATCACATAATATTGTGTATAATATTTTTAGATACATCTACTTTACATCTCGGTGATTCGAAATATAATTCTAATTTATTTACAGAGACGGTGCAGAAAATATTCAATAATAATACTTAATAAAAATTTGTTTATATTACATTATTTGTCGAAAAATCTCGACTGGATTCTCAACATACAAAGATATAAATTCATTTTGTATACATGTGTACACGACTGATATATATGTATATATTTATATATATAGATATATATAATTTTATATTTGTCTGCGACAGGGTATCGTCGTGTTTTCCTCCCTAATTAATTAATTAATTCATTAAACGTATTATACAAATGATAGATTATCCTGATTCAATTATTAAGTAAAACTAAAAAATTGTACAACTTTGGAGGAATGTCGTGATGGCTTAGCACCAACATTATTATAAATCGTTTAGTCGCACTGCAATGGCACTTTACAAATTAAATAATGTCTGTCAATATATATATATATAATATATTTTTATTTATATATATGTATATATATAAATCTTTTAATAATTGTAAAACCCTACCCAATAACGTATTAACAATAACAACGGTGGATTTACCTTTTTTTAATTTAGTTCATCCACTTACGGCAGGTAGGCGCACCACAAGCACATGGTATCTTGTGTTGATCATCTTCGATATCAAATTTGTAATCGTATGATAGCTATAAAAGTATAAAATTTTAATGTAAAGTACATTTGAGATGTATTTGTTTAAAGATAAAATGAAACTTACCTCTTCGCCACGTGAGATTCTTCGCTTAGCAAAGATAATTATTCTGAGATCCCTATCGACTTCGACGATTTCAGTGGTGCAATTAGGACTGCAAGAGTGATTAATATAACGAGCAAGTCCTCCACATAGAGTTGCGTCTATTACGCGATCCTCGTCCAAACGGAACATATAAATACCGCGATTCTGTAAGAAAATTAATTTTTAAAAATTCAATAAAAAATGATAAAACATTGAAAATGAGTAAGATAATTTTTGCCTACTCACCCTAGCCTCGTATTGCTTTTCCCTCGTTTCAGCAACTTCTGATCGGATCATTTCACCGATATATTCAATAACCATTGTGTGTTTCTCTAAATCTCTCGCTGCATAGAGACCCAAACCTTGAATTTTCGATCTCGCCAAATAAACATTATTTCGCCATTCCTGTTTCATTTTCTTATATTGCGAACTTTTAGAATGTACAAATTGTTTCGAATAGGGACATGTGGCTTCACCAGCAACATTTGTAGTTGGTGCAAAATTCTGTCGTGCTGATGATCCCGTTCTCTGTGTATGCGGCCGTTTCCAAGGTAATTGATTTTTCAGCCTCGCCTCCGTTCTCGCGCTACCAGTTGGATTAATTGCCAATGGCAACTCAAGAAGAGGATTTCTACCATATTTAAATCTATAATCAGTCAGTGTTTCAATTCCCGGTAGACTTTCCAATACACGAACCACCGCGGGCTCAGTGAGACCAAAAAGATCTTCGCCAGTGATGTAACGTTGAAAGAGTTGGACATTTTTTTCGTCACGTCTCAACTGTGCAAGTGGCTCGAGAATTCTATTCCAAACGGCACGTGGCGTTGCGTCACGTAATTCAAGATCTTCCTGCGGTGGCTCCTGAACGAGTACGCGAAATTCTGGTTTTCCCGAGACATCGTGAATCGAACAAACGTAACGACAACGTTTATTTAGTGTTCTCATACTCCAATAGAATCTCACAATTTTATAGCCAACGGGATAAATGTGATTTGGTGTGTGGAAATTTGCGAGTTGATGTGGAAGTAGTTGTCCAACGCTCAGGAAAATTAAACTTCCAACGCGAAGAAGATGATTGTGTTCCGAGTGATGCATCACAGAAGCTACTTGTCTATTTTCATCACGATTCACGTAAACTCGCCTGTATACAGAGAGTGTTGTTAGTTCTTCGTCTTTATCATTTTTCGATGCATGTTGAGAGCAGAAGGTGTTCTGAAACATTTAAATAGATCATAAATAAATGCAAAATATATTAATAATTTTTTTAATTATAAATTTTTTTACTGTTCTAAACACCTTGCTCTTGAAGAAAACACAATTATCTTTAACAGCACAGCCAAGATGATAATAGTTGGTACACCGTGTTTTATAGCATCTGACAGAAGCACCTGGTTTCTCGCAAACAACACAATTTAAGGTGAGAGTGTGCTGTAGAGCTTCGTCAAATTGCATTAGTGCTCCATTCACCGTTTCAAAGACTTCTTGCGCCCAAAGAGCACAATTTAAATGGACCCATTTATCAACATCAAAATTTAATAAACGTGCTGGACCATCGGCAGCTCCATCACCTTGATTTTGACAAAAGATGCAACGCCTCGTATCTTCAGCTTTTGCTGGACTCACAGTCACTCCCATACGGAAAAGCATCTACAATTATTGAAAAAATTAATAAATGATTTTAAAAAACTTATTTTTTGTTGGAAAATTCGTTGAAAAAAATATTTTAATACAAACCTCGGTGATTTCACGTTCATTAAGTTTCTTATATTTGACAGATGGTTGCAATACACCTGCTGACCAGACTTTGTAACGATCGCCCTTATGAACTTTAACTGGTGGATGCGGTTCATTAGAATTGATCATTGGTTCATCCAAGACTGAAACTGATCTCTTCTTGCCAAAGCGACCATCTTGCAAATCAATTTCATTTTTACATCTGTCATAATCCGGTAATAATCGTTTCAATCGTAGAATATTCTCGTCACGATCCAACGATTGTTTTCCAAAGAATTTCTTGTCCTGGAACTTCTTCAGATTCTCCTCGATGAATTTGCTGTCTGTTTTTTGACTAAGGTGATCCACAATCGCTGCCGCCTGCAAAAAATAATAACAGAAATTGTTAATTGCGAAAATAAATCATAAAAATAATAATAAATATGTAAAGGAATACAAACCTTATCTTGAGAAATGTTGGAAGTTTTATAAATAACGGAAAATTGAAAATAACACTCGGCAGAACAAAAGCAAACTTCATCGGCAGGTTCCAAATCATCTTTGCTCATTAGAGAAAATTCAGAAACCCTTTTTCTAATCAAAGTATTTAAAATAACAACATCACAATGCCGACAAAATTTGGCAGCTCCATTTAAAATACTTTGAATATCAATCGGTGCTGTAAATAAATAATAAAAATGAAATTGTAATCAAAAGCATTTTTAAATAGAAAATTATTTGTAATACGATTTTGAAACATACCTCCTTCCTTTCCGTCTTTTCCCTTTGTTCGATAAAGACCCAATTTCTGACTAGGTGGGGTAGTAGTACGCTCTTCAATCTGATAATCTGTGGGTGCAGGACAATTTAAAATATTTGCCAAATCTTTGAGAACTCCTAAAATATCATCAGATGATTGACTATTCAATGTCACTGTAACATTGATGTTTCCAGTTTCTTTTGCTGTTACCGGAGATGTTTTACCAATTCTAAAAGAAAAAATAAATATTCATATATAATTTTAAAAAAAAATTAGTAAACTTAATCCTTCAAAGAATATTTTTATACAGTAAATTATATTTCGAAAAATTTTGATTCTTACCTGGAAGTTCCCAAATTTTCTTTATCATTATTAGCAATTTCCTTGATAAATGATCCCGGTCCAGCTCGAATCGGAACTGGATTAAGTAAAGGTATTGGAGGTGAATAACGATTTTGATTTTCCGAATCATCATCAGACTCATCATCCATAATAACTCGAAGATACGGAAATTTATGAAGAGTATCAGGAATCACACATTCAGGAGATGAAGAACTAACAACTGTATCCGGAGTGTCAATGTCTCTGGTGGCTGACATATTTTCTTTTCTGTCATCTGCTAAGAAAGAAAGTAATTAGTATCAATTTTTCAAAAAATTTTATGTAGAAAATTTAATTTTTTTTTAATAAAGTACAATGAACTTACTGTCGTCAAATTTCAATGGTGGAAATTCTTGATCATAAAATCCTCTTTGTGTTGAAACTGGTGGAACAGGTGGTAGGGGATCCAATTCGCCAAAGGGTTGAGTATTATAATGATCAGAGATACCCGAAAGTCTTGCATTTCCATAAGAACCAATTAAATCACCTGTTCTTGTATTATAATCTTTTGCAGTACCAATTTTTGATAATTCACCAGATCCAAAAACAGGACATACGCCATAATTTCTACTTAAGAGAGGTTCCAATACAGCCATTCCTGGTAATTGTCTTAATTGTAACATTACATTGTCGATATATGTATCGTAATCTTCAACTAAACGTGGTTCTTTTCTCGCACGCTTCTTTTGTGGACCCATCACTGCATCCTTACCCTGACTTTGTCTACGTTTTTGCTGATACTGCCTTCTTTTCAATTTTTTGAGATCTAGAATGACAAAAAATTGTTAAATTGGTTTTACAACAATTAAAAAAAGAAAATAAAAAAATAATTACACAAAAGGGAAAACTAATGACCACTCAGAAATATCATAATTAAAAAATACGTTTTATCATTTTCATCATTCTTTTTAATAATAATTAATTATTGTATTTTTTGTCCCATTATATTGATTTAAAATTTTGATTTTTCCGACTTACAATAATAATAATTATTATGAATGACTAATAACTTGTTTACAAATTACTTTTCCTTTATCTAACTTCAAATAATTAGAATTATTTGTACACAATACAAATTTTTCCATTTCTTAATATAATTTATTTAGTTGATTGTGAGACTTGTTTATGAACAGTTCTATTATATTATATTTTTTTCCAAATTTTATTTTTTGTTTAATATTATATTAAAGCAGACTGATAAATTAAAAAATATTAAATAATTAATATATTATAATTAGAGGAACTAACCATTTTTGTCATCGATGGTTCCATCAACGAGCTCTTCTTTGGCAGGAAGAAAGTCTTTGGTATCGTTAAGTTGAACAGAGTTACCACCAGGGAGAACTTCGTCAAGAATTTCTTTCTTCACTTCCATCAAAGGCACTGTGTGTGACGTAATTGTACTTTGTGGCATCTGAGCTTGAGGACGACTTAAAGGATGAGTCGTCATCTGAGGCACTGACGGTTGTATTGTACTAACAACTGGAGACTGTTGCTGAGTCTGTTGAACTGGAGTTGGAGGTTTTGGAGGTAGAACTAATTGTTGTTGTTGTTGTTGTTGTTGTTGTTGAGCCTCACTAACAACAGCCTGCGTGATTGGAGTTGAAAATTGTTGAGCCGTTTGCACAAGATTGGAAACAACTTCCGAATTTGACAAAGCAGCTTTAAGAGCAATTGTCGTAACTATTGGTTTTGTTTGAACAATATGTCTGGCAACAGTGACAGGAGTCGTGGCTCTTTGTTGCACTTGTGTGACTTGAGCAATCACCTCAGAGGTTGATACAATTGAAGATTGTGATGAAACATTTTCCAGTGGTGTCGTAGAGCTTTCGGAAACTACAGGTGGTGTTGGTATTGTTTTAGTTACAGGTGGAGTTTGAATACCACCGGGAATTGTTAATGAGAGATTTTTAATATGCTGATTGTGAACTTGTTGCTTAGCTAATGTTTCCAATGATCGTGCAATTGTTTGAACGTTTAGGGAAGACGTTGTTACTGGTTGTTGCAAGGGAGAAACTTTTGGTGTTTCTTCCTTAAGTATTGTACTCTGCATTTTAGGTGTTGTGATTGCGTGTGACACGAATGAGGTTTCTTTTGTTAATACTTGCTTCGTGGGAGGCGTTTTACTCACTGGGAGTTCGTTTAATAGGGGTGGGAGTAAGGAAGACGGCGTTGGAGGCACGGGTCTGGCTAATTGAGCTTCTAGAGATGGGACCAGAGGTAAACTTGGTCCTTGACTACTTGATGATGATAGTGTTGTGGTAGCGCAGGCTGTGTTTTGCAAAAGTTGTTTCAATAAAACGTTTTGCGATTCCTCCAGTCGATGTGATGTTGCTCCAATTTTGTTGATATCAGAATCGAGTCTCGTTGTTGAATTCTCACTTGAATGCAATTTTGATTGAAGTCCATCTGGTTCTTTCTTGATTGTAGAGCTCATTGGTAACGCATCGGGTTCGACATTTTTACTGTCGATTGGCAATGATCCAGTCTTGAATTGTACATCTCCTGATGTTAATTGAGAATGCAATAGAGTTGGTGCTTGCGATAAAGTTGATTGTAAAATGCTGGTAGTAACATTAACTGGTGTTGTTGTTGCTGTTACCATTGGTGGAACTATTGTCCTGACACATTGCATTGACGAACTCACCTACAAAATCATAATTACATTATTATTGATGAAAATAAAATAAATACAAAAATTCATATTCTAAAACAATTATTAGAATAAAAAGAAATTATTAATTATTTGTCAATATTACTGATAAAATTGGAAAGTTATTTCTCAAAGATGAAAAATTAAATTTGTTTATCAAAATTCAAAAATAGTTTTCAATTAAAGAAATTTGTTTAACTTAATTCTTAATTGAATAAATGTTGAAAACTGTTCTTTGTTAAGATTCTTATCGACTGGAATGTCAATATGAAAACGTTCTTATCTACTTTTGTGAATTGGGGACAAGTTTTGTATACTTGATTAGAAAAAGAGTTACACATGAAAAGTTTTTCATAAAAGTCAAGACTTGGTTAATGTAGAAATAATAAAGGAAAATAATATTCTTGAAAATTGTAAATTTTAAAATTTCTAATTCTAATTTGTAAAACCTATTGAGTTGTGTGCAAATTGTTTGTTTATACTCAACTGTCAAGGATATAATGTTTCAAATTAGATTTTTAAATTGAGAATAATATTTGCTAATTAAATTGAATGTAACATCATAATTGATTTAATTTTTATATATTAATTGTAATTAAAATAATAACTAAAAAAATAATTGTGATTGAAAAAATAAAATTGAATTCAATGAAATTTAATTTAAAAGAAGAAGACCTAAAAAGCACTTTTGTTTAATTGTATTGAAATAAAATGGCCAACTCACCGCAGCGGAAGTCACATTAACGAGAACTCTAGATGGTACGGAAGAGCAGCTGGAGCTGACTTGCAGAATTGCTTGAACATTCTGCGCTCGCTGTATAGACGACGAAGGCATCACAGAACTTAATAAATTACTGGTATGAGTCAAATGTGTATTAGCTCTTCCAGCCATTGTTGGTTTCGCTGAATTAGTTCCAGCGAGCATTGCATTCAACATTGCGTTTGAAGTGATTGAAATTCCAGTTGGCCTTGGAGCAGTATTTGTTGGCGTATGAAGAGCAATTGTACTCGTTTGTGTTTGAATTCCACTAACAGTCACACGTAGAAAATGATCAGAGGGTAATGATTTCGCTAAATTTGACACTAGAGTAACAGCCGTATTGGTTTCTTTAATTTGTTGCGTATTAGTTGAAATAATTTCCGAGTCCGATTTCCCATGAACTGTGCTTGTTATAACAGGAGTTGTTGTTTGCAGACGATTTCCTTGAACATTCATTGATGATAAAGGAGCAGAAATGCTGCTTGTTGTTGCTGTAGTTCCGGATTTGGAATTTGATGTTGATGATGGAGACAAAAGAGTTACAATGTTTGTTGTAGTTGTTACGTGACTTTGTGAATGATTTGATTGATATGAAGAGAGAAGATTTCTCAATTGTTGAGATCCATTTTTAATGTTTTGGGTCAAATCGGAAGGTTTAGAAAGTGGAGAGTGATGGGAAACTGAACTTGTAGCTCTTTGTAATTGTGCAACTGTTACAACTGTTGGCATTATAGGTACTGTATTTTGTGTATTTGAGGATTCTCTTCGTTGGACAACTTGTGGAGTCTGCGGCGAAGTTCTTTCAGTTCGTTCAGTACCTGAAGTTCCTTGTTCCAAATCCGCTGATGAATCCTGAAGAATATTTGCTGGTAGAGTACCTGATGGAGTTGGTACTTGATAGTGCAGATTTGTTTTCTGTTTATCCGCATTCGCCATTTCGGGCTTCAAAGATATAATACCATCCAACAAATCCAGTATTTCATCTGGAGATTCTTCCATTAGAATTTTTTGCACCGCGGCGTTTTTCCTCGAAAATGAATTAGCGTCATTATCTCTATTCAATGAAATTGGATTATTGTTCGTTTCTGGCTCCAATCGGGGTTTTACTTTTTCCTGTTGTGAATTCTCCGGTTTTTCTTCGCGAACAACACTTTCGGTAACGGGTTCGGAATCATTTTCCAAAATATGAACAAGAGACTCGTTGTCCTCAGTGACTGGTGAAATGTGTCTACCTTGAAAGGAATTTTCCATGGTAGGTGGATTGGGATCTTCTTTTTTTAAATTTCTCTCACCGTTTGCAATATTTTCTGCAGGATTATGTAAAGCTGCGAGTTCAAGTTCAAGTTCGTCGGTGGTATTCGAAGAGTCGGGTTTTCTATCCTCTTTTGTTTCAATTTTTGGAGTTTTTTCAACTTCGATTTTTCGTTCAACACAATTTTCCTTTTTCTTTTCCTCTTCACGTGAAGTTCCAGCTTTTGAGTCGATTAACTTTGTGACAGGTTCTTTTTTCATTGCTTCAGGAATTAATATTTTTGAAGTTGACATTTGCATTTTCTGAATTGGAATATTAATTTTTGGGTTTATATCGGGTTTGATGGCTTTTGATACTTCCTCGATTGTTTTCTCTATTCCTGTTTTTAGTGAAACTGGTGGTGCATCAGCTTTTGAATCTTTTAAATACGTTCCTTTCAATGTTGCCTGAGTGAGTCGTGCGGCAATTTTCGCATCAGTGACTATTGATCCCATGGTTAGTCCTCCACGATTTTGATTATCAAATGAAGATGTTTCCTTTGATGTGTAGGATGCAAAAGTTGTGTTTGATTTTGGAGCAGGTTTTTCAATATTAACACTCGTGGTGGCATGAATGGAAGATGATTTTGCAACAGTGAATGGATTAGCTCGAGATGAGACAATTGTTACCGTAGATACTTGAGGATTTGTTACTGTACGTGGTACTGGTTCGTGGTATAATTTCGGCTTTTCTAAAATCGACTCAAGAACTTTTGTATCAGATTTTTTTTCAATTTTAATTTCATTTGTAATTTTCTCTTTTAATTTTTCCTCGATGACTTTATTCACATTTTCTGTTCGAATATTTTGATCTGGAATTTTACCACCTTTTGTTGGTATAACAGCTTGAGTTTGAGGCAAAATTGTGTGTAATTCTTCTTGATCGGAAGATTCTGGTGTATCAGTAACAGCAGCGAGACGTTTTCCAGTTTCAACCGGTTTCACAATATTCAGATGTAGATCTTTTTTATTCCTTACATGCAGCTGGACATCTTCATCTCCAAGATGTACCTCAGGTTGAGTTTCACTTGGTTCAAGTCCCAATATTTGCATTTGAAGATTGTGATTCTGATTGCTGTCATTTATGAGAGCGTTACTGAGGGAATCATTGCTGTCAATGAGAACCATGTCCTGGGCAAAAAGTCCGTTTAAAGTGTACTCATCCTGATTATCAGCCTCCAATGGACATATCACATCTTCTAGATTTGTATCTCCAAATTGTTCAATATCATTGATGTCATCATTGTCTCCCTGTGCAGCGGAACTCAAGGTCACTTCGGAATTAACAACATTTTTATCATCGTCATAGTCGGTTGTATCAGGAATTGGTTCTAATTTATCATTCGGACTACTTAGAGCACTATCGGTCAAAGAAGTTGTTGCCTTGGGTTCAATTGTAAGCGGGGATGTTTGCGGTGGAGTATGTGAGTCATCGTCAAAATCATTGTAATCCGCACAGACTAGAGAATTTTTAAGTGATGTTTTTCTATGCACGAGTGTTGGAGGATTTGGTTTTTCATCAATACTTAAAGTTGGCTCGGTTGTTTTGCCCTTGCTGGTCTCAGGTTTTGTAGACCACATGGGTGATCCTCCTCTGAGTCCCAATTTAAAATAGCCAAATCTTCCGAAACTTCGAGGCACCGGTAGAGGATTGACGGGATTATGTGGATTTCCTCCACCTCTTGAATGATCCATGGTATTTTGTTCTTGTTGTTGAATTTGTTGATCATGATTCATGGAATTTTGTGAATAATTTCCATGTGGAGTGTGAGGTGTATGTGGAGTTCGTGGTGTACCAGGATTTTCAACACTCTGAGGTCTGTCAGGCATTGCAGGACTATTTCCACTGGATTGTCTTCTTTGCATTTGCATTGGAGAACCACCGACCATTGGACTGCGAGGCATTGGCGAATTGGGTGTCTGACAAGGCGGTGGATGATGAGAATTATTCAATTGATGTTGAAGCATTGGAGAGGTAGATGGATGATTGTGTACACGAGAACCCATGGGACTTGGAGGTTGTGATGATTGATTAAGTTGCTGTTGAATCATTGGTGATCCCATTGTTTGGACTACTGGACTACGTGCCAGTGGAGAACTTGGCGGTTGTTGTCCGTAGTTTTGTTGCATTTGCTGATGAAGTTGTGGACTAGGAGAACTTACAGGTTGATTAACCATGGGAGATGTTGGCGGTTTCTGTAGCATATGCTGCTGTTGCTGTTGCATTTGTTGCTGTTGTTGTTGAATTTGCTGCTGCTGCAATTGTTGCTGTTGTTGAAGTTGTTGCTGCAACTGATGTGATTGTTGTAAAGGCTGTTGCTGTAAAGTTTGCTGTTGTAAATTTTGTTGTTGCTGTAAGTTTTGTTGTTGTAAATTTTGCTGCTGCAAAGTTTGTTGCTGAAGCTGCTGTTGGTTTTGCTGTTGTTGCAATTGCAGAAATTGTTGCCTCTGCTGCTGTAGAAGTTGCTGTTGCTGCTGTTGTTGTTGTTGCTGCTGCTGCAAGAGTTGCTGCCTGTGTTGGACCATCTGCAACGTTCTCTGAGTGATATTTTGTTGATTATCCTGTGGAACGACTTCATGTTGCTGTTGAATCATTTGCTGTCTGTGAAGCATTTGCTGATGTTGCTGCTGAGTCAATATTGGTTGCGATTGTGGTTGTGGACTGCCGAGTGGTGATCTTTGTCCATAAACAATTCCGGCTTGTAAAGTCATTCTAGGTCTTTGATTTATTTCTCCCACGGCGGGTGGACGAACAAAACGTTGCGTAATGCCGTGCATTCGAATGTTCTGATCGCCTATAATTTGTTGTGGTGATCGAGCATCGGTGGTGAATGCTCCGGGACTTGTAGTGAGTCTTCCGGTAATTACGGCTCGATGTTGTGGTGATGTCATTCTCGTGGCTGCTGGTACACAAATTCCAGGTGACGGCATTGCTCCAGGACTGAAGGGACTCTCATCACCTTGTGAGAGAGGAGTTCCAATTCTCGGAGATGGTTGCATATTGTGAGGTGACATTGTTCCAGGATTTGTTTGTGAATTTCCTGGACTGTGTTGTAACATGGGTGGATTTGGACTGTGTTGCACGATTGAATTTGCCGGTGAATGTTGAATCATCGTGGAAGAAGCACTTCCAGGACCTGGACTGTGTGAAACAAGCGCCGCTGGACTGCTGAGTGGTGACGAGTGTTGAGATGGTGACATCATAGGCGAGCATGATTCATTAGATTGTGGTTGGAGTTGACGTTGCTGTTGTTTACTGTGATACTCCTGCATCAGCATTCCGTGTTGTCGAGTTTGTTTTCTGCTTGCATCCAAGTGTTTTTGTAGAATACCTTGTTCGCTTGTTATTCGAATCAGTTCAGCGTTATCATTTTCTGTTAATTCATTACCTGATTTTCGCAACTGACGTTGTTTACTGTTCAGTGACTGGAATAAAAAAATCGATTAATTCGATATATAATAATTTTGATTATTACTGATTTTAATTGTTTAATACCTTTTTAAGTTTTCGCAGTTTCTGGACTTCAGTTTCATAAAACTTAAGTTGTTGACCGAGTATTTGATTCTGGTGATTCAGCCACTGCTCATACTGCAACTGTACTTGTCGATCTTGTTCAGTAATAATATTTTCCGGAGGTGCAGGTGGCGCCGGCAGTTGAGGAATATTAAACGTCACAATGCGTGCTAGAATAAATATTATTCAAATAAAGAGAAATATTAATTTATAAATATTCTTTTGAAATATAAAATCTCAATTCAAATACTAACGTTCAGGGGGTGTTTGAGTGGAAATCGGTTGTCTTGCAGCTTGAACAACTAATTTGCTCGGATCAGGCGTTGCTGGAGACCAGTTTGCACCTGGAGATGAAGGTGGTCTTGGAGCACAAGCTGGTCTTATGGCAGTCACTCCACCGGTGACAGTTGCAATTCCTTGAGGTGGTGAAGCAAGAGCTTCAGCTCTCAGTCTCTCAAATTCACTGTCACTCAATAGAGCTCCACTGGGTGTTGTTGTGTCAGCTTGTTGTTGTTGCTGTTGTTGTTTTTCTTGTTCACGCTTCTCTTGCTCTAAAAGCTCCTCCAGTAATAAAGGTTGCTCCTGTGAACACGACTGCTAATCGTTAATATCAATCCCCAAAATGGTATTTGTGAAATTTAAATCACGTTTCAACAAATAAATTATTACTTGCAATTAATATATTATAAAAAAAAGTGTCAACAAAAAGCATGCGAAAGCTTTAACACAAAAAAGTTTAAAATTTAGTATTTTTAAAATAAATAATAAAATATTTCGTATTTATACATAATTCATTAATAATTGAGTTGATATAGAATAAAAAAAAGTTTTTGTCATTAAAAATTGGTAGGGTTTGTGCATATTTTTCGTAAACAAGGGTGCACTTAATTGATTTAATGCCCGCGTCTTGCTCACCTGCAGAAGCAAAGGTCTTCGTTGAGGATGAGGTGACATTGATGGCGTACCGGTATGAACAATAGGGACCATGGGCGGACCCGGAACTGGCACTGGGTGCCCTATGTGAATTGGGGGCCGCGTCAAACCCCGCTCACCTGGGCATAGCCCCATCTAGACATGCACCAACACCAATGCATTGCATACACACAGGCCAAAATACCATTTTACCAGCCAATGTTTATATTGTTATTAAATCACTCATCTACATTTACACTCATACCGGGTTGTTTTTTTTATCTCAATTCTTTGCAAATATTTAATAAAAATTCTAGACAAATCGGATTAATTGAATAATGACTAAAATAGTATTTAATTTTTATTGAAGCTAAATAAACAATTTTATTTGCCAAACTCAACTTTTTAAATCAATGAATTTTCAAAATATTAGTTGAAAATTAGGTTAATGTAAAAATTAATTTTCAGGCAAAACTTTTTTCACTTGTGAAAAATAATTGATAGAGCACAAACCTGTATTGGTCCTCGATATGGAGGCGGAGGTCCTGGATAAGGAGGTGGTGGCGGTGGTGGCAAAGGCATTCGCGGACCGATCATATGACTGACTGACACTATTCTTCCCGCTACATTCTGAACTCCAGCGACTCTCATTCCAAGACGTTGATGTTGTTGAACTGTAAACGAAATAAATTGGAAATTGTAAGAAAATTATCTGTACATTTGTAGAAATTAAAAAAAGAAGAATGTTTTACCTTGCATATGCGTTTGAGCAATGCGTTGTGGATGACCAGGGAAAGTCGATGGATAACTGACAGTAACTGTGTTTGTCGATGTGACAACTCCAATAGTACCATCAGGTGCAAGCAATCGAGTTCCTGGTGCCACGGGTCTTCCCATTGCAGCCGCTGTTTGTAAGTGTTGATTCAATTGCTGTATTGCCGCTTGTGGATGAGTTTGTGGTATAACACCTGCTGATGGTTGAGAAGTTTGCGCCGCTGGTGCAATACCTTGCACCGTTTGTGTTTGCGTTGGAGCAGAAGTTGTCTCCGTTGGAGTTTGTACAGTGCTCGTGACAATTTTCTCATTCGATTCTGTATGCGCCGTGGTTGTTCCTCCCAAATCTTCAGGCTTAGGTTCCACTTTACTGTCTTTCTTCTGTTTCTCCTCCTTTGGTTCAACTTCCACTTGCTCCAGATCCAAATCAAGAATATTTGTCTTTCCACCTCCAGTTAAATTGTCCAACTCCGGATCCGCGTATTCCAAAATGTTAAAATCAGCTCCCATTTCAGCTGAAGATACAAAGTGAAACATTAGCAATATTTAAATTTTACTATCATTTATAGTTTAAATAAAAAAAATTAATAGTTTACTTACCAAGAAGTTCATCGTCATCTTCGCCTAAATCTCCTAATATTGCACTTACGCTCTCGACCTCACCCAGAGGAGCTTCTCTTTCTTGCTCGAGTTCCTCTAATTCGGCAGTGACATTATCTGGTATTTCGGAAGCTTCCGGTGTATTGACATTGGTTTCATTAACTCTAGTGGAAATGACAGGCGGTCGAATCATGCTTTGAGCGCCTAACATTCTTATTCCTTGACTGATCGCATCCTGACCAGCTCTTACGATACGCTGTGTTATTTGTCCTTGATTAGGTTCCGAAAATCTTTGCTGCTGTATGACTTCGTAATGTTCTTGAAGAGCAGCTCTCGGACCTGGTAATCGCTGGAGAACCTGATTACTTTGGAAGTGTTGTTGAGGTACCCCAACAGACACTGGTGGTCTTAAAAGTAATCTAGTTCGAGGATCCAAACCCTGAAGTCGTGTGGAGTCAAGTTTACCAGCCATCACGTGTCTTGGACTCACACCTGTTGATAAAAGAATTTTTATTAATAAATAATATAGAACTAATAATCGACTGAAGCTGAATAAATGCATACCAATAGGATTTCGAACGAGAACATTTGGTTGCGGCATTCTTGGTCTCACGATTCCAGGTGGCAACGGTTGTCTAAATGTTCCTTCAGCCGATTTTCCTGACAGTTGAGGATGTTGCGGTAATTGTATTTGTCCGGGTTCAAATTGTTGAGGTAACACATCACCAGGATTTTGACCATCTGAATAAGAAAATTTTAATTGTGAAAGTTGAATTATCTTTGGATTTTTTCAAATTGTTTGAAAGAAAATAACCTTGAGGCCAGGAAGCACCATGAGTTTCAATCTTTTTACTGAATTGTTGCCTCTGAAGAAGATCTCTCAGCTGTCGATTGACCTCTGGTTGCTGACTGAAAGCCTCGGTTGATTGTGGTTCGGATCTTGTTTCTGACCTGGGTGAAGGATAATTCGAAACCGGAGATGGTGTACCGGGTTGACTGATGTAAGGATCAGGAGTACGTGACGGAGCATAGACATGTGTGGTGGAACGATTATTATTAGCATTAAAAACAGGACGTGGTGTACCAGGTGGTTGGGTAAAAACGTCATTTCGCGGTGACGTTGCATACGTTGGGGTATTGACAATTTGTGATCGTGGTGTTTGAGAGCCTTGCGAGAATGCTTCGCTGTTTTCGAAGCGTTGAAAGTGCTCTTGAGATTGAGTGGAAGCAGGAGATTGTGGAAAGTCGTGAGGCGATTGTGGGGCTTGAGGTGAGAATGGCGATGGCGGTTGGGGAAAAGCTTGAGGAATTCCAGGCCTCACGACATTTCCCATTGGTCGCATTCCTGTTGTACATGTTTGATTCGGTAAACGAGGCATACCTTGGAGAGGACTTTGCGGTGCCATGCCGCGAGTAACTTTTATTGGTGGTGCAGCGAACGTGGCACGAGATCCTGGCGAAGCCGAGGCAATTGAAGATATTTGATTTGCATCCTGCAAGAAAAAAGAAATTTTTTTCATTTCCTAGTATTTATTTTTATTTGAAAAGTGTAATAAAAATAAAAAAATTAATTACTTGAGAAGTGGAGACTTGTAGTTGTGTAGTTAATCCTGTTGTTCCATCCTGGTTCATAACTGGAGTTCCATCTTCATTAATTTGCCTGTGTACTCTTGCCATAGCTGAAATATTATATTCTAGTTAAAAGGAAATAATAAAATATTGATATTTGAATATGTAATTATTGAATGTTTGAAGAATTTTGCCCATTTTTTCTTACCATGAACACGTTGCTCGTGAATAACTTGCTGTTGAAGTTGAGCTTGTTGTTGACGCAAAGCTTGAAGTTGTTTCCATTGTCGTTCTTGTTCAGCTTCACGAGTCGATCGGTCCCTGTTTGTAAGCCTTTCCTGCTCCTGTTGGGAAAGGTATCTGTTAGTATGAGCCTTCACCTGAATAGGCAGCAATAATTATATCTTCCAATTGAAAATGATCAAGAACATTTTATAATCTTAATTTTTTCGCTACATTCAATTTTTTTCATGATTAGAAATTAAAAAAATAGATCAACAAATTCAGTTAATTTTTTAGATTCATAAATAAAATTTAAAAATAAATATTCACATTTGTTTCGTTTTTTAAATAAAGATACGTAAAACGGTTCTTGCTTTCTAATTAGAAGATATAATTTGTTCAGTGTCCTAAGCCATTTTAGATAGAGCATGAGTTTTCTGTGAGGATTAGTTACAATTTTACACCACACACCGTAACTGATACAGAAAAATAACATGTTACAATAAATTAATAAGACCAGCAAATAATTGAAGAGCCGTATTGTGCGCAGCAAGTCAAAGAAAACAAATAATTAACCACCACCAAAAGAAATATAAAACATTGAAAAAGTATACATAAAAATTCTTTTTTCGTATATAAATGAATGTGATTAAATTTCTCAAAATCGTACCACACAGTGTGCATGCATTGTGTTCAGAATAAACACATGAAAACTCAATGGTATTTTATATATAATTTCTTTTGTTACGATAATCAGTATTTGTAGCATTATGAGCTCTATTTATTTGATTTTTTTTTGTAGTTGTAAAGCGTGTATTACGCATTTTGGTTAGCTCAAGAATCTAGTGCAAAAATTGCAATTATGAGTGAATTGTGAATTTTTGCAGATTGAAGATTGATGCTTTTTTTTGTAAATTTTAAGTTTGATAAATAATTCTACCTGAAAATAACTGAAAAATGTGATTATAATTTGTGTTATATGAGTATATGAGAAATGTTTTTTTTTCTTTTTTGGAAAAGCAGGAAATTTATCAAACGCACACATCCAACTAAAACTCAAAAGCCAACGACATATTCTTACATTCATATTTATGAAGCATCCGAAACAGAAAAGAAAAAAATTAAAGAGAGAATGTGAATTAATAACAAATATTGAAAATAATCATTCATAACGTTACTACAGAGAGCAATACATTTAACTACGTCCACCTACGAAAAAATTGTAAACAGCCAAGTACTTAGTTTAAGTTTAGTATTAATTTTTTGAAAAAGGATTTTTAGATTTTGAGGAGGAAGTTTTGAGAGTTGAGGAATTGAAATTTTTGGATTTTTGGTTGTATCGTTTTTTTGTGTATTGCCAGATGTCTTTAACATGCCATATATATATAAGGAATATGTAGATATCTACCACTGATAAATCATAAATAAAAAAGATGGAGCCAAAAAAGAAGGTATTTTTTTCAACAATAAAATTGTCGCCAGCGAAATTTTTATAATCAATCATAATATAAACATCAATTTTTCAAGGAAATGAAAGGCTAATAAACTCTGATCATTCCAAGTCATAAACACATATATAGGAATAATGAAATTCAACTTAAGGATCATTGCAATAATGCAATGATAAGAAAAAAATTCTAGATATAATGGTTGCCACTTAAGAAAAAGGAATATTAAAAATTTTGTAAGAAAATAATTATAAAAATAATAACGTAAAAAAGAAATAAGAAAAATTAATTAAAAAATTTTTAAATATAGAGTGCTATAAAAAGTTTTAAACAATTAAAAACTTTTGGATTTTTAAATTTAATTTATTTATTTTACTCTAACAATAAGATAAATTAGAAATAATTCTTTTAATTGGAAGAAAATGTTTGTTCAATTCAAATTGTCATTAATTTGCGTGGCAACCACGAACAGATGCGAAAATGTCAAATTTGTCTCACTTCATATTTTATATTTGATAAAGACACTATTTTCATTCATATCTATAATAAATATAATATTAACTATATTTTAGTAAATATATAACAAAAAAAATCTTTTTAAACTGAGTAATACAAATAAATGCCTAAATAAAATTTTTTCCATTTGCCTAAAAAATTACGATTAAATAGAATTTTCATCAACTTACAGATTTATAATTTAAGAGTCGTATTTGATTTGTAATTAATCATGAAAAAAATGATGAGAAAGATTTCGATTAAAATTTGTTAAATACTATAATGTTTAACTAATTAAAATTTTAATAAAAAAATCATTAAACATTTTTCAGTCCATAAAAAAATGAAAATTGTGTCAATATGAAATATTGTGTGACTCGTGATGTTTGAAAGTCTCTAAACGAACCGATTATTATGAACAAGTTCATTAAAAGACAAAACAAATCACGTATTTTCGCATTGTTAAAAAAATAAGAAAACCGTCGTATTGGACAGTTTAAAAAATGTTAAGAAACAAAGAGAAACGGAAGTACAGACACTAAAATTTCGATCGGATACTTTGGCACAAGGCAAGACATTAGAGGCACAATAGGTGGCTCACCATAGCCTGGGACTGTACAGGTACAGTGTGAATAATTGCAGTGGGTGGCGGATCGTAGTGCTCCTGGCAGAGGGAAGGGAGGGTGCGCATGATTTCAGATGGAGTGAGCACTCTAATCTGATGATCAACGGAGGATAATTGGCGAACAGGGCCAATTCCTACCGTAACAGTTGCAGTAGTGGGGGAGACCTGGGATACGCTCTGGCTGTTAACGATATTACTTGTACTGATTGTGACATGAACAGGTGAGGGACGTTGCTGGGGTGGTGACGTTTGATGTTGCCCTTCACCGGCGACCACGTTGCAGTAAGAGGAAGCAGTTGTTGTTGTGCAAGACGTAGCTGGCGATTGTGCAATTCTAGCCGAACCACTAGCAACTTCTTGGTGCGCCAGACTATTAATGGAATTTATAGAATTGACAGAGCTGGGTCTAGGTGAAGAAGAAGGGGTTGTGGAAGAAGTTGGGGAAGGGCTCGGAGAACAAGATGTTAGCTGCCTCGGCGGTCCTTGTACCGCACACACCTCCGCTAGTTGACCACTGCTTGTTGCTACTGCTACTGATGATCCCACTGTTGACAGCAACTTCTCCTGAGATTTATCCCCATCCACGGAGGACAAAAGACCAATTTGCTTTTGACTGGTGACCATTGGAACTACTGGAGGAACTTGAGCTGATGGCATTGTTGTGACAGGTTTGGTGGTGATGATAGGTGCGCTTGTTGCAGTGACTGGGTTCGTGCTTGGTAAATCCTTGGGTATCTGTCGGTTCAAGGGGTGCCTCGTTCACACACTTTTATCATAATAAAATTCGCGACTTGTCTTTTTACACAAGTTCGCTAATGTATCTTTTTTTTTCTTAATAGGATTACAAATTGGGTTAAATAGTCGCAAAGGTTCTAAGAGGATTCAAGGTGACATTCTATTTATGGGGGGTCACAAGAATTAATAAAAATGCCTAGTTTCGAAAAGGACTGCTTCTCTACTCAATATAGTTATGTTTACAAGTCGACACGTATGGTTAGAGACTGGTGTTTTAATTATATTAATTTTTTACTATTTTTCTATTTTTAACAATTCAATTAAAAAAGGAATTTATTTACAAAATTACTCGAATAATTAAGAATTTTAAGTTCCCTTGAATTTATGTTTTTTTTATTTAGTTACCATCATTGTTTTTTTAAAATTTGTATTATTTCAATAAGTGAAAGGTTAGTTTCAAGAATTTTGGAAGAAAAATGTGAAAGACTTGTCAGAAATTTTCTATAATATTTCGCACAATAATTTTTAATTAGTTAATTATTTTTAATAAATTTAAAAAACGAAAATTATGAGAAATTAAAACACCAGATTTTTACACTGACGATAAAACATTGACTAACGGTAGATATAGCATAAATACAACGGGCGAGCTGTTAGTCTGACTTTTTTTGTTAGCACAGGACACCCTACGCGATAAAAACGAGACTTTCAAGTCATATATATATATATTAAAATAAAATAACAGGACTGATTTTTCAAAATTAAATTATTGAATTGTGACAATTAAAAGAATTCCAACACTTACCTGTTGTGTTTTCTTCATACGATTTGCGGCTCTATTTTCTCTCGCTTGCGTTAAATAGGGAGCTTTTGTTTCCGCGGGCAGAGCACGCCATTTTTTCTGAATTTGCTTATGACGATCAGGCCAAGCTAGAGGGAAAAATTAAGAAGTACTTAATAATTGTTTTATAAAAAAAAGTTACTAATAAAAGAGATTTCCAAATAATATAAAAATAATTTTTACTCTCTAAAATAGAAGCAAAAATAATACCTGGAAATTCAGTTTTCCACTCTGGATGATTAATATTGGCGTAAAGGACCATTGAGATCGTAGCTCCCGTGCCTAGAACTTCATCGGCTTCCATCTTAGGATTATTTCCTCTTTGGTTATGCGGAACACCAGAATTTACACCAGCTCCCTCGTCCTCAGGATTAACCCATGGACTCGGTGGTTCCGAAAAGGCAGGACTAAACTGTTGTGGACTACTACAAATTGAAGATTGAAATTAATTTTTTATCTAACAAGTTTCAAGGAGAAAAATATTTTTATTACAAAAAATACTTACTTGCTGTATTCAGAATGATAGGGCGAGGGAGGTGGAAAACTCATCGGAGAATTCAAATTATTCTGTCCAACAGAAGGTAGAGAAGTGGAAACTTGAGGTCGTGCCAACTGCAAACTTCCTTGTAATCCTTAAAAAATGTAACGTTTATTTATTAGAATACAAAATTAAGTGAAAAAATAAAAAGAAACCTTTTTTTCAAGAAACAAAACTGAATATTTGTACCTTTTTGAAATAACATTGGGATAAGGATCTTCTATCAAAGGAAGGAATCTTCAGAAGAGGAATCTTCCAAATAGGATTCTATATATGGCCGAATCTTTGTCATTTGAAATTTCAATTAAAATATACAATATTCTTGAGAAAAAAATTCTATTTTCCAATAAATTTTACTTTACCTGGATGTGGAGATGGTGAAACTAAAGGCGTAGAAGGAGCAGAAGCATGTGGCGTTACTTGAGGCTGAATCGGAAACACTGAAGATTCTTGAGATTCTTGAGATTCATCAGTAAGGACACCCTTAAAGATTTCTTCCACGTCTTTGCTGTCCATATTTGGCAATCCTATGAAGATATTTAATTTTTTTAATACACCGACAATAATTAATAAAATTAATGATTAAATAGAATAAAAAATACACTTACCAGTATCTCTAACCATAGACTCCAAATTAAAGTGCGGACTGAGGATATCAGTCAACTCATCCTTCGTAGAACCTTGAGCATCATCCAATTCCTCTAAGGCTTCACTAGCTTTAGCCAAATCTTCATCAGGCTCGTTCATAATCGTATTAACTAAATCACTATCCAGTAAATCACCAGAAATCGGCAGTATATCACCAAGAGCTTCAGGATCACTGGCATCTTCATCCATCATCTCTTCTCTTTTAATATGCAACTCCATTGGTATTTTGATTTCCTCTTTTTCCTGTTTGGCCTTGACTTGTTGAATGGCCTTAAGTTCATCTTGTGACAATTGAATGGTACCAGTATTGTGATTGGTTTTGTGTTCATTGTCGGAATCACTGCTGCTTTCCAGATCTTTGTCTTTGGTTGTGCCCATAAGAACCTTGCCGAAGAATGCCTCTTGCATATAAGAAGGAAAACATTCGGAGAGCTTAGTCTTTGGTTTTCTTCTCTGAGGCTTCCTGCGTGGTTTGTCGTCTGACAGACTCATTATTCCCTCGGGAAGCTTCTCTCCATCTCCTTCCTCTTCTTTATCTCTTCTCGTTCCCCTCAGCCTGACAACGAAACCGCCAATACCAAGTTTTTGTAAATTTCGTTGACGTTTTCTTCTCAGAACCGTTACTCCATTTTCAGTAGTATAAATACTGAAACCTTCAGGCGGTGGTTCACCACTACGTGGAGTCCACGCCATTCCTTCCTTTAAAACTTCATTCGGTTCATCTTTCACGTCGAGAAGTTCTAGCTTCCCGCTACCATCGTCCAAGGAATTATCATGACTTCCTCCAGCCACCACAGACTCAATGGTTGCCATTATGTCCGCTTCTTTATCAACCACTGGCAACTTTCTTCGTTTCTTCCTCGTTTGCTGATGCTCGAATGTTAACGATTTAATGTGATTCATACCCGATTCCGATAAATAGACACCATCGACTAAATACTGTTGAGGTGAAGGCTTATAATGTTCCGGACTCCGAGTAAGTGGAGGTGGTGATCGAGGATATTTAGGTTGTGGTTTCGGCAAACTACGTAGTATATGAGGCGGTGGTTCGTCACTGGGGCGACATTGGGTGCAATTATAACCAACTTCAGCACACTTTTCCGCATCGTCTTCGGTTTTAATTGCATCACAGGAACAGTGGAGCCATCGTTGACACTGACTACACTGGATTATTAAATCACCTTCAGTGTAAGGCTGTTGACACTCGAGGCAAATTGTATGTGAAGCGCAAGGTCCACACTGGGTGTAATTCTTCTGCCAACTACAATTAAATCCTGGATTATCTGAACCGCAGGTTTGACATTGTGCACACCATTTGCATTTCCAACTACCCTGCGGCACATAATCCAATGGTGGTTCCAAGCAATAGATGTGATAGCTTATGTCACAGTCGTCACAAAGTATCAAACGACCCTCGTCGGTTTTTTCGCCGCAACCTTCACAAACTGTACAGTCGAGACAACGCCAACCTTTCTGCAAAATTACTTTCGTGACTTTCACACTGGCACAGTAAGGATGATAACATTGTCCGCACTGTGCACAAGCTATCAAACATCCCTCTTGATCTGTCCCAATAGCTCCACACATCACACAAATGTCTTGTGTTAAAACAAATTTATCCTTCGCTGAACACAAGACCAATCTGTTTTCTACTCCTGGCTCGTCCTCCTTTGACGAATCAGACATACACTGTTAAATAAAAAAAAATCATTAATATATAAAAATTTAGAAACGATTAAATATTCCACAATATTAAATACTTTACCTGTAATCCAACACCAGGCACTCCAAAAATACCCCTCATTTTTGCTTTTGGTCCCCTTTTACGGCCAAATTCGTTCATCTTTTGCCGCTTTTGATACCCGTGTTTTCCCATTCCTTTCGGCCGTCCAACAACGCCACCACCAAATCGTTTCTTAGCAATTTTGGAAGCGCAAAATGGTTTTCCTTTCCCCATTCCCATCGGATAATAAGACTCATCATAACCACCAGTATAATCATACTCTGACGAATCACCATCATAAAGACTGTCTTGAGATCCAGTTAAACTCATATCCAATCCATGGTCATCTAAACTATCTTTACGTTTCATAAGAGCTTGATTTTTACAATTCTTACAAACATATTCATAATCTGGATTTTCTTCTTTCCTTTTCTGATAAGTATGGGGATCCGCATCAGGATCACATGTGCCGTGAACAAATTTTTTACATCCATTACACTGTACCATTTCTCTATAGGCGGCTGCGCGATAAGCCTTTCGACAAAGTGGACACGAGAATCCTTTATTTCTTTGCTGATAACACGAATCACAAACAGTATATTGGGCGTGCCATCTAGAAGATAGTCCAGCGCCTGGAGTACGAGATCCACAATCCGTACATATACGACAACATAAACATTTCCAACCAAATTTTGGAATTGACGTAACAATTGGTCTCATACAGCCTGGATGATATGCCTTATCACATCTTTCACAGACCATTACTTTCGATACGTCTTCATGTTCTCGACACACCTGACATACCCGACAAGTTGAACACTGCCATCCTGCACGAACTCCTGGTAATAGACGCAAACCAACACAAAGTCCATGATAGTGCTGATGACAACTTGAACACATCACTAGTTTTGAAACGTCTCCCATTTGACCACATATCATACAGCTTACGTCGAAATTTACTGTAAAAAGGAAAATATATATCATTGATGGGGCCATTAACGTCCTTAAGTGATTTTAAATTAAAATTTTTTGAATACTTACAAAGTCGAGGGACTTGGTCGGAATGAATATTGCAGAATAATGATAATGTAGTTTTTTCCTGAAAGCAACTAGAAGCAGCTGAACACGGCAAATGAAAATAACGATTGCACGATCCCACCTAAAAATAAAAATTTAGTTAAATATCACCTTTGTAACCAAATGAATTTAATTTTATCAAAAAAAAATTTTTCTTACTTTACAAGACAATCCCGCTCCATAATGAGAACAAGAGGCACAGCGACGCGAAGAGGCTTGAATGACAGTGGCGCTTATAAGTTCGGGTGTTACATTTTGATTATTGCTAGACCACACTGCACAAGAAAAATGAGCATAAAAATGTCCAGTTGGCTCAAACAAAATTCCAACATCTGGCTCTTCCGAATAGCCAACTATCGTTAACTCTTCTATTGGTTCAATGAAATTGGTAACATTAGGATTCCTGCAATAGAAGTAAAATATAAGTTTTTTTTAACACTCGTTCTGGTTAAATTAATTTTAAATACAAAACAGAATATATTAGAATTTGATTACTAATTACCTGCATTTGGCGAGACTTTTTTGCCTACGACATGTAACAGCTCCTCCAGGTCCAATCATGCGCGGACTCTTGTCACCTGGATTAATTATGTCTAACGGAACTTCCGAATCTTCACGAATCGCATTCTTCATGGGAATAAATCCTTCAGGCAATGTATACCTGTCCATTTTTCCTTGACCCAATTGACTTCGTTCTCCCAAATTACAAAAAGCGCACACTTTTCCTGGCCTGTAACAATCAAGGAGATTTTATTATATATGCACAAAATTTATTAATTTTATTTAAAAAAAAATTGATTTAAATTAATTAAATATCAGATTAAAAATACAATTTTTTTACCATTGCTCTAAAAAATTAGGTGGTTCATCAGGAGCTGGCATTGATCTGTCGGTACCGGAAGTTTCACCACCATCTCCTTGTCCATCATCGCCGATTCTAAGAGGACTTGGTGATTCAGAATGGGTATCATCATCTTTGCTCTTAGTACGACGAGGCATTCCTCGCGCATAGCCAAGCCTTAAAAAATTAAAGAAAACAGATAAAATATAAATATCGTATTCAAAAAATTAAATAATATTAATAATTATAATTACCCTTTGCCTCTCGCGGATCCTCTTCCAAATGATTTACGAACTCCAACACCTCTGATAGATCCAGGAGGACGTTCTTTACGAGGTCTTCCTGGACCTCTCCGGATGTTCAAAGGTTTCCCACTGGGATGAGGAAATTTTTGATACCTTAGTGGATCAGGAAACGGTTCATCTGGTATGACCGCGCATAACACTGTAAAAAAATTTTAAAATTATTTTACATTCCCTTCAAATTAATTTTTTTTTACTTTTTAATGCTTTCTTTATACTTTTTTAAAAATAAAATACTAACTGTTTCCAGAAATAGGAGCTGGACCAAGCATTTGGTCGGAGTTGGCAGGGGAAACTGGGATCCCTGCAGTTTCCTCATCTTCATCTTCTCCGTCAGAAGCTTCGTCAAGCTCCATTTCTTCTTCTCCTTCTAGACGCTCTTCATCATCCATGGCACTTCTTATGTAAAAAGTGTCGTAGGCTTTTTCTGCAATTTTATCAAAGAATTTTTATTAATATTTTGAACTAAAATTATAAAAATATTTATAATTAATAATAATTATTATTATTTTTTGTCAAAAAAAAAATTCTCACTATTTATACACAGAAATTTTGTATTCAGTGATAGATTATGATAGTAAAAAATTATAATAATAGTGTTATTTTATTTAATTAATAAATTTTAGTTAAGCCCGTAAAAAAGTTTCAAATTATAATTTAAAAAAATACAAGACAACCCTTTAAAACTTAGGGGAAACAAAATGGAGATAAAAAGGCCCTTTTGTTTCCTGCGCATAAACTTCGCGCAGAGAACTCACATGCTGTGAATAAATAAATTAATTAAATTCTTTTTATTGCATTTCATTAACTAAAACTTAAAAAACCTATTTAATTTATAATAAACTTATTTTTTAAAGTAATTTTTCTAATCATCACATTTAAATAAAAAAAATTGTTTTATCTTCACGGATTTCAATCAAGGAAATGGAATTTTTTTTTGACATTTCAGGCAATAAATTAATAAATTTTTATGTTAGAAATCTATGTAGTAATTCTCTTATCATCAGAGTAATTGCTGATCTGTTCAATTTTGTTTGACGAATTGCGTTAATAATTAACTTTCAATCGAAAATTAATTATAAATGAATTATAAAATTTACTTTATATACATAATTATAATTTATAGATGTTTAAATAAATAATATTTTATATAAAATGTGATTTATGTAAATAAACTAATACTCTAAGAAAACATGTGAAACACTTGTGCCTTTTGGAGTAAGTATCATACAATCAAATGTTTTGTCAAATCATTAATTTTTAACAATTAATTTTTAGTCATAAACAATTAATTAAAATTAAATTAATCAAAATTGAATAATTTTGCATAAAAAAATTGCTTAATACTTTTATCCTATGCAATGATCGTTTAACAAACATTGACGTATAGGCGATAGGCAAATTCAAATTAACTTTATATTTGGAATTACGTAAAGAGAAAAAAATGTATTAATTTTTTCAAGTTATTAGAATAGTAAAAAAATGCACGTACACCAAAAATCATGTATACATAAGGCAATTATAAAACTTATGGCACTTGAAAACATGTAAAATTTAATTGATGTTGAATCTACTCCAAAATCACAAAAAAGTAAATTAGTAACGTTAATTAAACAGAAAATGTAATAGACAACTGATGAAAGAGAGAAAAACTTATGTAGCCGTCAATGTAGTAGCAGAAAGTACAAGTCTGGATTTATCGCGAAGGTTTTATAGTATCGTCATTTTCGCGTTGAGCTATTGTTTTGGAGTTTGCAAAACAATGATTTTCACTGGAATTCTGTTTTTCCACGAGTATTTTGACAGAAATCAAAGAGATTAATTTGATTCGCGATTTTGTTGAGCTTATGCCGTTGATATCCTTACAGGTAGCGCTCGGTCACGAAAGGATGGCGTGCCGCCCCACAATCTTGTTCCCATCCTAAGGTAACACGGTACTCCAAAACACTAGAAAAAGATTTTTCACCGTAAAAATTATCAATGATTACATTTTAAAATTTCACATTAACATAAAACAAACGGTGTTCCCGAGGCCGCGGTTCATTTAAAGTCTGTCAAACTGTCATCAAACATAAACGATTTGTTGGCTAGATTTCCGAGCGCGAGACACGCCATTGCTGTCAGGGTTTGCAGGCTGTAAACACACACCCTCGAGAGTCAAGATGAATATTTTGGAGCACTAACTTACCAATTAATGAAGCATCCTTCGAAGCCTCATGATTGATTCACGCGCACTATTACTAAGGTTTTCCATGTATTTTGCACAAGTTGATCTGATAAACATTTTGTAACAAACAGAAAAATGTCAGAAAACTACAAACGGATGAGTACACGCCGGGTGAACCAGGGTGAAACACCAAGAAAGTTGCTTTGGCTGAATTCCCGGAATCCGGAAGTTTGCTGGCGTTAGTTTCAGTGTTGCGCCGTTAGAGTGCGCATTGTTTCGTTTAGCGCGCGTAAATTTGAATATTCAAATAATTAAACTGCTATTGTTTATTTATTATTATTATAGATAGTTGATTGTTTATTAATAACTCGAGTAAAATAAATTGAAAAGAAAAAAATAGTTGTCGAATAAAATAAACAGTTGTAATAGTAAAAAAAAAATTTTCAATTTTAATTAATATTAATGTATTAATTATTTAAATAATTACGCCATTATTATTTTTGAGTAATGAAATTAAATATTAAGGAAATGTATTTTTAATTTTGATTAATATAAAGTGGAATTTTCTACTTTATTATGCGTCGGTAAAATTGAATTTAATATAGAATTAAAAAAAAGAAAATACAAAATAAAAATTAATTTAAAAAAGTAATGAGTTTATTTATAACAAATTTATAAATTGTTATTTATAGATAATTATAATAAATATTGTTACCTTTTAATTCAATAACTATGATAAAAAGGGAGTTTGAAGTACACTCCAAAGATAGCGCAAGTTATCATCTTCAAATTAATTATTAATAAATTACTAAATTTTAATTTAATAATTTTTTTGAGATAAAAAATACTTTTCTCAAAATATTAATTAATTTTTTTTAATAAGTACAATATTTAAATTAATGAAGTTTAAAAAATTATATAAATTATTATTAATTTATACAAAGTATTGTTATAATTTTTTATTATTAAAATTTTTAAAGATTACATTGTTAATGAAATAAATTAAAATATAAAAAAGATTTCATTACTAAAAAATATAGATTTTTATTAATTATATAAAAAAATAAGTTTTTATTTAATTTCTTCTTTTTATTTTTAAATTAATTATATCAAATAGTTTTTATCTTAAGAAATCATTAATTATTGGTCTTTGATACTTTAATTACCGAGTTATATAAGGAAGTAGGCAACCCGTCATACTTAGATGAGTACGTCTAGTGTTTCGCGTTTACTTGTGGAAGTAATACTTTATATATAGATATACCTAATATTCTTCTTGCTTGTGATTTAATTTTTAAGACAAAAAGATAATTAAATTTTAATTAAATTGTTTGAATTACTTATTAAGGTCATTTTTAAAATGGAAATTGTAAAGACTAAAAGGCATACAGTGAAATTAATTATTATTATCACTTATTTTAAAAATTTAGCAATAATAATAAAATTAATAATTTCTGGATAGTACAACAATTTTTTTTTATAAATTTAAATTAATTTTATTTTAAATATTGAACAAATTATAATATTTTGTAAAAATATATTTCTTCCAAAGAAAAAGAATTCTGTTTTCAAAATGTATATGTTGGAAACAATGATGTATAAATAATTTTAAAAAATGTTAAATATTTAAAAGAATTGATTTTCTTATTGTAAAACTAGTATATTTTCACTTTTGAATTATAAATGTCAGCCTCATTCGCAATTGAAAGTAGCAATCATCATATATACATGTATAATATGGTGCAAAGTCATCAAGAAAATGTTATATTTAGTTTTCTATTAAAATTACCACTAAAATTATGAAACGTACCATTAATTATTTTTTGTTAACTAGAAAGTTAATCTTAGTTTTTTGGTATAATAAAAATTGACTTTTTATTACAAATGTTAAAAATTAAAATTATTTAAAAATAATTTTACAAATTAATTTTACAAAATTGTAAAATAAATTTTTCTAAACATTTTCATTTTCTGTTTTTACTAGATTTGTTCGTAATCCTTTATTAAAAATCCAGTTATTTTGTTTGTAATTCAATAACAAATAAAGGATTTAACTAACGGAAAAATGTCATTTTTTTATATTGATAATGTTATCGAAAATTGAAACAATATTGAAATTTTTAATAATCAATCATATTATAATGCTCCAAGTTTTTTTTTTTTGAAATATTGAAAATTAATTAATATGAACCTGACAGTATTGATAACAATTAAAAGTAGTTTCCTTTTTTTTGTGTGGTTATATACATTATATAGTCGGAATCCGTTAAAGGGAGAACTGTCGCTTTATGCGCCAATTATTAAACGCGATCCGCCCTTTCGATATTCATTCATGGTTTCAATATAATGTTTCCCTGCATTTGGAAAATAAATATTCACCCTCTATATAATTTAGGTATTTATAGGATCAATTCCTTTTGACCGATAAAGATGGGTTTTCGATAGATCGAATCCAGCTGTCGTTGACACGAGCCTCTATATATATATATATAATATACCAGTAAGCCGCTTATGTTAAAGCGTGATTTTTGCGCTTTTTTTTGGACATTGTCCCACGATTATTCTGAGAAAATCGCCAGCATTAAAACTCGGATTTAATATAATTTCCGTAAAACAGTGAAAGAGAGATAATGGAACTCAAAAGAGCATGGAAAAGCAGCTTTTGAATGAGAAATTTATATATATATATACAATCTCACAGGATTCACATTTGAAGGCGCTTTTATTTAGATTACAACAAAATATTTTATGATTTTATTCTCGACTAAATATTTTCATCATTTGACATTTTTTTTTAATTTAAAAGTCAATTTTCCTTTTTGTTAAAATTCTCCCCTGTGATAATAATTTAAAATAATAATTATTTTAATAATAATTTGTTCAAATTAAATGTATGGAATATTTTGTATATTAAAAATTTTTGAATGTTGGAATTATTTACATTCTTTTTCTATTATAGAGAAAAGCGCAGATGATTTTATTTTCAATTGCGAATATTTGTAAAAGTAACAGATTTTTTATATAATATTAGACACATGTGTAAAGGAAATAACTGTCAATTCGCAGCTCTTAATTCTGACTTACAGAGGTAAGTCATTTTTGTGAGAGATTACAAGTTATAAATTAGTCTCATATTTCGAGGGATTAGAACTTTCAAAAGGAAAATCTGCTCTAAGTAAATAAGGCTCGGAAAGAAGGTGTACACTGCGCGTATGGGGACTTCATTTTAATTTTGATTGTCGCATAAATTATATTGGAAAATAGAATTATAATTTTTTTTTACTTAAAATTTTTTCTTTAATTACTCTATAAATTAGAAATTTTTACTAATTTTTTGTATTACTATTTGATTTAGTAATATTTTTTACTAAAATTTTTGTACGGACTAAAAATTAGAAATTCTCAGTAATTTAAATTTAGAGAGAATTTAATTAAATAATTTTTATTTACGTTTTTACGATTAACTTATATATAGGAAAAAATTATTTGATTCAAATAATCGAATACTTGACTTATCAAATGAATATTTACTTGAACCAAATAATTTTTGAAACCAAATAATTGAATTAAATTGAACCAATATTTTATTTAATTTTACTTTAATAATTTCTTTATTTGTAAAAAATTCCATTTGACTCAAATAAAAATAATTCAATGCAAGTAAATATTTATTTAATAATAACCAACCGATTATTTGAATCAAATAAATTTTTTTTCAGTGTAGAAGTATAATTTATCTGAAAACAAAGTTTTTTTTTTTATATTATTTGACATCAAAGACACTATGGAAATGATTGAATTGACCGAAACGATAGAGTGTGGCAAGTGACAACGCGTAACTGCATTATATCAGATATTGGGATATGAGAAGTAGAGGATGTATCGATTCAGCTTGTATGACGTATCTAGATTAATTAAGTCCTTCCTCCATCACGCTTGCCCAAAGTCAATCCATGTTTGACACCTGATGGATGATTGAGATAATTTACTTCACTAAACAATTATCAAGTGACTATTGTGCGTCTCTAATTCATCCCTTATTTCTATTTTTCATCAATAAATTTTTTTTAAACAATAAATTTTTTTTAAAAATAAATTAGAAACAATTTTTTAAAATATTAATTACCTATATTGTAAATTTGTAAATCCTTTTCTAAAATTATATAACGAAATATATTTTTTATTATAATACATAATTATGTATCTATATTGAACTACAAAACCACATGCGAGTAATTATAATAATAATTAGATTTTCATTGTATATATTAATTACTTTGTAATTAAATATCAAGTAAAATGAGATATTATATATAGTCCTAAAAAATTAATCATTTTTTTTTCTATCAATTTGATATTTTCTGTTAATAATTATTGTTGGCATATTTTTTTTATTTTGTATCGAAAAGAAAAATGTATAAAAAGAGAATTTAATAGGAGTTCTAAAGTGAATCTAGAGATGGATTGAAGACATATTTTTGAAAAAGGGATTTAAAAAAAAATCGGGACGACTTAAGTATAACAAAGGAGAATTTCATTGTAACAGTTTGCGCGAGAAAGAGAGGGGCCTATTAAAAATTTGAAAATTATATTCTATGAAATCTTGTTATTGTCTTAGAGAGAGAGATGATAAATTACAAATTGCTGCCTGTCACTCGGGGGAATTCGTGCACTACTCAGAACTTCGGAATGGCGAATGTTGGGTGAAACAGTATTATCGAGCGACCCCACCCGCTATATACCCACTACATACATATATATACTATATATACCAAGTCTTTCCAGCTTCTCGTATATATTATTTTAGCTTTGTAGAACACAAGTGTTTCAAAGTTCATGCACTCTTCCCTTACGCTTATTAGATGTAAGGACAAGCTAATTGTTTCATTAGACTCTTCAAACAGCTCCGAAAAATGTCAAGTGAATGCGAATATGACAAGAATCTTCCTACTTGAGACACTACTTTTTTTTCATTTTTTTTTTTTTTATCTTTACGAGAATTTTAATTTGTTTCGAAACAATATTATAATGAAGAAGCATTTCAGTTTATTCAAAAGTGATAAATTAATTTAGCTTCCCGCACTAATGTTTCATAATTGTCATTCATTCATTATATTTACAGAAAATGTCAAAAACTTTTTGTTCTATTTTTTTTTGTGTTTTTAAGAAACAATTTTTCAATTCATTACAATTTATTCG